ATAGGTCCAGGTACCATTAATTACGCCATCAGTCAGTGAATCTTTGTTTCCGAACGGTTCGTGAAGGTTGAATAATGAGGATGACGAGGATAAGAACGGAGTGAGCCGGAGAGAAACCGGATCGGCGGCTGCGATTTCTGCGTTACCAAAATTTCCCTTGTTCATGATCAAACTCACGCACCAGAGGCAGCAGCACCGCACAGCACACCCCAGATGAGCGGCACCCATGTGACCGGCTTGGTCAGCTGGAGGCGAATCTTCCAGATGTCCTGAAATTTCAAGCAGAAGCATATGAGGGATCCGGATAAGGCCTCAAAAGAAGCGATAACTGATCAGTGATATCTGCGAGAAGTGCTGAAGGATTTGTAGAAAAAACACGACCTCGAAATAAGCCAGTGAAATCGAAAGTATCAGACTCGCAACCCGTGTAGATTTAAGAACAGTTTTACGAGGCAATCCTTACGTCTTCCTTGCTTCCGCCACGGATTCCCAACAGTTGACGGACGGCAGAGTCGCCTTCTTGAGACGGAGCAACATCAGGCACCTTAGCATCTGGAATTTGAACGAATAACGGAAAAAATCACGAAATAATCTATTCAGAAATAAGAATTAGAGGAATTAGTAGGAATTTAGAAGCGTAGAAGCTACAACACGGGGAGACTAGTAGCGTAGCGTGCTGAGAACCATTTTCGCAGAAAGAAAGGAGCATACGGAAAAAATATTTCGCATCAATCTATAACAGTTTCCTAACGGCGTACGTTGTGATGATCTGGTAAGACTATAACCCGCATAATTCAGTGCTGTGAAAATGCGTGCATGCAGCAGCTGAATACCTGATTTCTTGTCAGTTTCTGCCGAAGCGACAACGATCGTACGACCAGCGTTCACAACGGTCCTCTTATGCGCTTCGGTGGCCAATCTCCTGCCGCCAAGTGGCAACCTCAGACTCGAAGCGCTAAGACCAGCGCGAACCGCGCTCTTTGAAGACGCATTGCAAGACGCAGCGCGTGACACTAGGCAATGCGACTCGAGAGAAGTCTGAAGGAGGCTAGCGGAGGCCATCGCAAAACTTTGTGAACGAAAACGCGGAAGTATCGACGGATGGGGTTGTTCCTTGTAGGATCGTCAAATGGGCTGGCCTTCGTAGGAACTCTTAGCGATGCCTGACCTGTTGAATTCCTACAGCTAATCTTCTCCTGAAAGAGTAGAGGTTCCTGAAGAATCTCCGTTGTTGAAGGAGCCTGGTCAACACTGCTGCTTCTGCAACTGGCTCGGGCTTGCTTCCTAGAGCGAATTTCCCCTATTCTGACTGGGAGGTTTGACGGCATACCGGAGGCCAGCAAGATTGGACATGCTGACGGAAGCTAGGATCGCTGTAACGAGGGATTGCGTTTGGGTGAGGTCCTAGAAATAGGAAGACTCGAGGGGGCCGTGGGTGTGAATTTGTTACACGTGGCGCGCTCGCGTAGCGCCAAATCCACCGTGTTCATCTTGGAAAATGTCCATTTATAAAAGGCTTCGGTTATTCTCCAATAGTCATACATGAACCAATAATGACGTAATCCTACAACATTTACAACAATATATGTAACCGCTGCTTGCTCGTTCGCCTGCGTTCTGCTGCTGGTGAAATAATGACGACCTTTGCAAAAAGGCTTCTTTCGCCAGACCTTCGCCACCTCCCTTCTCAGCCGCCATTTTCTTGGTCGTCGCATCTCGCACCACCGCTCCCCTACCCAACAGCAGGGTCCCATCATCACTGCAAAATCGCAAGCTGTTTTTGCCTCACAGCGTCCGCTGTGTGCGAAAACGAAGTTACGACTTCGCCGCGTAAAGCCTCGAAACTCCCTTTCGGGCTCCAGCACCGCCTTCTTTGAATTCATCCCCGCTGTCTTGCAACTGCCTCCCCTCTCTCTGCTCTTCACACACAGCACAACCGACATTAAAATGAAGACGCCAACGACCCGTTACGACGACTTCACGACCGTTTCTATTCCCAACAACTAAAAAAGCCAAGGCATCCTTCGTTTCAACCCAAAACTTGCTCGTCAACAATTCCAGGCTTCAGCGTCTCTCTCGCAAACGGATTCCCCCACTCGACACTCATAAGTCTGTTTACCTCTGCGAATCCTTGCTCACGTGCCACGATGGCTAGATCACGAACCTTTCTTGTCCTCGGGATCATCTGCGTCGCTCTCTGCGTGGCTGGGGCGAGCGCACAAGCGAAGCCGAAGCCTACCAAGGCGCAGCTCAAGGCAGAGCTGAATAAAATGGCGACCACCATCACAAAACGCTACCCGCAGTATGCGAAATACGCCAAGGACATCAACAAGTACATCGGCCTTGCACGTAAGCGCTTCATCTCACCACTTGGATGGATTAACACTTGTGAAATTGCGATCTTGCCCTGCTTTTGTCCTGTTGTCAACGAAATTACCCAATCTTGATCTGGATTCTGTTGAGACAAAGCTTTACAATAAATTCACCTCCATTCTGCTTCTTCACGCTTCCTTCCTCCTTTCTCCTCCCCCCACCATCCCCCATCCCTCCCTCCTCAACCCTTCTTCCCTATCCGCCTCCCCCTTGTCCAGTGAACTCCAAATACGACTTCTCAGCCCTCGCGGACGCCACAATCCTCCTCCCCAACAACGTCGAAGCCGAAGCCCTCTCTAAGAAACTCCCCGCTAAGAAAAGCAACATCTCCATCGTCTACAACATCACCGCGTACCACATTATCGCCAAAAAACTCACCGTTCCGAACATGCGAGCCTACAAAAAGGGACAGCCACTTCGTACTCAATTGAAGCAGCCTCTTTACAAGAGCTCGCTCCAAAATGCGAACGCCGCGTCGTTCGCCAGGGGTCCGCAAGCGCCTGCTGCTGCGTGGACGACGATCAAGATCCCGAGGATTTACGCGGGGCCGTACTTCATTGCTCATGGCGTGGATAAAGTTTTGATTCCCGCGGGCACGAGATTGCCCAAGTAGGAAACCACAGTAAATCTGATTCACTTAAAAAACACGTTATATGCTAGCTTATGAAAGTGTAGTCAGTCTGCATCAGAAACTGTCTGTAACGTTTAGTCTGACCTGACATTGCGGAATTACCTGCCTAGAAGACAGCAGTAGGCATCTGCCTAGCTGGCAGTCCAACTTGGGAGGGGATGCGTGATGTACATAGCCTGGCAGCCATTTCATGTGTGAATGCCTTTGTTTGAATCCCGAAACGTTTTACCACTGGCTCATGGTGCAAAGCTAATACAGGTGAGGGAGAACGTACGTGCCGTATACAGCGTGAGGCCTTTGCCCAAATAACCCTGATTCATGTGAAGGTGTCAACCAATCACATCTACCTAAAACACTTACAAATTGGTGTACTGTCTGAAAGCTTTGCACTTTGCTCAGTTGTGTTGAACTCTGGTGACTGCACACAACACGTGACTTGCGTGACTCGTGGTACCTCAGTATGGGGAACAAAAACATAGGCTAGCGCAAACCGAACCCATTGCGACCGCATTGCAGGACGCGGCGCGTGACACTAGGCAATGCGACTCGAGAGAAGTCTGGAGGAGGCTAGCGGACGCCATCTCAAAATGATGTGTACGAAGACGCGATACTATCGTGCAATGGGGTTCTTTCTGTAATATCGTCGGAGGAGGTCCTGATTTTTAGGTGATTGTAAGCGATGCATGCTTGAACTTCTCCAGATAATCTATTTTCTGAAGCTCAGAATCAAGGTTCTTGAAGTATCTCTGCTGTTGAAGGAGCTCAGAGCTCACAGCAACACTCTACTCTGCTGGTGCTTCAACCTAGGCTTTCTTCGACCAACGCGAATTGGTCCCAAAGGTCGCTGTAGCAAGGGATTGCATTTGGGTGAGGTCGGTAAAATATCAAAGACTCGGGTTTGAATTGGTTACACGTGGCATGCTCACATGATTCATCTTGGAGATTCTCACATATCCACCGATTCATCTTGGAGATTCTCCACATTATGAGAAGCTTCAGTAGGGGACAAGACATTTTTTGCATGAAAAATAATCAACCATGCACGTAAGGCAAACGGGGCCTCCAAATTTCAATTCACTGTCATATCATTGACGGGCAACACGTCATCTTGCCATTTCGTTTCATACGCTTCTGGTGACGATCGTTACCGATTAAAACCGGAAGCCCAAATTGCACAAGTTTTAAAAGGATGACGCGAGGGGTTTTTTCTGGGTTGGGTTTTGGCGAGTGATTTCGATTTCGGGCATTTCGTTTTTTTCGCCAAACCCAGCCAGCCCACGTATTTCGCCCTGGCGGTTGTGTCAGCACCCGAAAGTCCCAAATTGCAGGTGCGCTACTTTTCAAAGCTTGCACACTGCACTTCGTCAAGTTTTAAAAGCATGACCCACGCGCCTCGCAATTTGGGACTCGGGCTTTAAACTTACCTTCGCTAGACCTTCGCCTCCTCCGGCCACAGCCGCCATTTTGTCGGTCAGGGCGAGCCGGACCACCGCTCCCCTAACCTGCGCACTAGCCCAGCAGCCCCTGCCGCTGCAGAATCGCCAGCTAGTTTCGTTACAGCTGTTGCTCATTTGAGTCCCCCAAGGTTGCCTTGTGCTTTGGGACTGTAAGTGCATTTTGTATTTCGGCGGGTTCGTTAGTTTTCGCCACGCCTGTGGCGTGCTTTTAAAAACTTACAAAGTTACTGATTTGTTTTACCCGTAACATTAATGGGTTGCATGGTTTGTTCCTCATGTGTGCTCGGGGTTACCAATTTGTTTCCTCGTTGCAGGTTCGCCCAATTACAACAGACAATCCCTCCACTCACAAACATAGTCAGAACGCAACCCACCCGCAACCAACTTTTTCTTGCACTCGTAGGCCAATCCCAGATCGATACCTCGACCACTAAGAACTCAACCAGTCAACGCTGACATTGGTGCAATGTCAACGAGATGTTGACGCTGTTGCCAAGCATGAATGGAGTTCGAACTCAACAGAGGTGAGCGAGGCACACTCACAGACGCACCCACTCAGGCGCATCAACAAAGCCGTCCATGACGGCGTGAACACCAGCGTCAATCAGCGCCTGGCGAGGGGAGGGTGCCGTCATCCACGCCGGAAGGACGCGGCCGCGAGGGCGAGGGCGCCCACCATCAGGGGTAGCGGAAGGCCGAGGAGTGGCGATAGGCGTCATGTTCAAGTTGATGGGCGGGCTTGCCCGCTCCATGCGCTCAATGATGATGGGGTTGCGAATCTCAAAGAGAGCGCACAGCTCGCGGGGGGTGACGCCTGTCGCCCTCGCATACCCGATGAGCATTTCACACGCCGCCCGCGCCGTGCGACGTGCTTCGCGCGTCGCCGGGTCCACATCGTCGTACACGGCCTGCATGGTCGCAGGCGGCTCCCAAGACTCGTTCGAATACGACGTCGCGGGCTCAAGGGCGAGGGGATCCTCCCCCGGCTCGGCGCACGTCGGCTGGCCGTCATCAATGGCGACGAAGTCGGCGGCCGGCATGGCACTCGGACCGAGCGCAAGCCGGTCGATCATGATGCCCACGTCGCCGATCTCCTCGTCAAGATCGATGGGCAGCGGAGCAGCAGCCGTGCCGCCAGGAGTGAGCCCGCCGGCGCCCACGTGGGCCAAGGATAAGGCCCACGCGAGCGGAAGACAGCCCGTGCGCCACCAGCAACGCTGGATCGTGCGCGGGCCGATGTTCATCCACGCGTCCAAGAGCCAGTCGAGGACGTCGCGGAGATTGGGCTTGAAGCGCGCCAGAGACGCCGTGGAGCTACCCTCCACCCACAGTGCCGTCACCGCCTCGAGCCAATGCTGACGATAACGTGCCTTCATCATCGCGATGAGGCCCTGGTCAAGCGGCTGGGTGAAGCAGGTGGTGTTCGGCGGGAGGAACACCAGGCGGATGTTGCGGAGGGAGCGAGTGCGGAAGCCGAAGATGTCTTCGGAAATCGCGTTCTCGCTCTTGAGTACGTGGCTAGAGGCATTGTCGAGGAGGATGACAATGTTGCGATCCTCCGCGAACATAGCAACATCTAGCTGCTCCATAAAATGGGTGAACAGCTGCCGCGGGAACAAAAGTGGGGTGGGAGAGAATCAAAGTGAGTGAGATTGCCCGTTCGACTATGGCTAGGTCGGCCAGACACAGTAACCGCACCTTACGCAAAATTAACGGGCGTGCGTCCTAGATGGAAGGCGCTTACCGGAGCGGTCATCCACCCCTTGGTGTTGTGGCGCCAGTAGCACACAGCGTCGGGGTCGTAATCCGGACGGAACGCATGGGGCCGCTTCGACTTGGATATGACGAGCGGCCGGAACGCGTGGCTTCCGTCCGCATTCACGAGCAGGCCCACGGTGAGGCGTTCCTTGGCGATTTTGCGGCCCGCCACGCACGATGCGCCGTAGGTCTTTCGCGGCAGCACCGAAATCCACAGTGCCGTCTCGTCGAAGTTGTACACATCCTTCGGCGAGACGGAAAGGTACATGAGAAGCTGAGGAAGCTTCTCACGGCACGTTCGCACCGCCGCCATGTCCTGATCGGCGGCCTCGCCCGACGAAGCAATGCAGCGGATGCCGTTGCGCCGCATAGCACGGCGAACCCAACCGACAGAGCAGCGGAAGGTGGGCGGCTTGCCCATGTCGCGTGCCATCACGGCCATGTGGTCGCGGATGGTCGCCAAGGTGAGCGGGATCCCCGCAGGTTCGGCGTTGGAGATCCATCGGACCATGGCCTGCTCGAGGTCCGGATGAGCACCGCCGCGCACGCGGACGGTACTATTGTTCGCATTGGTGGCTTTCCACCGCTCCGCGCCCTTGATGACGCGGCCAATCGTGGAGCGGTCGGGGCGAATACCGAAACGAGTGAAACACCAGCGCGCAAGGTCGACATGGCGCAAACGGGGGTTGCTAACGTGATGCTCGCATATCGCCCTCTTGATGTGGACTGGAAGCTGGGAGCGGCGCATTAGGCGCGGCATGGTGAGTGAAGGTGGTGAGAACAATGTTTTAGTAGCTCGAGCGAATGTCATTTTATCCTCACATTGTGTTGCTCGTTTGGCTCTAAGCAAACAGCTGTTGAAACGCACAAAATTGGCTTATCCAACATTATGGGAATGTGTATGGCCAAAAAGGGTGCGTATAACATAAAGGGATCACTCCATGCCACACGGGGTGACGTGTTTTTAACGATCATGGTTAGTTCATAGTGCCAGTGTCTATGCGCTGGAGCGTGAATGTCGCCGTAAATGTGTGTTTAACGGACACGAATGTCCAATTCATTTCGTTTAGTGACGTGGGTTTTGTGTTCATTTCATGGTCAATACGTGGCTACGTCCTGGCTGCACAACGTACACGTGGCGCCGATGAGTGCAATGTGTGCGTTTGGTGCACATTGCGCCGCACCGACGTGGCGTACAGTCAGGCGGCGAAGAAGTGCGCGACGTCATTTTAGTTTCGACCACGGTTTTCGCGACGCCTGTTTTTGGCCTGAAAACAAGAATAGTAAGGGACGACCACATTTGACTCATACGCATGGGCAGCTTTCGTCGTGTGGTGACCACTTGCCCAAGTGGCACCGGGAGCCTATAACGTGGGTGCAGCTGGCTGGGCCAAAATACACGCGTGCAGAGTTTCTGGCGCGTGCAGGGCAAATTCGAGCGCAGCAGTTGAGCAACATGTGTACACATGATGCTCGTTTGACTAACCCAAGGTTGCCTTGTGAAGGGGGCTTTTAAGTGATTCTAGTCATTTCGCAAATTTCGTCAACGTCGCACCTAGCAAAAAAGGGCTTATAAAAAAATTGTAACTCTCCGTTGACTTTTTGACTTCAGTCTCTTCAGATATTCTTTGGTTTCTGTGGTTACTATTGGTTCATAGCCAATGCAACTTGCTCGGGGTGCTTGTATCGTGGGTGCAGCTGGCTGGCGCAAAATACACGGGTGCAGACTTTCTGCCGCGTGCAGGGCAAATTCGCGCGCAGCAGTTGAGCAACATGTGTACACCGACTCCACTGCCTGCGAAAACTCCCGTTTCGCCGCGTCAACCCAGGTTGACTGCCGTGCGTGCTGCAGCACCGCCTTTCTTCAAACCATGTCCGCTACCTTGGAACTACCTCCCCTCCCCTCTGCACATTCACTCCAATAGAAACTACTAATACATACACCGACGACCCTTACGAACACTCACAGACTCACAATCAATCTCCAAGTCAAGCATCAAGCTCTCATTTCCTTCTACCCGAATTTCGCTCATCCGAAGACGCTTCCAGAATCTAGCGTCTTATCTCGACAACATTCTTAGATTCGATCCTAGGACTGCTAACTTCAACAATTCGTTCCTTCTCGCCGAGCGATGGCTAACCTTCGAGCCATTCTTGTCCTCGGGATCATTTGCGTCGCCCTATGCGTAGCTGGCGCGAACGCACAAACGAAGCCCAAAGCCAAGCCTACCAAGGCGCAGCTCAAAGCGGAGCTAAACAAAATGGCGACCACCATCACGAAACGCTACCCGCAGTACGCGAAATACGCCAAGGACATCAACAAGTACATCGGCCTCGCGCTCAACTCCAGATACGATTTTTCAGCCCTCGCGGATGCCACCATCCTCCTCCCCAGCAACGCAGAAGCAGAAGCCCTCGCTAAGAAGCTTCCCGTTACAAAAGCCAACATCCCCACCGTCTACAACATCACGGCGTACCACATCATCGCCAAAAAATACACCGTTCCGAATTTCAAGGCCTTCAAGCAAGCGCAGCCGCTCCGTACTCAGTTAAAGCAGGCTCTGTACAAGATCTCGGCCAAAGGTGCGAACGTCGTGTCGTTCGCCAGGGGTCCGAAAGCGCCTGCTGCCACGTGGACGACGATCAAGATCATGAGGATTTACGCTGGGCCGTATTTTATCGCTCACGGAGTGGATAAGGTCATAATTCCCGCTGGAACGAGGTTGCCCAAGTAGGAAGCTATAAAAGCATTATACGGGTACCGTCTGTTAGCTTAGAAGTGTAGTTGATCTGCATTAGAAACTGTTGGTCCAACCTCTGGACTGACCTGAAATTGCGGAGTCACCTGCAATAGAAGACAGCAGTAGTCACCTGCCTAGCTGTCTGTCCCACCTGGGATGGGATGCTTGATGTATATAGCCTTGCGAAGCGACCATTCCATGTGTCAATGCCATGAACTTCATACCTCACTGGCTCTTGCTGCTAGGCTGATACAGGGTATGGAGAGTCAGGGGGCTTACATCCGCTGCATATTTGCTGTCTTTGAGACCATACTCATCAGGTTCTTACCTACACGCTTGTGTAAACTCTTTCTTCCATCACTTCTACATAATACTCTTACTGCTTGGTGTAAAGTCTCAGGGATCACACAACACGTGTCTTGCACAACTCGTGCAAACTCAGTTTGGGGAACAAGTGACTATACAATGCATCAGTCAACCAATATGATCTGAGCCAATCGCATGATATTTGAGAGGCATATATGGTAGGAGATGTCACTCGAGGGATTTGAGCATGCAGAAGAGGGCTGCTGCTTCCTTTTTGAGACATCTAAAAAATCAACTTCTAACTCGTGGCTTGCATGAGATGTCACTCGAGGGATTTGAGCATGCGGAAGAGGGCTGCTGCTTCCCTGACCCGCGAATACTCGATACAGAATGCCTGCATCTCAATGAAAAGCGCCTCCACTGCCACATGGAAATGGGGTTGCAAATGACATTTGTATACCGTAAATGCAATCGGTTAACAGAAATAATTAGTTACACATTTGTGGAGGAAAACAGAGGCGGCTCCACTGGGGTTGTGGCCAAAGAAAGCCAATTGAGGTAAATTGAAGAAAAATTGCATGCGTAAGGAATAATGTCTCTGAGGGTGTACCATTGATGATGTTATCGCGGATGAGACTCAGTAGGAAGATGCAAACGATCCGCACAAGGCGATTCTGCATGCTCTTATCCTGCATGTATGGAGTGAGTTCGGTTGGATTGGTTGGGACACAAAAGGGCACAGCCTTACACTTGCACTTTCTCACCACACACACTCACTCACTTTGCACTTGCACGTCACACTCGCTCACCTCTCACTCAGTCTCCTCTCACTCAGTCACCTATCAATCAGTCACCTCTCACTCACTCAATTCACAACTGCGCTCACTTGAAAATCGCTCACCTCACTCCCCACACAACCGCTCATTTCGCACTCACTCACATACATCACACTCACTCACAAACATCACACTCACTCACAAACATCACACTCACTCACATACGTCAAACTCACTCACATACATCACACTCACTCAAAAACATCACACTCACTCACAAACATCACACTCACAAACATCACACTCACTCACAAACATCACACTCACTCACAAACATCACACTCACTCAGCACAAACTCCCTAACCTTGACGCCTCAACCCCCATTGAGGCGCCTCAGAAGTCGTCTCTTATCCCGCAAATTTTTAGGCGCCTCAGCCCCCATTGGTTGGACCCACCTTGGTCTCCTCGCAGCGTCGCATGCAGTGGCTGCCATACTAATGAATAGATAGACTGGACAGCAGACAATATTGCACCAAACTTAAAGCCCGCCTAAGTAGGCTTGTACAGAAATAGCAAGTTGAACTCACCTTGGTCTCCTCGCAGCACCGCATGCAGTGGCTGGCATATGAGTGGATGAAATCGGGCCGCAAGTAATGAAATCGGGCAGCAAGCAACTTTTAGGAATTAATATTATACTCAAATATACCGTTTGACCCACCTTGGTCTCCTCACAGCACCGCATGCAGTGGCTGACGTATGAGTGGATGAAATCGGGCGGCAAGTCAACGGCCTTTGCCACTCGGCTCACCACCTCGAGTGAGTGCAGGGTGAGGGGTAATTGAGACAACACCTCCAGGTACCTGTGGTGGAATCGGCGAAAGAGGAAGGAGGTTGAAGTCAAGGACAGGGAGTGGCAAGTCAACAGCCTTGGCCACGCGCCCCACAACCTCTAGTGAGTGGAGCGTCAGGGACAGCCGAGGCAACACCTCCAGGTACCTGTGGGAGTGGCTGTAAGGGGATTGTGGGTGTATGTATTGTGGAGGATTTCACAACGCACACCAATACAATGAAAGGTTAAGGGGCAGCTGAGAGAGAGAGCACACGCAGAATGAAGTCATGCACCACAACCTTGGGCTGTCAAGTCGAGAGAGCACATGCAGCAGCACAACAGCACTGAGTGAACCATCCAAAGCCTTTTGAAACATCTCGAAAGTCGCAGAATAACGTCGTGCACATGCACATGCACATGCAGCACAACAGCATTGAGTGAACCATCGACAGCCTTTGCCATTCCATGCTTTCTGCCATTCCGTTTGAGACCCCTCTCCCCTGCCTACTCGGAAGCTGGTAGCGATGCTAGCAGTAGACTGAAAGCACATGCAGCGGCGACTCAAAAGCATTGAACCATCCACAGCCTTTGCCATTCCGAAAATCTCCTCCATTCCATGTGGTGGCCCTTTCCCCTTACTCGAAAGCCGGCTGAGATGCCAGCAGCAGAGTAAGCGCACATGCAGCAATGTCTGGGTTGTGTTCTACTAGAGGCTGGGGGTGATAGAGGGAGGATGGAGAGAAAGAGAGGGGAACAAAGGGAGGAGGAAAAGGGAGGAAGTGAGACGGAGAGCACATGCAGCAATGTCTGGATAGTGTTTCACTAGAGGCTGGGGGAAGAGTGATGGAGGAGAGAGGGGAAGGAAGGAGCGGGATAGAGGAAGATAACAAAAATGGGAAAGAGGGAGAGGGATAGATGAAGCACGAAGAGGGAGTGCGAGGGAGGATGAGGGAGGACACATACAGCGATGTCTGGATTGTGTTCCAAAAGAACGGGGAGAGAGGAGAGGGGAGGGAGAGGGGCGAACATGGATAAGCGGAGCGAAGAGGGCCTGCATCGCAAAGGCTGAGTCAAGACCTGAACGATTTAGGCGCATTAGATGGGAGGCACGTACGGGCAGGGTCAAGGGTTGCAGGCCACATGCGGTGATGAGAGACGGATTGGCGGAGAGAAGAGAGAGGAGCTCCTGTTGGAAGGGTTGGGGGTGGAAGCCAAAAAAAAAATACACGTATGAGAATTCTACGGATCTCATTAGTCATTTCTATGGGTTGGCGGAGAGAAGAGAGAGGAGCTCATGTTGAAGGGGTGGAAAGAAATGAACGGTGGGGAAAGGGGGAAGGGCCAAATGAAGTTCAAGGGATTTTGACGACCCTTTGGAGGGGTCTATTCTTCAATCGAATCAGTAAAGAAAACGGATTGTGCAGACCCATTTGAAGGATCAGCAGGCACACTGATTGAAAAATAGATCCCTTCGCCCTTCGGGTTTGAGGGAAGTGCGTCTGTGGAGAGTGAGTCCAAGGGGAGGGAATCAGATGGGAGTGGGTTCGAGGGGAGTGGGTTCGAGGGGAGTGGGTTCGAGGGGAGTGGGCTCGAGGGGAGTGGGTTCGAGGGGAGCGGGTTCGAGGGGAGCGGGTTTGAGTGGAGTGGGTTCGAGAGGAACGAGTTCGAGGGGAGTGAGATCGAGGGGACTGAGATCGAAGGGAGTGGGATCGAGGGGAGTGGGATTGAAGGGAGTGTGTTTGGATCCCGCTCCCCTCGAACCCACTCCCCTCGAACCCACTCCCCTCGAACCCGCTCCCCTCAAACCCACTCCCCTCGAACCCACTCCCCTCGAACCCACTCCCGTCTAACTTTCTCCCCTTGGATTCACTTTTTCGACGGAACCACGAGCTTATTGGAGGGTGCCACGATATCCTCAACTGCTGCTTACTCAGACAGAGCCAAGTCAGGCTCATTTGTTGCTGAGTCAGCCTAACCTGTTGTTGAGTCCGGCTTATGTGCTGCCGAGTCAGCCTCACCTGCTGCTGAGTCAGCCTCACCTGCTGATGATTGGGCATGAGCGGACCTTCCAACGCCTTTTGCATCAACTGAAACTCTACACTCCCCCCTCCCTCTCCCTCTCCCCTTCTTCCTCCCTCCCTTTCCCCCTCCCTCTCCCCCTCGGACCCCGCCCCACCCCCACCAACACGCCTGCCACCCTCTCCATCTCTCACTCCCTCTGCCATGCCTCCTCTTCCCTCCTCCAACTCCCCTGCTCCGTCTCCTTCCCTGCGCCCTTCTGACTGAATATTTTCTACTACGCTCTGACTTCTTCCCGGCCTTTGTTGAGTAGCATAAGTGGTGCCTGCTACTGCTGTTGCTGCTGGTTTAGCAGGAGATCCTGTTACTGCTGCTGACGGTCCTGCTGATGAAGCTACTGCGTATGCTTCTTCTGATGGAAAATCTTCCACAATTCCATCCATCTGGGGAGGAGGGGGGGGGGGAAGAAAGAAGAAGAAAATACCTTGCCTCATTTTTCGTTCTTCACTGTACCTCATCGTCACTGCACCTTGCCCTCACCGTACCTCACCTTGACCAGAACCATACCTTGCCTTCACCGTACATGCCTTCACCGTACCTGCCTTCACCGTACCTGCCTTCACCGTACCTGCCTTCACCATACCTGCCTTCACCGTACCTGCCTTCACCGTACCTGCCTTCACCGTACATTCCTTCACCATACCTGCTTTCACCATACCTGCCTTCACCATACCTGTCTTCACCAGACCTGCCTTCACCATACCTGCCTTCACCGTACCTGCCTTCACCGTACCTGCCTTCACCGTACATTCCTTCACCATACCTGCTTTCACCATACCTGCCTTCACCATACCTGTCTTCACCAGACCTGCCTTCACCATACCTCGCCTGGTTGCGGGGGCAGCAGGGGCGGCAGAGGTCGAATCCAAGGAGGCTCGAACCCTCCCATTCCTCCCAGCTGTAGCAGCTGAATGCACGACGCTACAGATACTGCCGATGCTGCCAATGCTGGTGATACTGCTGTCCCATGCCCAGGAGTCTTGCCACTTCTATTCTCCTCAAGCTGTTTTGACCCCTGAGATGCCAATGCTGCTGGCGCTCCTGCTTGCTGTGCTGTCTGTGCTTGCATACACTCAGTCACAGTGCGTTTGGAGCACTTAAGCACACGTGGTACTGCTGCTGCTTTGAATGCATTGCAACCACTGGGCCCAGTGGAAGGAAATAGGGCAGATGATGATGATGAAGTAAAGGAGGGAGAAGCTTTGAAAGCAGAGGATGTGGCGGAGCGTGAAGAGGAAAACGAGGGTTTGATGTCGGGGTGTGCCTTGTAGATGGCTTCACGCGAAGGAAGCTGCACAAGGTAAGGGAAGTAATGATACACAAGGGAGATTTATACACAAGCTCCCTTACAAATCTTCTGAATTATTCACAAGCGACCCAGACGGGAAGGGGAAGAAATGCTACATGTATTCCAATGGGTACATGAACCTGTATTCCAACATCCAGGCTTATGGTCATGGTTGGGGTTCAAGGCACGGCCCTTTTGAGGCGCCTCAAACGTCAAAAGTCGTTTTGAGGCGCCTCAGAAATGCTACACAGTATGATGAGCCTGTATTCCAACATCCAGGCTTATGGTCATGGCTGAGATTCAAGGCACGGCCCTTGAGGTTCAGGTCTGAAGATTCATGGTAAGAATCAGGGTTCAAATTTCAGGGTAAGGGTCAGGGATCAAATTGGAGGTGAGGGTGTGAGAAGTAAGGTCGAACAAGGGATAGAGAGACTAGTTTGTGAGTTCAGCAGTATCACACACGAAGCACAGAAGAAACAGCAGTGCCCCATACATGCATGCACGCCCACACGCACGCACACTCACAAACAGAGGCACACACCCTCGCACCCACCCATCCACACACACAATGAAACACACCACACACTCAGACACACACACACACATATACACCACACACACACACACACCACACACACACACACACACACACCCACACGCACGCACGCACACACACACACTACACACAATCTCTCCCTCTCACCCAAACACTCCCACTCACCCCAACACACGCTATCCTTCTCTCCGACTTCCCTCTACCACACACCTGGTTGGGCGATTTAATGTGCTGCACATAGTCCCGAGCTGACTTGCTGGGCACCTGAGAGGAAGTTGTGACAATACAGGCATAGCAGTCCCTCTCCCCCCCCCCCACCATCACACACACCCTCTCACACGCACACACCTGGTTGGGCGGTTTGAAGTGCTGCATATAGTCCCGAGCTGACTTACTGGGCACCTGAAAAGGAGTTCAGAGTGGTCGATTGGACGACGAGAGTGGGTGGGTGGGAGAGAGGGTGAGTGGGAGAGAGGGTGAGTGGTTGAGAGGGTGAGCGGGCGGGTAAATGGGTGAGAGAGTGGAACAATGGGATAGTGGGATATGAGGGAAAGAGAGGGTGGGTGGATGACAAGAGAGGGAAGTACACAAATGACAAGGCTTGAGACGGCACACAAGGTTACAGACATCGGCAGAGAGCACATGGGTACAGAAGTTACGGCAGAGAGCACATGGGCACAGAAGTTAAGGCAGAGAGCACATGGGCACAGAAGTTAAGGCAGAGAGCACATGGGCACAGAAGTTAAGGCAGAGAGCACATGGGCACAGAAGTTAAGGCAGAGAGCACATGGGCACAGAAGTTAAGGCAGAGAGCACATGGGTACAGAAGTTAAGGCAGAGAGCACATGGGTACAGAAGTTAAGGCAGAGAGCACATGGGTACAGAAGTTAAGGCAGAGAGCACATGGGTACAGAAGTTACGGCAGAGAGCACATGGGTACAGAAGTTAAGGCAGGGAGCACATGGGCACAGAAGTTAAGGCAGAGAGCACATGGGTACAGAAGTTAAGGCAGAGAGCACATGGGTACAGAAGTTAAGGCAGAGAGCACATGGGTACAGAAGTTACGGCAGAGAGCACATGGGTACAGAAGTTAAGGCAGAGAGCACATGGGCACAGAAGATAAGGCAGAGAGCACATGGGTACAGAAGTTAAGGCAGAGAGCACATGGGTACAGAAGTTACGGCAGAGAGCACATGGGTACAGAAGTTACGGCAGAGAGCACATGGGCACAGAAGTTACATCCGTCTCGTGTGCTCTCTTGCGGACGGATGTAACTCTTGCGGACTTTCTAAGTCAACTCAGAAATCGACTTGTGCGGACTTACATCCGCAAGTGAGTGTGAGAGCAGGTTGAGGGCGAAGCAGCGCTCTATGGCCGGCAGGGATGCCTCTGATGCCACCTGGGATATCAGTAGGGGTAACAAGGAATTGCTTTGAGACCCGATGAGACTTTCGAACCCACTGGGGATGCCACCAAAGTGGGGTGGAGGGTGTGAGAGCAGGTTGAGGGCGCAGCAGCGCTCTATGGCCAGCAGGGATGCCTCTGATGCCACCTGGGGGATGGAGGGGAATACCGGAGTGCCTTTAATTCGTTGAGATGCTGACACGTTAAGATGCTGACACGATGTTGACATGTGGAGAGAAGGAGAACAAATGCATGTACATTGATCGAAGGAGGCAGAGGCACCGACAGGAGGCACAGGCTGTGAACGACGGTCCCACATCCAGCAGAGTTGGTCCCTCATCGGTTTGTCGTGAAAGGAATGATCCAGGAGGAACAGAAAGATGAACAATCAGAAGGAAACAGGGGGGATGAACTCACATGCAGCAGCAGGGGAGCAAGGGGTGATCCTTCAACGGTTCGTTGTGAAAGGAGTGATCCAGGAGGAACAGCGAGATGAACAATCAGAAGGACACAGCAGCAAGTGGAGGCGAGGGAGTAGAACCTCACGGGTAGCAGCAAGGGGGGGCGACCGGGGAAGTCTCACGTGTAGCAGCAGGGTGGGCAAAGGGGTGGTCTTTCAACGGCTCGCTGTGAAAGCAGTGATCCAGGAGGAATATCGCAATGGGCAATGAGAAGGAAACAGAGGGGATGAACTCACATGCAGCAGCAGGGGAGCGAAGGGGTGATCCTTCAACGGTTCGTTGTGAAAGGAGTGATCCAGGAGGAACAGCGAGATGAGGCGCTGAGCTCCCTTCAACGCTATCCCATCCTGTACAGTCACGTGCGTGAATCAGGGGTAATTCCTGATACGTAAAACTACACCGAAGCAAAGAGATTCACGGCCATAACGTTTTTAGAGGCGCCTTAAGAATCGAATCAGGGGAATCGCTAATAAGTATACTATACTGACTGACAAAGGCGATGACAAGGAAGCTTGCAGCTCTCGACGAATCTCCAGAAGCGATTTTTGAGTCGACTCAAAAATCGCCTCATCAAGGCGATGACAAGGAAGCTTGCAGCTCTCGACGAATCTCCAGAAGCAATTTTTGAGTCGACTCAAAAATCGCCTCATCAAGGCGATGACAAGGAAGCTTGCAGCTCTCGACGAATCTCCAGAAGCAATTTTTGAGTCGACTCAAAAATCGCCTCATCAAGGCGATGACAAGGAAGCTTGCAGCTCTCGACGAATCTCCAGAAGCATGACGATAGGGGAGCAGGCGATGAAACGACGGGCGGGAGGAAAATCGCAAGAGTTCAAAGCAGAGATCGGAACTATAAATAAGAGGACTACGACTCGAAGCGCGTCACTAGACCCACCTCGAGGAGCATGGCGAGGGCGCAGCAGGCGGTGAAGCGGCGGGCGGGAGGGAAAGCGCGGGAAAATGCATCGGCGTTGGATTTGAAGGACTTGTCTTCTGCTAGCTCAGACAGAAGCGCTGCCGACTCAGCGCCTGACAGCATGGCGGCGATACCGAGGGTGGATGCGCTCTGAGAGATGGTACTGTACAGTGGATCAGTAATCCCAGGGCTCGTGTGGATTGACCGCTAATTCGACCAGCAGGTGGAGTGAATTCAGCACGTCAGATCGGATAGGAAAGGGTAGGAGATTTTTGCGGCACGAAAGACGGCTCTAAGAATATATTATTCTGGGATCTGCCTGACACGCTTGTGTGTGCGCGCGTGTGTGAGGGGGGGAAGCATAACTAGGACTGGGCTGTGTCGACTCTAGGACCTGAGGTCGCATCCAAATTTTGATTTTTGTACCTGATATAATCCGCATATTGTTTTCGGCACCTTCACAAACGCCACAGCATTGCCAAATGACACCTAACGGTTGACACCTGACGTTCTCCAAACGATACCAATTTCAGAGACCACGAACCAAAATCGGGGTTACGTCTTCTTTTCTGACAACTCCGCATACCGACACAAGCATTCAAGCTTGGCACTTATACAGTTTCGTCTTACACCTGTACTCGACTTTGTGAGAGTGTCTGCCGCAACTTACGCAACTTTCACCCATGACAATTTGCTTCGCACGATGAACGAAATTATTGGTGCGGCTCGCGCATTTGTATATCTCGGGGCGCTTCGTTGTTGGAGATAACAAATGCAAAGGAATTGGATCAATCGCCTCCCTTAGTTCTACCACTACCGCCATCCCGCAATTATTGTGCTTGGAAGCCGAATTGCGAGCATCCTGAGCATAAATAGGCACAAACATTTGTAAAATCTCGTAGCGACTACTCTATTTTGAGCAGAATTCTCACTACCAGAAGCTCTGGCGAAGCCTTTGCGCCTTCCGCAACAACTGCTGGACGTCAAATCAGAGGAAAGAAACGCGGCTAAACCTATATTGTAAGCGCATTCCCATAATTCCGTGGGTCCAGCGGCTCGTGCACTCCTCCTCCCGCCGGACCGTTGACTCCATTACGCCACGCGCTGGTCGTTGAGACCCCTGCTGTCAGTCGTACAGCACTAGAGAAAATCAATGCTGTCAGTGTGCCTCGCCTCAGCAGCGCTGCCCTCGGAATGACTCGGCACCAGCTGTTCTAGAGTCACTGTTATTAGTAGTAATCGTACAAGGCCCTCTCAAGACCCCGCGCGGGCGCATCGTCGCCCCAAACAACGTACGTGCACTGGAAACTTTGGAGGCGCCTCAAAGATCGTGCGTTGACAACCTCACGCTCCTGAGAAAATCACGTTGCCGCAGAAGATTTGCACCAAACATGGCTTTAAGACCTGTCCGTCTTACTCTGCATTCCCGTCTGCCTTGGTTCGCCGTCGGCATCTACCTTGTAATTACCTCCGCGGGTCTTCCGTTCGTTGCAGCGGGCAGCGAAACGTACGCGATAGAAGCTAGAGCGAGGGTCGATGCAACGGACGACGTCGCAGGCTTCTTCACAAAAACAAGTCAGCCGAGTCAATTAGGTCAACGTGAGCAGTCCGTACAGTCAGACGCCAGTTTTCTCCACAGCATTGGTCCGAACGACGACGCGACACAGCCAGAGGGACCAAGTCACTATGAATTCATGATCAAGTCTCGAGACGGCATTTTTCGGCGCCGCGATGCGCGGCCACCTACAGACGATGAAAGCGGAGAAGAAATGGACGGTTGGGATGTTCGGAACGGCACACAAGCTCGCCGGGTGAGTTTCAGCCACTGATTGTCCACCTGGTGCTACTTTTGAATTGATACAAAATCCAAATCTCGGAGAAACGAGCCCACTGGCTACGTTGAGACCTCGCGACTCAATAGCTGCACTGCATCCGCATCCCCTTTCAGTCTGATCGATTTGTTGCCATTCCTTCACTTCATAACATATATCTTCCTTCCGTCTCCCCCTATTCCTACGCGTGATATACAGGCGATATTGAAAGGAAGCAGCAGCAGCAGCAGTGGCAAGAGCAGCGGGAGCAGCAAAAGTGGTGGCAAAAGCGGAGGCGGCAAAAGTGGAGGCAGCAGAAGCGGTGGAAGCGGTAAAAGCGGCGGCGGAGTGAGCAGAGTGGCTTGGGGGAAGGACATATTACAGGACGCGAAATCACGACGACGACGACGATGACGAATGCGACGGTCTCTTCAATAGTTACGCCAGTTGCGTGACGGCGGGGACGTGCGATAACAAATTGGAGAGTTGTGTGTCGACCGGCGGCGTCACATGCGACAGCGACTTCGCGGACTGCTTGAAAACGAAGGAGCCAGCCTGCGAAAACTTTTACTCACAATATAACGACTGCGTGTACAACGCTGGCGAGAGGCTCGTCGTGTCGCTGAAGCTTGTATGGATGCTGACTGTAGCGGCTATCCTCGCACTTGTACTCTGAATACGGCATTAGAAGCACCCCCGATTCCCGAGGTTTTCAGTGTTCAGCTGCTTTTGAAATGCCGGAAAGTTTAGAGGTAAAAATTCGGTTATAGTCTGGAGCTTGGAATAAGCACATGATGTGCAATAAGGGCTTGCTTAGAGTCTGCAGCTTGGAATGGGTGCAGTACTTCTGGTAGCAAACTCAATCAGTACTGCAGTATAGCATGCTGCTGTTGATTTAGACCTCAGATCATATGCTAGAGTAGGAGCTTCTTGTAAGCACAAATGCTGCAAAGGGGCTTCAGCTCTTGTCTGTCTTCATAAGAACAGGTAAATGGGGTTCAGGGGACTACACCAGACCTGCATATTGAAAGACCACTACATTAAGGTGCCGTGCTTGCTGTACATACTATTTTTGATGGGGGATGAAGAGCAAATGCGTCGGCATGACAGGAGGGAAGCTCACAGATGAGCCACCCCACCACCGCTTATGCGTGAAAACTCGTATTCAGTAATAAAATTGTATATGCTTATCCTCTCTTATTGTACAATCATCCACATGTAACTAGTGGAACCAACCATGCTACATTGATACCCAACTCAACTGTACAGTACAACCATGTGTGATGGTAATTACGAATCAGCCACTGTAGCAATTACAGCAACATAGATCTCGCTCCCGCCAAGAGTCGCGAGCTTATTGGACGGCATGAACTCGTCTGCTGATACCATGTGGATACATGTTAGGCCCCATGACTGCATGAGGAGGTGCAGAGAGGCATGCGTGCTGCCCAGGGTATGGGGAAGAAGGGGGGGGGAAGAGTGGAAGGAGAAGATGCCGTGTGAAGCCGCATGATTGCATGAGGAGGTGCAGAGAGGCATGCGTGTTGCATGGGGGATGGGGGGAGTAAAGGGAGCAGGAAGGGTGGGGCAGAGGGGATGTGGACGCATGTCAGACCCCATGATTGCATGAGGAGATTCAGGGAAGCATGTGTGCTGGATGGGGGATGGGGAGAGGGGAAGAGAATGGAAGGAAGCAACTTCATGACTGCATGAGCAGATGGAGAGAGGCATGGGTGCCGCATGGTGGGAGGAAGAAATCGGGGGTTGGGAGCGGGGGGGTGAGAGTCGGCATGTGAGCATGATTGCATGAAGGCCAAATTCATCCTGCCTGCGTGTCTGATAAGGCAGAGGCATGGGATCAGTCCTACCTGCGTGCTTGATAGGCTGTAATGAAGACTGAGCCTCGTTTCAACCCTAGGAGAAGATGCACCGTGGAGAGGAGAGGGTCAAAGGCTGCAGCAGGAGAGGGAGAGAGAGAGAGAGGCACGGAGAGTGTGTGGAGAGTGAGGGAGAGAGAGGGAGAGAGTAGAGATTCAGGAGATCCACCAAAGCACCCTTCATTGAACCACTCAGCGAAGTACAACCTGAAGAATCACCTGAAGCAACAAACACCATAATGCACCCTGCCTGAAGCCACCTGAAACACATCTATAGAACACATGAAGCCCAACTGAAGCACACCTGAAACACACCTAAAGAACACCTGAAGCACAACTGAAGCCCACCTGAATCATCATAGAGCACGTCTGCTCCTATAATGACATCAGCAGGGGTCAGTTGGAAGACCTGGTGAGACACGTCGCCCTAATTGAGTGGCTCCACGCTCGCACCCCCACCAGGCGGTGACGATACACCCTCAAATTCCCCAAAATATCCCAGATTCCCCAGATTCCCCAGATCTCCCCCCCCCCCCCCCCCCAAAAAAAACAGTTTTGTTGCCCAAACAGGGCATAGCTGCCTGAACCATACCTGAAGCCCACCTGAAGCATCATAGAGCACGTCTGCTCCTATAATGACGTCAGCAGGGGGCAGCTGAAAGACCTGGTGAGACATGTCGCCCCAGGTGAGTGACTCCACGCTCACACCCCCATCAGGCAGTGAGGATGCTTGTTCAAATTCCCCAAGTTTCCCTGATTCAACACGCTCCCGGTATTCCCCAGATTCTTTTCCTGATGCTGAACAGGCCTCCACTCCCCTACAGGAGAACCCATTCAGCTCTGCTACTTGATGCAGGCTGGAGAGAACCTGAGACAGCAGGTGGGAGTGGGATTGGAGGGAGCACTTTTGAGACATCTCAAAAGACCCCCCAGATTCTCCTTTTGGTGACTGACAGCCCTTCACTCCCCTACAGCAGAGGCCGTTCAGCTCTGCTACTTGATGCAGGCTGGAGAGAACCTGAGACAGCAGAGGAGCATGCAACGGGTGGGAACAGGATTGGGGGACCACGTTGGTGGAAGGAAGTGAGTTTCTTACTTGTGAGCTGGCCATTGTATTGGGAAAGAAACAGGAAGGAGTGTGAAGAAGAAGCAGCTGACCTGGGTCTGCGAGTGGGCGTCTGTGAGGGTGACTTGTGCGCCAAGCTTGGCACAGAGAATCCCACACAGGCCTGTTCCCGCCCCTAGCTGCCGTGCCGGCATGAAAAGAACCACAGAATGAACCACATAATGAACCGCGAATGAGCCACAGAATGAATCACAGAATGAACCGCGAATGAACCACAGAATGAACCACATAATGAACCGCGAATGAGCCACAGAATGAATCACAGAATGAACCGCGAATGAACCACAGAATGAACCACAGAATGAACCGCGAATGAACCACAGAATGAACCACGAATGAGCCACAGAATGAATCAGCAACAGAAGGTGAGAAAAGGGTGAGAGAGTAGGTAAGCAATCACCACTCCCACTCACTCAGATGGGGACCTAAAACTCTTGCTGTCACAAAACATCATATACATACTCAATAGATGTACACGTAGAAACTCTCTATCACATACGTACCTCGATAACACTCCTCCCTTGTATCACCCCCCGGTGCTGCCACAGGTATTCTGCCAACACCACTGCTGACGGCCACGTGTGCAGCCCCACGTGCTGACCCAGGTGCTGCGGAGAGGGTTGGGGAACGGTGAAAGGGAGTGTTAGAAGGTAGAAGTCAATCCCAGCACCACTGCTGACGGCCACGTGTGCAGCCCCACGTGCTGACCCAGGTGCTGGAGGGAGGGCGGGGGGATAAGGAAATGGAGGAGGGGAACATCAGCTGGGGGAAAGGGCAGTACGCAGCCCCACGTGCTGAACCAGGTGCTGCCACAGGGGCGAGGGAGACGAATTTTGAGGCGCCTCAAAATAAACCTCAAGGGAACATCAGCTGGGGGTAAGGGCAGTACGCAGCCCCACGTGGTGACCCAGGTGCTGCCACAGGGGCGAAGGAGGCGACTTTTGAGGCGCCTCAAAATACACCTCAAGGGAACATCAGCTGGGGGAAAGGGCAGTACGCAGCCCCACGTGGTGAACCAGGTGCTGCCACAGGGGCGAGGGAGGCGACGCGGAATTAGTGACTCCTTCAGGCCTAGAAGGGAAACCGATTAGAACAGGGGATGGGGAAAGGCGGGAATGCACTGTGGCAGGAGGAGAGAAGATCGTGGTTCCTAGCTCTACACTCAACTGGAATATTTTTTTTACGGAAATAAAAATGGCCCTTTCGTCCTACCCTAAACCGGCAATCTATATATTTGTTGTAAATCTCGTAACAGAAGTACACTAATGACACTGAAAACGTAACATTTCAATACCAGTAAATATTGTACCTCTATGACCGACACTCGAAGGGACGGGCTCTCGCTGTGAGTCGTAGAGCTGTTGCTCACGCCGCTCTTTTCGCTGCTCGCGTAACCCAATCGTCGCTTTCGCAATTCGGAATCTGTGCGATCGTCGCGACCGCAGTTGGAGGTGCTGCGAATGTCATCGGAATCGATGCGGCTCCTGTTGGTGTGACCAAAATCGCTAGTAGAATCTCCAATGTGAAAATAATAGACACGAATGGCGGACATGGAACCTCGTGCCCAACAACTGGGGCTCCAGTGTCATTTGGTGACAGGCTCTAGAATAACAGAATCTGACAATCTAGTGCCAAATTACTCACGCGTGCTGGTTGGGCTTGCATTCGTCTCGATGATTCTGGTGGTTCGAAACGTTTCTTTGCGTTGTCAAGGGCTAACATTTGTTATCAGATCGGTTGAAAATGCTTCAGAGGTGAACAAGAATTCGAGACATGCCTGCAAGGTGTGGTAGATTTTGTGCGTGTGGGCTTCCGAGTTCTCTATGGGTCGTGAACGATTTCTACATAACCACTACGACACCATGTAATTTCGTGTGGTAAAGCCTCTATGATTTTAACGAGGATGCCTATCAATCGCCGTTGAATGAGGAAGCCATCGCGACGCCATCGCTAATCAACACTCCCATCAGTACGACAAACCAGAACTGCTAGTTCACATCAGCGGACACCCCTCACCTTCGCCAGAGTTTCGTCACCTCCCTCGCCGCCCTGTTGTCGGTTCCCATCCATCCCAGTCCGTGCTGTTACCCTACGCCTCACACTTCTCTCCACCGAAATGTACCAGGTTGCTGTCGTATTCTTGTTTCGCCGCACCGCGATCACCGCTGGCGATGAGTTCCAACGCGTCATTTGGACCCAAGTTCGCGAAACGCCTGCTCGCAATTTTCGTAAGCCCAGCCACAGCCCTCCCACCACTTCGTACAAATTCCTCGCCAGCAACTCAATTCTCATCACAACCAATTTGCTTCCCCCATCCAGCCAAGTCACTCTTCCTTTACCTCCGCCGCAACACACGGTTCTTCGTCCGCTGCTCCATACCCAACTCGATCCTGATTTCCACCCAATTCCTAACCTTCAAGTTTATCCGACCAATAGTTTGTCCTTCGTCAGTATTAGAGCTTCTGTCTTTTGCAGCAGAGCCTTCGTCTCGCCACACCACGCAGATGGTTAATTCTCGCGTTCTCGCCATGCTCGGGCTCATCTGCGTCGCCCTCTGTGTGGCTGGCGCGAGCGCACAAGCGCCGCTGCCGAAGCCCACCAAGGCACAGCTCAAGGCGGAGCTTGTTGGAGATTACGTGTGTTGGAAGCAAGGTGGTGGTGGGGCGTTTGTATGCCCCCAACCCACCGAATGTGTGACTTGTGCTCACCTTCGAGTGAGTTGCAGGTTTGCGTGGGGTTGAGGATTGACTTCGGAAGACCCATTCGATTCGGTGCCACATGGCAGCACCAGGAACATTCGAGACCCAAGGAGAATTCGGATCGGTGAAATTCGAGAGTCGAATTTCACCCTTTCGATGTTACTCGAACATTCGCGAGTGTAGCGGTTCGAGGTTACTTGTGCGATTCGATCTTGTTTGCATGCTATAAATCTGTTTTCTTTGTATTGCATGCCATCATAGTGAAACTCAGAGTTCTTTGTACAAGGTACATTCGAACACAAATTCCAGAGAGCTTCTTTACTTGCATTCAAGAGCACCACCTAGCACGTGAACGCCTATATCTCGGAGAATACTTAGGCGATCGACGTGTTTGACGGCTCGTTGGAAAGCTAAGACAGAGCTCTATCGTTTAGAACAACTCCCAGTTCCTGCAAAGTAGAGGAGAGTCCTCTACAACAGAGCTGAACAACATGGCGACGAACATCACGAAGCGTTACCCGCAATACGCGAAATACGCCAAGGACATCAACCGTTACATCGGCCTCGCGTTCAACTCCAAATACGACTTCTCAGCCCTCGCGGACGCCACCATCCTCCTCCCCAGCGACACAGAAGCCCAAGCCCTCGCTAAGAAGCTCCCCGCTAATAGCAAAAACATCCCCACCATCTACAATATTACCGCGTACCACATCCTCCCTCGGAAGCAAACCGTTCGTCAGCTGAGCACGCTCAAGAAGTCGCAGCCGCTGGCGACTCAACTGAAGCAAGCCATCTACAAAGTTTCGCCTCAAAATGGAAACGCCGTGTCGTTCGCCCAGGGGCCGAACGCGCCTGCTGCCGCGTGGACGACCATCCAGATCGCGCGGCTGTACGCTGGGCCTTACTTCATCGCGCATGGCGTGGATAAGATTCTCATCCCCGCTGGCACGACCGTGCCCAAGTAGACTACAGTGCCCAATTATGGCTAGGATGGCTAGGAACAGGTTGTCTGTTAGAAGTTGACTGCCGTATCCCCAGCTGACGCTCAGTAGTGTTCTGATCAGCCTCAGAACATTTGCTACTGACCGTCAACTGGACGAGAATTGTGCATGATTCTGTCCCGTTTATTTATTGCTTTCTTGTGTAGACCTTGTTGGAAAATGTACGTTTCATTCTTGCATGACCTCTTACAGAAGCTATCTCGAATCTGAGCCTTCTGGTTCAGTCAATGAATATGAAGGTTTCTCATCCCATTGATATCATCGTCCAAAGAATAAACAAATCAACCCACTTTATCTTCAAATCTAATATCCAAAGCAGCCCACTGTATAATACAAGTATAAGTGCTGTAACCGAAACAACTCTTTACGGGAACTGTTGTACGGGCATAACCTTCCTGGCGCGGCCATACTCAGTATAAGCGCAGTCCACAGCAAGCACATCACTTGCCTCATACGACCTGGGTGTACCATCCAAGAACCCCTTCCCCTCCACCCCGTCAGCCGAAATCGGACGGTGCAGGCTCGCGATCAACCGCTGGAAATCCGCGGCGCGCTGCGTATGATCCGCGCGGTAAGTCTGGCCCAACACGCCATGGATCTCCTCTGTGTGCTCCAGCTCGGCAATCCCGACGTTGATATGCGCCTCGGCGTCGGTCGGGGTCTGCAGCTTCGGGTGCGCGACGCGCAGGCGCAGATCCAGCGAAATCAGACCGTCGACAGTCAGCATGTAATAATCCACATCGAACGGTCCTTCCTTCTCGAGCCCGCGGAATTGAACCGTCAGCCCGCCTTCGCTCGTCACCGTGTCACCAACCTTCATCCTCGGGATCTCCTCACCGTCAATCTCGATGCTCTTCATAAACCCGTCGCCGCGCTCCTGCTGCTTGCCGCCGCGCGCCGCGAGCCGAACCTTGTGGTCTGCGCCCTGAGCGGTCCAGACGATGCCAAGCTCCTTAATCCACGTGTGCACGGCCTTTCCGTCAACGACAAGCGCGGCGTTATCAGTGCGCTCGTCGTAATACCCCCTCAGCAGCATGTTCACGTGAAGATCGCGGTCCGTGAGCAGGCAGAACGCCTTGTCGGGGCGGCCGTTGAAGTCGAAATGCGTGCCATGCGCGCCGACCAAATGCGGGTCGTTCAGAATCTTCGCGCTAGGATTACACTCTCCGCCGATGCGCACCTGCAGATTCACGGGCTTCGTTTCCGTAGAATACTGCGCGGTCATTTCTCCACAGGTAAAATCAATCTGGTCGTGGATCAAATAACACGCGCCCTTGCCCTTCTTCCCGTCGATGGTGATATCGGGAATGTACTGCCAGTACGTGCAGAGCGGCGTCGCGGCGCACGTGTTACAGCACGACGCGGGGTTCGCCTTGAGCAACGTCAGCGGATTACCCGGCACGAACAGCTCGTAACCCAGCTTGTTCTTTTGCAGATAAGCGGTTTTCCACTTAGCGGGGATGCCGCCCTTGGAGCAATTCTTGGGCGTGCACGCTCCCGCTAGCTCCTTGTTCAAACCAGGCGGGCATTTTTGCGCGTTCCATCCTGCCTTCTTCACATCAGCCATGAAGAACGAGTCCTGCGCGGTATCCACGTAGGTGACTCCCGCCGCGTTGCCCGCCGCGGCCTGCTTTGCGATATCTGCGGGAACTTCGGTCATCAGACCGTCGTCTTTCTTGCTGCTTTGGTCGGGCTTCTCGTTCGCGGTGGCGCTCGTCAGGGGGCTGCCGGCGCGGGCGACTGCTAGCAGCAGCGCCAGGGACAGCGCGAGAAGCACGGCTCTAGCCATTCTTGTATGAGAAGTGAGAAGGGAGGGTGTCTGATTAGTCGGATGGAACTACAATACAGAGTTAGGAGTAGGGTACAGTCGATTTGAGATAATTCACTGCTGCTCGATTAGTTCCAATGCTTGATGTTGGGAGGAATTGGCAGTGATCGAACATATATGTGAGGGAGGGAGGGCGAGAGGGAGGGACCGAGTCGCGGTTGTGTTTGTTTCTCTGCGGCTCGCGCGAGCTAGGCTTCAGCGAGATGGCACTGTGCTGGATCCGACCTGGCTCTATACTGCCCGCGGTCATGTCACGTTGCTTGCTCCCGATTGGATAGACTCTCAGGTGTATCCAAACCTAATTGCTAACCACGAGACGCATGTCGGATCAGGTTTTGGCTCCAACAGATTCTGGCTAGTCACCTGAAATCAGTGGGCTGTGGTGTCCAGATTGGCAGCAAGAGGTGTACAGAGCCTGTATATTCCCGTCTGGTGCGTCATATAGACAGCACCAGGCATATGATTAAGCAGCTACTTCAAAATCAAATGCATATTGTGGTTATGTATAAGTCACATCACTGTTCAGTCAATTGAATCCCCTAATAAATAATCAGTATGGGTCCATGAAGCCTGTGAGTAGATGTGACGACAATTAACTGAATATGACACCTACTCTATTATTGAATCCTTCCCTGGTTTGACCTCTCACGGCTTGGTCCCTTCACTTCATCACTGATTTCGAGAGATACTCTGTAAGGTTATGGACCGTGGCAGCTTCGGGAGGAGAATAAAACTTCTTACAGTACTAAAAGATGCCAACAACTTGAAATACCGTACATGGTACAAATGGAAGCTTTTTTTTTTTAGAGAACGAGTTAAGACCCTGATAAATCAGTCGGAGGGGCGATACAGCCGGTTCTTCTGCTTCTGCAGCTCCCCTCGCAGAAAGAAATAATGCGCCTTCACTGCCTGGAGCATCTGAGCGCGCGTGTCCGGAATCGTGAGGTGGTTTCTCCTAAAGTACAGCAGCACCTCGTGCATCGATAGCTTATCGAGCATGTCCTCTACCACCACCCGCTCCCAGTCAATACTATCATACTCATCCTCACTCTCCCCAGGCAGACCCCCCCCCCCTCCTCCACTCCCTCCCCCTACTCCTCTCTCTCCAATCCCTCCCCCCGCTCCTCTCCCCCTTCCTGCTCCTCCACCTGCGTCCAACCCCCCTCTCCCTCTGCCACTCTTACCGGTACCATCTCCGCCCAAACCGTCCATGCGGGACCCCCCTGCAAGTCCGCCTGAGGAGGAGCGCATGCGTCGCTGTTCTGCCTGCAGCTGGAACTGCAGCCGCACGCTCTTCTTGAGCTCCTCTCGCACCACCAGCTGCCACTTTAGGAACTCCCGCCACCGCTGCTCCCTGCGCGAATTTAGGGCCAGCTGTTGACTCGTCCACTCTGGTTTGGGCATAAAGGGGGAGACAGGGGCAGGGGGAGCAGGGGGGGGGATGAAGAGAAGAAGAGGAGAGGGGGCAAGAACTCTTCTTCAGTTCCTCCGCACCACCAGCTGCCACTTTAGGAACTCCCGCCACCACTGCTCCCTGCGCAAATTTAAGGCCAGCTGCTGACTCGTCCACTCTGGATGGGATGGGGGGAGCCGTGGAGAGAGGAGGGGAGGATGGGAAAGGAGGGAGAGGGGGCGGGGGGCAAGAAGTCTAATGAGATGCAGGCAAGACGTGAACATGCACATGGACATACATAATACCATACCAACCCTGCCACACTCACAGTCACTGCATCCCCCTGCACCGCACCCACCTGCACCGCACCCACCTGCACCGCACCCACCTGCACCGCACCCACCTGCACTATACCCACCTGCACCGTACGCACCTGTTTTCTGGCTCAACTCGTCCACTGAGATTCGCATGCACATGCTGCATCGCTGGACCGACCTTCGACAGTCTGAGAGAGGAGGGAGGGAGGGAAGAGGAGAGAGGGAATAGGAGAGTGAGCAGAGGATGTTTACAGTACAGCATGCATCATAGCCATCATGCATCATAGCCATCATGCATCATAGCCATCATGCATCATATCCATCATGCATCATGCAGAAACTTATTCTACAGGGATGAACAGCCCTCCATCACTCTGAGAGAGGAGGGAGAAGAGAGAAGCAGGGTGGTGCAAAATATTCCTCTGAAGTCCTCATTTCGTATCCTCCCCCCCGTTTTCCACCAAACCACCACTCCCCCTTTTCCCCTTACTTTACCTCACCATAGAGGCACGGGTCAACGATCCACATAAGTTCCGCGTCAGAAATTTTAATGCTCTGATCAAACTCCCGATCCAGCTGCTCGCTTGTCGCGTGCGCCGGCATCTGCTCGTCTTGGTTGTAGTAGTGGTGCCGTCATTCTTTTGAGCATTCATTCCGTATCTTTCCCTCCTCCCCCCCTCCCTCCCCCCCAACCCCCTCCTCCCCTGTCCCGTCCCCCACTTCCCCTGTAAAACCACTCACCATAGAGGCATGGATCCGCAATCCACATAAGCTCCGCGTCAGCAATCTCAATGCTCTGAACAAACTCCCGGTCCAGCTGCTCCTTATACCTCCCTCTCTCCACCAAACCTTACAGTCACTCACCGTAGAGGCACGGGTCAGCGATGAGCTCCGCGTCGGCAATCTCGATGCTCTCAACCAGCTCCCGGTCGAGCTGGTCAATTGTCACGCGCCCTGCTCCCCCACTCTCCCCCCTCCCCATCTTCTCCCCACTCACCGTAAAGGCATGGATCCGCAATCCACATAAGCTCCGCGTCGGCGATCTCAATGCTCTGAACGAACTCCCGGTCCAGCTGGTCAATTGTCACGTGCGCCGGCATCTGCTCGTCCCGATTGTAGTAGTGGTGCCTCACGCCGTGCCTCTCGCTTAAGAATAGGCCGTAGAGGTCTATGTGGTGGCACTTCTGTTGGTGGGAAAGAAAAGAAACAAATGTGAAGAGAATGTAAGGGATGGAATGGAAAGCATGTACCCGTCGCGGTTGTAATAGTGGTGCCTCACGCCGTGCCTCTCGCTTAAGAATAGGCCGTACAGGTCTATGTGGTGGCACTTCTGTTGGTGGGAAAGAAAAGAAACAAATGTGAAGAGAATGTAAGGGATGGAATGGAAAGCATGTACCCGTCGCGGTTGTAATAGTGGTGCCTCACGCCGTGCCTCTCGCTTAAGAATAGGCCGTACAGGTCTATGTGGTGGCACTTCTGTTGGTGGGAAAGAAAAGAAACAAACGTGAAGAGAATGTAAGAGATGGAATGGAAATCCTAAGCTCGTTGGGTTGTAATAGTGGTGCCGCACGCCGTGCCTCTCGCTCAGGAATAAGCCATAGAGGTCTATGTGGTGGGACTTCTGTGGATGGAATGGAATGAATAAGGGGGGAAAGCAAAGAGGGGCAAGAACTGTGAGAAACAAAACAGAAGTATTTTCTGGTTGTAGTTCTGGTGGCGCACGGCGCTCCTCTTGTGAGGCGCCTCAAAACCGCGAGACATGAGACGACTTTTGAGGCGCCTCAAAACCGCGAGACATGAGACGAATTTTGAGGCGCCTCAAAACCGCGAGACATGAGACGACTTTTGAGGCGCCTCAAAAATTTTCTGGTTGTAGTTCTGGTGGCGCACGGCGCTCCTCTTGCTAAGAAAGAAATAGGCACAAGTTAATGTGGTCGCATTTCTGTGGGAGGGAAAGAAGAAAAGCAAAGAAAGCTAACAAGGGACCGAAGTAGGGAGACAAAGGGACAGAACTGCGGGACACAGTCCCAATTGTGCCACTTGCGCTTGTCCCGGTTGTAGTAGTGGCGCCTCACACCGTGCCTCTCGAGGAGACGCGTCCTTCACCTGCAGGGCGAACAGGGTTCCCTTGTTTCGCCACCTACGGGATCATATTGGGGTGCCAATGACAAGTGAAGGTCCCTTCACTTGAGACGAGAAAGAACCACAGAGATCCAATAATAGAGAATTGGATCTCTTTAACCACAGAGATCCAATAATACCAAAAAGAAGTGCTTAAATCAAGCAAGTCGCATAGAGACATGACCTGCTCACCTGCAGGGCGAATTGGATCCCCACGTATCCCACTGATGTGAAGGCGCCAAAGGTGTTGAATACCTGCGGAGGGGAGAGGAGGAGGCAACATGGCAGCAGGGAAGGATATGACGCGCTTAAGAAAGTAAACTTCTGAATCACATACAACGACTGTCCCCACGTATCCCACTGATGTGAAGGCGCCAAAGGTGTTGAATACCTGCGGAGGGGAGAGGAGGAGGCAACATGGCAGCAGGGAAGGATATGACGCGCTTAAGAAAGTAAACTTCTGAATCACATACAACGACTGTCCCCACGTATCCCACTGATGTGAAGGCGCCAAAGGTGTTGAATACCTGCGGAGGGGAGAGGAGGAGGCAACATGGCAGCAGGGAAGGATATGACGCGCTTAAGAAAGTAAACTTCTGAATCACATACAACGACTGTCCCCACGTATCCCACTGATGTGAAGGCGCCAAAGGTGTTGAATACCTGCGGAGGGGAGAGGAGGAGGCAACATGGCAGCAGGGAAGGATATGACGCGCTTAAGAAAGTAAACTTCTGAATCACATACAACGACTGTCCCCACGTATCCCACTGATGTGAAGGCGCCAAAGGTGTTGAACACCTGCGGAAGGGAGAGGAGGAGGCAACATGGCAGCAGGGAAGGATATGACGCGCTTAAGAAAGTAAACTTCTGAATCACATACAACGACTGTCCCCACGTATCCCACTGATGTGAAGGCGCCAAAGGTGTTGAACACCTGCGGAAGGGAGAGAGAGGGAGAGCCGGTAGCAGCAGAAAAGAGGTTTGAGGAGACTCATCCAGAATTCTCACAAAAATAAATGAGGAGGAGCATCCCCACGTATCCCACTGGTGTGAATGCGCCAAAAGGTGTTGAATACCTGCGAAGGAGAGTGGGAGAGGTGATGGCATAGCATAGCCACCTGGTTGCTGCATGTGTTTTTTGAGAATTCTCAAAAAACACAAGCCACCTTGTTGGTGGCATGCACTTAGTCTAGCTAGTTAAGACCACCTGCCATGCCTGTACCTTATGAACAATATCAATACAGGACTGCTTGGGAGAGGTGATGGCAGCACATAAAAGGTCAACACTCACACACACACACACTCACCTGGGACTCGCACCCACCTGCGACTCAAACCCCAGGTCCAGCATGTAAAGAGGATTGGTTTTGAGACGTCTCAACACCAATCTTCATACACGTGGCAACCCCAGGTCCAGCATGTTAAGAGGCCCCTCCCGGAACACCCTCTTGAACTTGAGTAGATGCTGCAACTCGTCCTTCACTCCGCTCAGGTTCGTTACGCGTGCGGTGTCGCGCGCAGTGCATGTTATTCTCACACACTCACACACCTGTGACTCCCTCACCCACCTGAGATTCAAACCCCAGGTCCAACACATAGAGCGGCCCCTCTCGGAAGTCCCGCTTTGAACCAGAGCAGATGCTGCAACTCATCCTTCACTCCCCTCGAATACCACACAGTATAGCGCAGGACCGCATAGCACCACACAGCACAGTGACTTCCACACCCACCTGCGATTCAAACCCCAGGCCCAGCACGTAGAGCGGGCCCTCCCGAAACACCCACTTGAAGTTGAGAAGATGCTGCAACTCGTCCTTCACACCCCTCAGGTACAGGTGGTATACCGCCCAGTGTAGGGTACCGCACAGCACTGCACAGCACTGCACAGCACAGCACCGCTCAGCACTGCACAGTGACTCGCACCCACCTGTGATTCAAATCCCAGGTCCAGCAAGTATAAAGGCCCCTCCCTGAAGACCCGCTTGAAGTTGAGAAGATGCTGCAACTCGTCCTTCACACCCCTCAGGTACAGGTGGTATACCACAGTTTCGTTGCCCTCCCTGAAACCCGCCTTGTCAGGTATGCTGAGACGGAGCGTGGTTTTCTTCCCCACCTGACGCAGGGTAGATGAATGGGGGGTGGGGAAAAGGATAAGGGGATTCAGGTACAGGTGGTATACCACAGTCTCGTTGCCCTCCCTGAAACCCGCCTTGTCTGGTATGCTCAGGCGAATCGTGGTCTTCCTCCCCTCCCCACCTGAAGGAGGAGGGAGGGTTAGATGAAGGAAGGGGGAGGAGGGGGGTTGGCGGGAGTGGGGGGGGGGGGAGTGGCGGGGGTGGGTAAACTGGATTACAGTTGCAGGTACAGGTGACATACTACTGTCTCTTTGGCCTCTCTGAACCCTGCCTTGTCTGGCACGCTTAGGAGAAGCGTAGCCTTCCTCCCCACCTGAAGGGGGTGTGAATAGTGGGTGGGTGCTGCGTTATAAGGCACAGAAACGTCTTGTCATGCTTGTGAATGTCCTCATCGTTTCTCTAGATATCTAAATATCTTGAGTCCCTTGAATCAATTGCATTGCACCCTCCTATTTCTCGTACCCCTTACTGGGTGCTGTGTTAAAGCGCAAAAGCATGCATGTCAAGGTTGTCAATCTCCCTGGAATCGATTGCACCCACCTGCTTCTCGTACCCCTTAGTGGGTGCTGTGTTAAAGCGCAAAACCATGTCATGCTTGTCAATCTCCTCCCCATCCTCCCTCAGCAGAAGCGCACCCGAATTACCCACCACAGCACACGTCTCCCATACCTGTAACAGGTGAACATGTTATCAAAGCAGAAAAACAAACGGGAAGAGAAAACAATCAAAGCAGAAAAACAAACGGGAAGAGAAAACAATACGTTTGGGAAAACAGATGGACAAGCAGGAAAGACTCTCAACAGCGGCGTGTAGTGTCAGAGAGAAAAAGAAAAGGAACACCTGGAAGAAAAGGAACACCTGGAAGAAAAGGAACATAAGCACAACAAGAGAGAGGTGGAAGTCAGAGAGACTGGTTTAGGTGTAACCCTGAATTTGTATAGAGGACAGGCAGGGGAGACTCTCAGAAGCAGCGCGATAGAAAGACAGATCATGCTCCAACTCTGAAGGTCTGGTAAAGGTCCAATACCCTCCCAAAGAATGAACTCACAGAGGTCTGGTATACGTCGGTCAAAGGCAGCACAGCCCGCAGCTGCCGCCTCTCTTCAATCGACAGCCCTTCCAGCAGTATGGCGGACCGCGCAGCCGACCCCCCCCCCCCAGTTCCCCCCTTTTGTGAGTCGACTCAACTCAACATCAGTCACTCACAGTGGTCTGATAGATGTCGGTCAAAGGCAGCACAGCCCGCAGCTGCCGCCTCTCTTCAATCGACAGCCCTTCCAGCAGCATAGCGGATCGCGTAGCCGATCCCCCTCCTCCCCCTCCGCTGCTTCCCTCCTCTCCTGCTGCTGGCGGCGGTGGCGGCATGAGGGCCTGTGCTGTGAGCAGGTAGCTTCCCACGTAGGGGTCAACAGTCAGCTTGTCCGTGTTGCGGGTCTCCTGTTACCATGTTACAGGGCAATGGACGCGAATGGGAGGTTTGGGAAGGAAAGGTAAGAAAGGCTGTAGGGGATGAGCGCCTGTGCAGTGAGCAGGTAGCTTCCCACGTACGGGTTGACTGTGAGCTTGGTCCGTGTTGCGCGTTTCCTGTTAGCAGACACGGGATGGGAACAGGACGCCACGGAAGGAAGGCTGAGGGATGGTGAGGAAAGGCATGGCAAGGCAGGCTGGGCACGAGGGCCTGTGCAGTGAGCAGGTAGCTTCCCACGTACGGGTTGACTGTGAGCTTGTCAGTGTTGCGCGTTTCCTGTCACCAGGCTACCCGGGCTAACACACAACAACAGGAAATCTGGGAAGGAAGGATGAGGGCGTTGATAAGCGAAGGTAAGGTAAGCTGCAGAGCAGGGCACGAGGGCTTGAGGAGTGAGCTGAGCAGGTAGCTAGCAATGTGGGGGTATAGATACTGTCGACTCAAGTACCAGTCACCCTACCTTACAGATAACACCTACCTACCTACCTCCCACCTCAAGATTACCACCCACCTCACAGTTATCCCCCCCATAGAGCACAGCACAGATGCACTTGCTGTCTGGCCACCGCAGAATGCTGTTTGTTGGCCTCAGAATTACCACCTACCTCCCTCACATACCCACCTCACAGATATCCCCCCCATAGAGCACAGCGCAGATGCACTTGCTGTCTGCCTGCAGATATCACCTATTGAGTCGACTCAAGGACGAGTTATTCTACCTCCCTCACAGATACCACCTCAGTCACAGAACTCACCTCACAGTTATCCCCGCCATAGAGCACAGCACAGATGCACTTGCTGTCTGCCTGCAGAATGCCCCGGCCCAAACAGGGTAGCTTGGTGGGATCCACAGGTGGAGGCACCTCGATTACAGCTGAGAGAGATAGTGGAAGCGGAAAAAAAAAAAAAAAAAAAAAGGAAAAAAAAAAAACGGAAGAGGGAGTGAGACACAAGTTGCTGCTGCCTACCCCCGGCCCAAACAGGGTAGCTTGGTGGGATCCACAGGGGGAGGCACCTCGATAACAGCTGGGAGAGATAGTGGAAGCGAAAAAAAAAAAAAAAAAGGAAAAAAAAAAAACGGAAGAGGGAGTGAGACACAAGTTGCTGCTGCCTACCCCCGGCCCAAACAGGGTAGCTTGGTGGGATCCACAGGGGGAGGCACCTCGATTACAGCTGAGAGGGAAAGGAGAAGTGACGGGAAAGGCAAAGCAGAAGGAGCAGGGAGGGTGCGAGAGGAGGGGGGTGAGTTGCCTTGTCTTGAGAGAGGGCAGAAGCTATCGCCTGCCCCAGTCCAAACCAAGCAGCTTGTTGGGATGCACAGGTGGAGGCACCTCGATAACGGATGTGAGAGAGTGGAGCCGTGGAAGGGAGAGAAAAAGGAAGAGGGAGTTTTTCTCTCCCTTCCAAACTCCAAAAAGGTACAAGATGACGCAGAATGCCCCGGGTCAAACACAGGAGCTTGGTGGGATTCACGGAAGGAGGGACCTCCATAACAGCTGGGAGGTAGAGAAAAAAGGGACAGGGCACGTGTGGGGTGGGAGGGACTAGCGTGAGACACAAGATGATGCAGAATGCCCTGGCCCAAACACGGGAGCTTGGTGGGATCCACGGAAGGAGGAACCTCGATAACAGCTGGGAGGGAAAGGAGAGGAAGGGATGCAGGGAGAAAACGAGGTGACTTTGGAGTCGACTCGAAAGGAGAGGAAGGGATCCAGGGAGAAAACGAGCAACAGGGAGTGTGGGGGGGAGCAACAGTGAGAGGGAAAAATTAGGCCTGGATTGGAATTGACTTAAGTTGAGAAAGTAACGCTCATGGAGAGGGAGGGACCTCTCTGTAACCAAGAAAGTTGATGCCCTTTCAAAGCCCACAGACACTGACAGTTGCAATCTTGAAAAGAGGACCCCTCTTCACTGCTCAGCTGCACTCATATGCTCCCTTGTGTGCTCCCTCTCACAGCCCAGCACCATCCAGCACCACTCCACACCTGCTCGTGTCCACCACCACTCACATGCACCCTTCTGTGCGCCCCTCCACACCCCAGCACACTCAGCAGCACCACTCCACACCTGCTCGTGTCTATCTCACACCACTCACATGCTCCCTAGTGTGCTCCCCTTCACAACCCAGCACCACGCAGCAGCACCAATCAGCACCACTCCACACCTCCTCGTGTCTATCTCCCACCACTCACATGCTCCCTTGTGTGCTCCCCTTCACAACCCAGCACCACGCAGCAGCACCAATCAGCACCACTCCACACCTCCTCGTGTCTATCTCCCACCACTCACATGCTCCCTTGTGTGCTCCCCTGAAGTCCACCTCCACTCCTGGCTTCGCCTTCTCCTCCTCGCGCACCTGATGGGTGGGAGGTCACATCAACCACTTGATGGTAATTTCCGAGTCAACTCAGCAGAGAGCATTCCTGAGTCGACAAGATAATCATTCCTGTAGTCAACTTTTACTCCTGGCTTTTGACCTTCTCCTCCTTGCGCACCTGATGATGGGATGGGAGGGAGATTTTTGAGGCGCCTCAAAAGTCACCTGATAATGGGAGGGAGAGAATCACAGCACAACCACGGACGGAGGTAAGTTCTGAGTCAACTCAGAGACCGATTTTAAGTTTGACCCACAAAACACCCCTGAAGTCAACACGAGTCAACTCCTCGCGCACCTGACATGACACGTGGGAGGGAGGTTGTCACAGCATGAGAGCAGGGGTGGGTTCACAGGAAGATTATCAAAGTCAGCGACCAATCTTAAGTACACAAAGATGATCTTATCCACAGAGTCTTCCCATTGTGATTACACGTGTAAAAAGTGATTTTTTTAGACGTCTCAGAAATTCACCTTTTACACGTGGATTAAGTACACAAAGATTATCCACAGCGTCTTCCCACTGTAATTATCCAATTGTGTTTAGTGTCAGCTTGAACCAACCCCGCCAGTTACCAGTACCCAGACGAAACCCCAACACACCTTCTACCAACACACTTGCAGGTGCGTAGAAACCCAGAAACCCCACCACACCTGCTCCCACACACTTGCATGCATGTGCTTAGAACCCAGAAACCCCACCAAACCTGTTACCCACACACTCGCAGGTGCGTAGAATCCCAGAAACCCCACCAAACCTGTTACCCACACGCTTGCAGGTGCATGGAACCTAGAAACCCCACCGCACCTGCTCCCCACACACACACTTACCTGTGCCTAGAACCCAGAAACCCCACCGCACCTGCTCTTGAGCAATCACTTCTGGCTTCAATACAGGCAGATTATCCACAGGGTCCTCTGAGTGTGTTTGATGTCCACTCAAACCAGCCCTGACCCAGACGTAACCCCACCGCACCTGCTCCCCACACACTTACCTGTGCCCAGAGCCCAGCAACCCCACCGCACCTGCTCCCCACACACTTACCTGTGCCCAGAGCCCAGCAACCCCACCGCACCTGCTCTTGAGCAATCACTTCCGGCTTCAACACAGGCAGATTATCCACAGGGTCCTCCTCCGGCTCCTTCTTGGAAGCTGCGCCTCCCTTCCCAAACCCAAACCACTGAAACCCACCCGCTGCAGCACCCCCACCCTCCCCATTCCCCCCATTTTCCCCACCACCACCTCCTCCTCCACCTGCTCTTCCTCCTCCCTCCGCCCCTGTTGTATTCTGTTTTTGCCATAGCACCACCCCTGGCAGACCAGCATATAATCTCTTCCATCCGAACCCAGCCGGTTGGGCTTTAGTCCCTGTGCCATTCCCCCCCTGCCCTGCCCCTGCCGTGCCTCCGCCCGCCCCCTCCCCGCCTCCCTCGCCCCCCCCTCCCCCAGGCCCCTCGTCCCCGGGTTCATCCTCAATACTGTCCACCTCGTTTGCCTCTAGAAGCTCGTTTCCTTCGTGCACGAATTCGTCCCTGTTACGCGCATCGCTATCCATACCAGCATTTGCAGCCCCAATACTGCCAGTACTGCCACTGCTACCACTACTGCTACTGCTACCGGCACTGCCACTGCTACTTCCACTGCTGCCCGTGCCGTCGCTCTTGCCTTTCCCTTGCTCCCTCTGTGTGCCATCCGCCCCTGCTGCTGCCACCACTGCTTCCCCACCGCCCTCCCCTGCTGCTGCATTCCCAGCACCACCCTGCTTCTCTCCCTGTCCCTCTATAGAGTGACCCGCTTCCCCTTCAGCTCCTCCTCCTCCCCCTCCCCCTCCTGCTCCATCCCCACCACCAAGACCAAGGCCAGCAGCAGCAGCAGCGGCAGCAACAGCAGCACCCAGATCTGTCTGCTCCTCAGGCAAGAAAACTTTCTCTGCCTGACCGTCCCCTCCCGGCTGCTGCTGCTGCTGCTGCTGCTGCTGCTCTCCCTGCGCAGCTTGCCCAGACTCTCCCTGCCTAGTTCCTTCGTCCCCACCCTTCCCGCTGCCTCCTCCTCCGCCCTCTCCGCCTCCCTCTCCCCCTCCCCCACCCCCTCCCCCGCCCCCTCCCCCGCCCCCACTGCTCTCACTGCCGTGCACAAACGCCCCAGAATTAAACTCCTGCTCAAGAGCTGCCTCCATGCTGACATCATCAGGGTCCATGCTTCTCACCGACTCCACAAAGTCGAGCGGCCCCAGCATGCCATCTATCAGATGCAGCACCAGCTGGCCTTCTAGGATGTCCACCTGGCAGATGGATGGGAGAGAGGGAGGGAGAGGTGATTTGAGTCGACTCAAAACACGGCCCCAGCATGCTATGTATCAGATGCACCACCAGCTGGCCTTCTAGGATGTCAACCTGGCAGATGGATGGGAGAGAGGGAGCGCTGATGCTTCAGCATCCTGTCAACAAAGTGAGCATTCAGCCTTTTCAATAATGACAGAGTTACAAAAAGTCTCAAACCACTTCAATCATCAGGAGGAGGGAGGGGTAATGCTTCAGGACGCCGTCATGCTGGCCGAGCATTCCGACAACAAAGTGAGCATTCAACCTTCGAGTGCTGAAACGTAAAACCCTCATAAAAGGCTCATGAGGTCCAAAACCGAGTTCAACCGCTCAAAACCATTCTGAGCACTCCACACAGCGCACCTGTTTTCTCGGCACACCATTGGCATACATCCGTACAGCGCGCGGGTCCCTGCCCACGTTGATGATAAACCCCGTGATCGATTCCAACCCCTCAAACGCCCCCTAGAGGCACCTCCCCGCATACTTCTCCCAGACGCACCCACACTTCGCAGCTGCTTGCTCGGCACCACGTTGGCAAAGATCCGTCCAGTGCGCGGGTCCCTGCCCACGTTGATGATAAACCCTGTAATCGACTCCAACCGCTCAAACGCCCCCAGCGGGATGTCCGCTGCTGGGATGCTGCACACACTCACACTCACTCGCTACCCACCTTCGCCTGCTGCACAGAACCCAGCCCGACCCATACACCAAAAAACCTCACCTGCTTGCTCGGAACACCATTTGCGAAAATCCGTCCAGTGCGCGGGTCCCTCCCCACATTGATGATAAACCCTGTTATCGACTCCAACCGCTCAAACACCCCCAGCGGGATGTCCGCTGCTGGGATGCTGCACACACTCACACTCACTCGCTACCCACCTTCGCCTGCTGCACAGAACCCAGCCCGACTCATACACCAAAAAACCTCACCTGCTTGCTCGGAACACCATTTGCGAAAATCCGTCCAGTGCGCGGGTCCCTCCCCACGTTGATGATAAACCCTGTTATCGACTCCAACCGCTCAAACGCCCCCAGCGGGATGTCCGCTGCTGGGATGCGGCGAGGCACGGCAGAGTAGCCCACTAGCCGACTCAACATGGGGTCGATCTAGAGGAGAGGGGAAAGGCATAAGGCAGAAAGTGGGGGGTATGGGGAGAGAGAAAGAGGGGAGGATGGCAGCAACACGTCCGCTGCTGGAATGCGGCAAGGTATGGCGGAGTAGCCCACTAGCCGACTCATCATGGGGTCGATCTAGAGGAGAGGAGGGGGGGAGGGAAGTAAAAGGGGGAGAGAAGGGCCGTAGAGAGCGGGGTAAGGGGGGGGCGAGAGGGTGGCTCCCAAAGGCACGTTGGCTGCTGGAATGCGGCGAGGCACGGCGGAGTAGCCCACTAACCGACTCAACATGGGGAGGGCAAAGGGCAGAAAGTGAAGGGTATGGGGAAGACTTTTGAGGCACCTCAAAAGTCGACAGGGAGGAATAGCCCACTAGCCTACTCAACAGGGGGAGGAAGGGCAAAGGGCAGACAGTGAAGGGCATGGGGAAGCGAGACAGGTGGGGGGAGGTAGGGGCGGGGGGGGAAGGGGGGGTGTTTATAAGAAACATCAACAACACACGTCACAATCGAAGAATCTCAAATGAACGACCCTCACCATTTCCTTTGTTCTGGGGTACTTGTGAAAGACGCTGCTGATGTCCAATAGGAAGTCGTCTGAGGGAGCAAACAGCGTGAAGGGCTCGTCGCTGCTCAGCATACCCGCCATGGCACCTGCATGGGAGAAAAAGGGGTAGGGTTTTAAAACTGCTATTATTGTTCAGGCGCCTAGAAAACGGGGCTCGTCCGTGAGAGATGGAGAAGGGGATGGATGCAGCATATGAGAGAGTGAACGAGAAAAAAACAGCAACAAAACAACAAAACGCCCCTTTTGGCAGGAACAACAAAACGCACTCACTGCTCTGCTCCCAACCCACAAACCCGTATTGAGCAACAAGGCAGAAGTGCTCGTCTCGAAATAATGTGTTATAGCTTTGAGAAAATCAAACAAACAAACAAAGGATCAAACCAACCTGAGAATATCTGGAGTTTCCCGCCGGAATCAGTCGAGTCCTCCTTTCCTTTATGGCCTCCACTGCTGCTGCTCTGAGTGTCTGAATCGGCTATGTGCTGCCGCACACTGTCTGGTGCTGTCCCCACCTCCAGCACTGGTGCCGTCTGCTCGCTCTTAGGCGACGTGCCTGGTGACGGGGGAGGGGGAATCGGAGAGGGAGGGGGAAGGGGAAGTATGGGGGTAGGGAAGGTGGGCCGCAGTGGGGTTGGCGGGAAGGAGGGTTCATGCAGATTTTGAGTCGAATTCACACCCAAGTAGGTGCTCTGGGTTTCTGAATCGGCTATGCGCTGCCGCACACTGTCCGATGCTGTCCCCACCTCCAGCACTGGTGCTGTCTGTTCGCTCTTGGGCGACGTGCCTGGTGAAAGGGGGAGGTGAAGGGGAGGGGGGAGGTGCGAAGGGACAGAAGGGAGGGGGGAATGGGGGAGAGAGCGAAGTGAGGGAAGGGAAAGGGAAGGAAGGGAAGAGGGAGGAGTGGGGGAGGGGTTCTGAGTGGGGATTTAGGGACGGGAAAGGAGATGTAGATTCTGACTCTGAGTGAAAGTCAGCAACGCCCCGAGTTGCAACTTCGTCAACTCAGCAGGCAAAAGGACGGCACGTGAGACGCCTGATGCCCTCACAGCAACATGCTTGCAGCGAGTACGAGGAGGAGGAAGGGAGGAGGAGGAGGGGAAGGAGAAAGAGAGAAGCGCCTGAGTGGATGAGGAGAGAAGGAGCATGAGGATCATAAGGAGGAGGAGGAGGAGGAGGAGGAGGAGGAGGAGGAGGAGGAGGAGGAGGAGGAGGAGGAAGGGAGAAGCACCTGAGAGGAGGAGGAGGAAGACAAAGAAGAGAATGGTCCCGGAGATGATCATTATGGTTCATAACCGCTTCATAGGAAACATTTTGCGCATTCTAATAAATGCTATTATTTTTATACGCGAGAATTCTTAAAAGTGATCCCAAAATGAACGACCATCATGCTCCATAACAGCTCCATGGCATGTAAGTCGACTAAACTTACCTGAGAGGATGAGGAGGAAGACGAAGAAAAGCATGGTTCCGCAGATGACCATCAAGGTCCATAATCGCTCCGTGGGGCTCGCGGGCTTGCTCCGCCGCTTCACGCGCGGCAACGATCCGTTCACAATCTGCATCGCGATTCGCGACGTTCCTAGGTACGTTTCGAGGCTGCCTTATAAAACCATCTGCATCGCGACTCGTCTTCGTTACTTATTAGGCACATCAAAAGACGATCTGCATCGCGAATTTCCCCTAGGTACCTCTGAACGCAAAACTCGCTACTGTTCCGCGAGCCGTATGCTAGCTCGCGCCCAGATACACATTCTCGTTAAGAGTTAGGCTCATAAAGAGCATGGGCTACGTATGGCAACCTCCGAATGCATTTTAATCTAACGATCAATTGAGATCAGAAATGGCAGTCTAGCACTAAGAAGTTTTGCGTTCTCGCCAGCAGGAAACCATGAAAATTCAAACAACGACGCGCCCTTCGGCCACATATCCTCACGACAATGACACCGTAATAGAGGCACAAGAAGCAAGCTGGAGGTTGTGTGATGATATCAAGGGCAGATGGTGATATCACGACGATCATTTCCCGAGGTTGGTTTACGTTTTCCCGTGCGGTAATATCGAGGTTGGTGGTGATGGGGATGGCGGGAATGCGTGAATCCGCGCGGTTCCGCTGTTGCGCCCACTTTCTGGATCTGCTGCAACTCGGCATCCGCGCGCGCTGCGCGCGCGGAACTTGCACGGGGCGCGGTTGACCAGCGAAAACCAACCAACCCAAGCCAATGCGCCTGGGAAAGTCTGGAGGACTTTTCAAAACGAATGGTTGTCGCCTGTAAATCGACGGTCAGACTGAGGTCCTCGCCGTCGAGTTCGCTTGCGATTGGTCGGATGCGACGACAAATCGAACAACACTCCGAGTGCAAGGAAGGTTCGCCTTTGGCCCAGGCCCACCGACAAAACTCACGTAAATATACACGTCGACAATGTCATTCATAGTGTAACAATCGTTCATGAATTGGGAGGTGACTGTTGAACTACAAATGAGCTAAACAAGGACCTGACCTCCTCTATAAGGAGAGCAATACTAAAAGTACTGAGCATTTTTTTTTTTTGGAAGACCTCCCAAAAAATATTTGGCGACGTGAAGGGGACAGCTAAGTGAGGGAACATGCATGTGACGGAATGTTCAAAGCAATACAACGGAAAGATTGGATGCCGAAGCTGCCATTTTGCAGCAGGCGAGCTCAAACTTGGGCATTGCGTTCTGCCACTAGAGCATGGATTCCTTCTGGGTGGTATGGCGCAAAGAGGATGGACGAATTGTGGCCGCCAAAACCAAACGAGTTGGAGAGCCCCACATTCACATCCAAGCGTTCCTTTGTGTCACGCACAAAGTAGCGCTCGTCCTGGTTGGATATCATAAGGGATGAAGGAGGAGATCGAGGTATGCTAGAAACAAACTCAAATCATGGCAACTGATTTTCCACTGGGGCTTGGCTAGTGATGAATCTTTGGATATTAGAAGAATAAAGCAAGGAAACGGTGGGAACAAGAGTACAGGCTTACGAGTGCACACATCGAGAGAAAAGTGGTGAAAGTAGCCTACATGGATGGCCTGGATGAGGCAATGAGGCCAATTGGGGTGTCCCCTTACCAGTCCCTGCTCACATCCTATCTGTTCTGCTCCCATGCCCGCAGCTACCCCTTACCAGGCCGTCCTCAAGGTTTTCCAGGTTGAGGTTGGGGTGGACATAGCCTGTGTGGATGGCCTGTAGGGAGGGTAATGAGGCCAACTAGGGTGCCCCTTACCAATCCCCGCTCACAACGTACCTGCACTGCTCCCATGCCCGCAGCTACCCCTTACCAGGCCGTCCTCAAGGTTTTCCAGGTTGAGGTTGGGGTGGAGGTAGCCTGTGTGGATGGCCTGTACAGGGGGCAATGGGTGGCAATGGGCGGCAATGGGGGTGGTGGAAGGGGAAGGGGGACATATGGGGCAATGCATTGGGCGAGAGGTGCATGAAACGCCGGAATCCAGTGCCAGAGGCCGGGGTGGAGGTAGCCTGTGTGTGACTTTTGAGTCGACTCAAAAGTCACCTCAATGCATTGGGCGGGAGGTGCATGAAACGCTGGAATCCAGTGCCAGAGGCTGGGGTGGAGGTAGCCTGTGTGTGGACGGCCAATGGACAGGTATTGGGTAAAACTGGGGGCAATGGTGGGCAATATGGGGGGCAGTGGGTGGGGGGTTATGTGGGGCCCAATGGATGGCAGATAATATGGAGGGCAGTATAATATGGAGGAAATGTGGGGCAATGCACAAAGGGAGAGAGAGGAACGAAGAGGGTTGGGAGAGAGGTGTGCATGAAGCAGCAGGAATAGAAGGCATCACAAAAGCACCGGCTTGGAAGCACCCAGCAATGGCTCGCTAATCGCATTCCGACAGTATCACTCCCCTCCACTCCTCCTCCTGAGGCGTCAGAAGAGTACACTAGAAACCTTTGAGCCAGTTCACAAGACATGAAACACATAAAACTCACCCCAACAGTCGCAATGGCCTCCACTCCTCCTGCCGCGCCCAGCAGATGGCCGATCATGGACTTGGTGGCATTCATCTTCAGCTGCGGTGTGTGGGAAAGGGAGAAAGGGGTGGAAAGAGCAGAGTTAGGAAACGAAAGTGAGGGTGACCCACTGCCGCGCCCAGCAGATGGCCGATCATGGACTTGGTGGCATTCATCTTCAGCTGCGATGGGAAGGAAGGGAAGAAACGGGGCGGGAAGCACGGGAATCAGGGGTTTAATCAGGGGTTTTTGGGCCAGGCTAATAGGTTGCCCAGCAGATGGCCGATCATGGACTAGACCAATCTTATTTCATGGGTTTGCGGCCACATGTACAGTCTTGGTCATGTCCGCCAGCACCTTCCACTTCAGAGCGAAGCATTCAAAGAAAGCTAGCGCTGGTGGGGTGAGGCATCTCAAGACGGCGTCAGAGACTGAGATGAAGTTCAACGCACCACAGCCACAGGGTTGTTGCCGACAGCAGCCACCAGTGCTTTGTACTCTTGTACGTCACCAGCTTCAGGTCAAACTTAAGACAGCCAGCCCAAGACAGCCATAAAGACAGAGGAAGCGATAAATTCCTCCCTTCTCACCACAGGGTTATTGCCGAAAGCAGCCACGAGTGCCTTGTACTCTTGCATGCCCCCTGCCAGAGTGCTTCTGAGATACCTGAAGAGGCCTACTGGCAATCAGATAATGTTCATACTCACCACGGGGTTGTTTCCAAACGCAGCCACGAGCGCCTTGTACTCTTGCACATCGCCGGCCAGAGTGCTCTTGAGACACCTCAAGAAAATTACGAGGTTACCGTCCAAGCTTCAAACTCACCACGGGGTTGTTTCCAAACGCAGCCACGAGCGCCTTGTACTCTTGCACATCGCCGGCCAGAGTGCTGGTGGCGTGGGCGTTCACGTAGTTCACGTATTCGCGAGGCACTCCTGATGACGCCAGCGCCTGCTCAATGCACATCAGCACGCCCTTGCCTGGGAGAGAGGGCGGTGGGGGGGATGGGGATGGGAAGCAGGGAAGGGAGGGAAACGGGGGAGTGGCATGGGCATTCTTGGAGTTCACATACGGATGTTGCCAGCGCCTGCTCAATGCACATCAGCACGCCCTTGCCTGGGATAAAGGGTGCGGGGAAGGAGATTTGCAGGTGTAGGGAGGGAGAAGGGAAGAGGAGGTAGGAGTTCCGGCGGAGCAAGCATTGGAACAGTATTCCAAAGCCTGCTCGATAGTGAGAGGTAACACGTCTTTAAAACCCAGATGTGCTCTCTATCACATTGCAAGGACGTGGTTTTTGAGGCGCCTCAAAATGAAATCCGCGTGCATTGAGGTGGTTTTTGAGGCGCCTCAAAAACCTGCTCGATAGTGAGAGGTAACATGTCTCTAAAACCCAGATGCGCTCTCTATCGCATTGCAAGGCGGCTTGACAAACATCGTGTTTTGACAGTCTCACCTTGAGGGTGCGGGTCGGTCATATGGTGTGCATCGCATGACACACTGCCGCCCAGAAACTCGGCGTAGATGGTGGCGCCTCGGGCCTTGGAAGGGACGAGGTGCAGAGGGGTGAAGAAGGGTGAAGAGGCAGCGGGAGAGGCCAGACGGGGAAGGAGAGAGATGCAGATGGGTAAAGTGGTACAATACCACTGGGTTGGCTGACAGAGAAAGAGAAACAAGGATGAAGCACGTGACTTCAGCAAAATGGTTGCAGCACACACACCCGCACACCCACACACCTGCACACCCGCACACGCACACAACTGCACACGCACACAACTTCACACGCACACAACTGCACACGCACACAACTTCACACGCACACAACTTCACACCCACAAACACACCCACACACGCACACAACTGCACACCTACACACCCACATACCCGCACAGCCACACACCCATACACCCGTGCACGCGCGCGCGCACACACACACACACACACACCTTGGCGTGCTCGAGCTCCTCCAGCACCAACACACCCGCTCCCTCGCCCATTACACACCATGGTGTGAAACCCACAAACAACACAGCACAGCACAGCACAGAGTGCAGCGCGCGCACGCACACACACACACACACACACACACACACACATACACACCACACACACACACACACCACACACACACACACACCACACACACACACACCTTGGCGTGCTCGAGCTCCTCCAGCACCAACACACCCGCTCCCTCGCCCATTACACACCATGGTGTGAAACCCACAAACAACACAGCACAGCACAGCACAGAGTGCAGCGCGCGCGCACACACACACACACACACACACACACACACACACACCACACACACACACACACCACACACACACACACCACACACACACACACACACACCTTGGCGTGCTCCAGCTCCTCCAGCACCAACACACCCGCTCCCTCGCCCATCACAAAGCCATCACGATTCTGTGAGAGAAAGAGGGAGAGAAGGAGAGAGAAGGGGAGAGGAGGGGAATGCACTGAAGGAGGAGGAAGGAGGACTGCTCGAGAAGGGGAGAGGAGGGGAGAGGGGGAATGCACTGAATCCCCTTGTCCCAGGGGCGGGAGAGTGTTTGCATGCTGCAGTGAACTAGTGTCAGGGTGGGGGAGAGAGGGGAAGAGGGGGGGAGAGAGTGGTTGGGGGGGTATGCTTGCCAAGGAATGCACTGACTGACCAATCTTATCAGTGCATTGATTTGATAAGAAATCACTGATTGACCTTGCCTCAGGGCTGGGAGGCCCTCTCCACGTGTGAAAAGGGTATTTTTCAGACGCCTTTTTACACGTGGCTTGCCAAGGAATGCACTGACTGACCGATCTTGTCGAGTGCATTGATTTGATAAGAAATCACTGATTGACCTTGCCTCAGGGCCGGGAGGCCCTCTCCAGCTCGTTATTGAGGCGTCTCAAAACTCACGAACATTGAATCTGTTTAAAAAACACTGACCTTGTCCCAGGGGCGGGAGGCCCTCTCAGGCTCGTCGTTGCGTTTAGAGAGTGCCTTGCAGGCCACGAATCCACCCAGTCCTGGAAAAGGGGTGAGAGGAGGAAACGGAGCGGGGGAAAAGGAGAGAGGAGGGAAGAGAGGACAGCAGGAAGACAGGGAGGGTGGAGATGAGGAAGCGAGAGAAAGAGATGGAAACGAGCAGCTTGAAATGCTTGCTGAGGGGGATGTACGATGGAGGAAGGAGGGGGAGGATGGAAGGGGGAGGATGGCGGAAGGGGAGGGGATGGAGAATGGATTCATGAAAAGGTTTGGGCCTTACCAAGGGGCAAGACGGGGGCAAAAAACAAAGAGAGGTGAGGTGGAGGGCGAGAAGAGGAGAGGGTTAAGAAGAGACGAGTGGAAACTTGGAAAGGAAAGGGCATTACCGAGAGGCAAGACGGGAGCATCCGACCCTCCTGACAGCATCACGTCCTGTAGTTCAGGGACGAGAGCAGATGAGAGTCAAGGAGGAGGAGTGCAAGAAACTCCAGTTCGTTATCGTGAAGACACGTTTACAGAACAGAACAGCAACCAAAGAAAGGTTCGCAGATGAAGATGCATGCAAACAGCACTGCAGAGGCCGAGAGACACAGTCGAACTACATCATCTCTTAGAGAAAACTTTTGAACCGCCTGTAATAGAAACGCCCACTGAAAAGCTAGAAGCAGCAACGGCAGTCATGAAGCGTTACGTCTCTCAAAGCTCCGCGCCATACACGATCTTAAACTCGTTTAGAATCAAGCAAATCGATACTCAGTTTGCCTGTTCAACTCACCGCATCGCCTCTCTGAATGTGCTGGGCAGCAGCGAGAATGCAGTAGTTGGCAGTGGCGCAGGCAGTGGAGATGCTGTAGTTGGGACCCATCCAGCCCTGATGGAGGAACGGGAATGGGGAAGAAAGGGACGAATAGAGACGGAAGTTTGGATTGGAGAAGCTATGACGTAAGGAGAGAATGCAGTAGTTAGCAGTGGCGCAGGCAGTGGAGATGCTGTAGTTGGGACCCATCCAGCCCTGACGGAGGAGGGGAAACGGGATGATGTATTGGGAGTAAAGGGTAGATTGAGAAGGACTCAAAAGTCAACTCAGATGAGTCGCATGGCAGCATACAAGGCCCATGTGGAGCATTGGTGACGAAGGGTGTGCACATGAGGAAGGAAGCACGGTGCTGATGAGTTCATAGCCTTTGTGCCTGTCAATCAGTCCCAGCAGCACAGCGTGGTGGCACACATCAGGGCCATAGCCATACTACTGTGAGCATGGCGAGTATGGCACACGCCAGGGCCAATGTTTGTGTTGACGAAGGGTATGCAGAGCGAGTTTGTGCCCTTGCTGAATAATATGGCATGTATGAGATCCATAGCACGTCTGTACAAATCAGGTCCATGGCGAGGCATGGCAATCTGCACATACCAGGACCCATACCACTGTAAGAAGTGCATAGCAGGTCCATGGCGAGCATGGCAATCTGCACATACCAGGACCCATACCACTGTAAGAAGTGCATAGCAGGTCCATGGCGAGCATGGCAATCTGCACATACCAGGACCCATACCACTGTAAGAAGTGCATAGCAGGTCCATGGCGAGCATGGCAATCTGCACATACCAGGACCCATACCACTGTAAGAAGTGCATAGCAGGTCCATGGCGAGGCATGGCAATCTGCACATACCAGGACCCATACCACTGTAAGAAGTGCATAGCAGGTCCATGGCGAGCATGGCAATCTGCACATACCAGGACCCATACCACTGTAAGAAGTGCATAGCAGGTCCATGGCGAGCATGGCAATCTGCACATACCAGGACCCATACCACTGTAAGAAGTGCATAGCAGGTCCATGGCGAGCATGGCAATCTGCACATACCAGGACCCATACCACTGTAAGAAGTGCATAGCAGGTCCATGGCGAGCATGGCAATCTGCACATACCAGGACCATACCACTGTAAGAAGTGCATAGCAGGTCCATGGCGAGCATGGCAATCTGCACATACCAGGACCCATACCACTGTAAGAAGTGCATAGCAGGTCCATGGCGAGCATGGCAATCTGCACATACCAGGACCCATACCACTGTAAGAAGTGCATAGCAGGTCCATGGCGAGCATGGCAATCTGCACATACCAGGACCCATACCACTGTAAGAAGTGCATAGCAGGTCCATGGCGAGCATGGCAATCTGCACATACCAGGACCCATACCACTGTAAGAAGTGCATAGCAGGTCCATGGCGAGCATGGCAATCTGCACATACCAGGACCCATACCACTGTAAGAAGTGCATAGCAGGTCCATGGCGAGGCATGGCAATCTGCACATACCAGGACCCATACCACTGTAAGAAGTGCATAGCAGGTCCATGGCGAGCATGGCAATCTGCACATACCAGGACCATACCACTGTAAGAAGTGCATAGCAGGTCCATGGCGAGCATGGCAATCTGCACATACCAGGACCATACCACTGTAAGAAGTGCATAGCAGGTCCATGGCGAGCATGGCAATCTGCACATACCAGGACCATACCACTGTAAGAAGTGCATAGCAGGTCCATGGCGAGCATGGCAATCTGCACATACCAGGACCCATACCACTGTAAGAAGTGCATAGCAGGTCCATGGCGAGGCATGGCAATCTGCACATACCAGGACCCATACCACTGTAAGAAGTGCATAGCAGGTCCATGGCGAGCATGGCAATCTGCACATACCAGGACCCATACCACTGTAAGAAGTGCATAGCAGGTCCATGGCGAGCATGGCAATCTGCACATACCAGGACCATACCACTGTAAGAAGTGCATAGCAGGTCCATGGCGAGCATGGCAATCTGCACATACCAGGACCATACCACTGTAAGAAGTGCATAGCAGGTCCATGGCGAGCATGGCAATCTGCACATACCAGGACCATACCACTGTAAGAAGTGCATAGCAGGTCCATGGCGAGCATGGCAATCTGCACATACCAGGACCCATACCACTGTAAGAAGTGCATAGCAGGTCCATGGCGAGCATGGCAATCTGCACATACCAGGACCCATACCACTGTAAGAAGTGCATAGCAGGTCCATGGCGAGCATGGCAATCTGCACATACCAGGACCCATACCACTGTAAGAAGTGCATAGCAGGTCCATGGCGAGCATGGCAATCTGCACATACCAGGACCCATACCACTGTAAGAAGTGCATAGCAGGTCCATGGCGAGCATGGCAATCTGCACATACCAGGACCATACCACTGTAAGAAGTGCATAGCAGGTCCATGGCGAGCATGGCAATCTGCACATACCAGGACCCATACCACTGTAAGAAGTGCATAGCAGGTCCATGGCGAGCATGGCAATCTGCACATACCAGGACCCATACCACTGTAAGAAGTGCATAGCAGGTCCATGGCGAGCATGGCAATCTGCACATACCAGGACCCATACCACTGTAAGAAGTGCATAGCAGGTCCATGGCGAGCATGGCAATCTGCACATACCAGGACCCATACCACTGTAAGAAGTGCATAGCAGGTCCATGGCGAGCATGGCAATCTGCACATACCAGGACCCATACCACTGTAAGAAGTGCATAGCAGGTCCATGGCGAGCATGGCAATCTGCACATACCAGGACCCATACCACTGTAAGAAGTGCATAGCAGGTCCATGGCGAGCATGGCAATCTGCACATACCAGGACCATACCACTGTAAGAAGTGCATAGCAGGTCCATGGCGAGCATGGCAATCTGCACATACCAGGACCATACCACTGTAAGAAGTGCATAGCAGGTCCATGGCGAGCATGGCAATCTGCACATACCAGGACCATACCACTGTAAGAAGTGCATAGCAGGTCCATGGCGAGCATGGCAATCTGCACATACCAGGACCCATACCACTGTAAGAAGTGCATAGCAGGTCCATGGCGAGGCATGGCAATCTGCACATACCAGGACCCATACCACTGTAAGAAGTGCATAGCAGGTCCATGGCGAGCATGGCAATCTGCACATACCAGGACCCATACCACTGTAAGAAGTGCATAGCAGGTCCATGGCGAGCATGGCAATCTGCACATACCAGGACCATACCACTGTAAGAAGTGCATAGCAGGTCCATGGCGAGCATGGCAATCTGCACATACCAGGACCATACCACTGTAAGAAGTGCATAGCAGGTCCATGGCGAGCATGGCAATCTGCACATACCAGGACCATACCACTGTAAGAAGTGCATAGCAGGTCCATGGCGAGCATGGCAATCTGCACATACCAGGACCATACCACTGTAAGAAGTGCATAGCAGGTCCATGGCGAGCATGGCAATCTGCACATACCAGGACCATACCACTGTAAGAAGTGCATAGCAGGTCCATGGCGAGCATGGCAATCTGCACATACCAGGGCCATACCACTGTAAGAAGTGCATAGCAGGTCCATGGCGAGCATGGCAATCTGCACATACCAGGACCATACCACTGTAAGAAGTGCATAGCAGGTCCATGGCGAGCATGGCAATCTGCACATACCAGGACCATACCACTGTAAGAAGTGCATAGCAGGTCCATGGCGAGCATGGCAATCTGCACATACCAGGACCATTCCACAAGTGCATAGCAGGTCCATGGCGAGCATGGCAATCTGCACATACCAGGACCATACCACTGTAAGAAGTGCATAGCAGGTCCATGGCGAGGCATGGCAATCTGCACATACCAGGACCATACCACTGTAAGAAGTGCATAGCAGGTCCATGGCGAGCATGGCAATCTGCACATACCAGGACCATACCACTGTAAGAAGTGCATAGCAGGTCCATGGCGAGCATGGTGGAGCCCATGTTGGTAGTGACGAAGGGTATGCAGAAGGGGGGCACGAGTCCCTGGCGCGTGCCTGTCATCCCCCCACCCCAGGACGCTTACCCGCTCCCTCGCATCATCACACACACCAGGGCCATACCATGCTCGCCCAGGTCCTGGGCGAGCATGGCAGAGCCCATGTTGGTAGTGACAAAGAGTTGAGCCTGTCATCCTCATACCAGCACAGCTTACCAGCTCCGTGACATCAACGCACATACCATGATGACTCCGTTCCATTCCACCACTGTAGCACACACCAGGTCCATGGCGAGCATGGCAGAGCCCATGTTGGTAGTGACAAAGAGTTGAGCCTGTCATCCTCATACCAGCACAGCTTACCAGCTCCGTGACATCAACGCACATACCATGATGACTCCGTTCCATTCCACCACTGTAGCACACACCAGGTCCATGGCGAGCATGGCAGAGCCCATGTTGGTAGTGACAAAGAGTTGAGCCTGTCATCCTCATACCAGCACAGCTTACCAGCTCCGTGACATCAACGCACATACCATGATGACTCCGTTCCATTCCACCACTGTAGCACACACCAGGTCCATGGCGAGCATGGCAGAGCCCATGTTGGTAGTGACAAAGAGTTGAGCCTGTCATCCTCATACCAGCACAGCTTACCAGCTCCGTGACATCAACGCACATACCATGATGACTCCGTTCCATTCCACCACTGTAGCACACACCAGGTCCATGGCGAGCATGGCAGAGCCCATGTTGGTAGTGACAAAGAGTTGAGCCTGTCATCCTCATACCAGCACAGCTTACCAGCTCCGTGACATCAACGCACATACCATGATGACTCCGTTCCATTCCACCACTGTAGCACACACCAGGTCCATGGCGAGCATGGCAGAGCCCATGTTGGTAGTGACAAAGAGTTGAGCCTGTCATCCTCATACCAGCACAGCTTACCAGCTCCGTGACATCAACGCACATACCATGATGACTCCGTTCCATTCCACCACTGTAGCACACACCAGGTCCATGGCGAGCATGGCAGAGCCCATGTTGGTAGTGACAAAGAGTTGAGCCTGTCATCCTCATACCAGCACAGCTTACCAGCTCCGTGACATCAACGCACATACCATGATGACTCCGTTCCATTCCACCACTGTAGCACACACCAGGTCCATGGCGAGCATGGCAGAGCCCATGTTGGTGGTGACGAAGGGTATGCAGAACGGGTTCATGCGGCGATACGACACCTTGAGCGCCTCCACCGCGTCGTTGAACACCTGAGGAGAGAAGGGGGGGGTGGGGAGAGGGGACCGTTGGAGGGTAGGGAGTGGCGAGAGGGGCAGAAGTATAGAGGGAGGGGAAGAGGACTCGAGAACAGGTTCATGCGGCGGTACGACACCTTGAGCGCCTCCACCGCATCGTTGAACACCTGATGAAAGGGGCGGAGTAGGGGAGGGGGGTGAGGGGTGAGGGCAAGACAGCGGAGGGACAAGGGAATTGAATTGAGCTCCATGAATACATAGACGTGTGCGGCGGTACGACACCTTTATTGCCTCCACCTCGTCGTTGAAGAAGTGTGGGGAGGGGGGAAGAGGGAAGGAGAGGGCAATTGGAGGGAAGGAAGTAGCGAAGCGTGCGTGGGGGGCAGGGCCCACTGTGAGCAGGTCTCAGGCTTGTACTGATGAAGGCTTATCAAAGCCGAAACTAGTTTACACAATGTTCTGATTCTTTAAGTGAAGAGTTGATCCACACTGGCTCTCTAAGAAACGATCTAAGCTAGCGCAACACCAGGTTCCTTTCCACTATTATTGCATGGGGTTTGTTTCTCTGTCCTAAACAGCAAGAGTTGATGGAAATAAGGCCTCCGCAGCCCACCTGTTCAACTTCGACAGGTAGCGCATGTACTAGTCATGACTCATGACATATCCTGCTGCAGCATAGAGCACCTGACAGCCTGCCCCCCCCCCCCCCCCCCCACCATTGTCAGCCTTCCGCCCACCTTGACTTTCACATCTCTGACAGACTGCCGCCCGGCGCACCTGCATGCCGCCCATAGCCGAGCCAATGAGCACGCCGCACTTCTGCTTGTTGAACCCCTCCTGCACCTCCTTGCTCATGTGCGCGTCCCTTAAAGCCCGCTTGCCCGCCGTGAGCAGGTAGCGCATGTACTTGTCCATGCGCCGCGCCATCTTGGGGTGCACGTAGCCCTTGTCCTTGAACTCCTTGATCTCGCCCGCGATGCGCTGGATGGTCGAAAGGGGGAAATGAGGGGGGAGAGAAGCATTTGCCAGCCATCTTGGGGTGCACGTAGCCCTTGTCCTTGAACTCCTTGATCTCGCCCGCAATGCGCTGGGAGGGAAGACGGTTGGATAAATGGGTGGGAGGGGGTTGTGGGGGTGGAGGGGAGGGGAGGGAGACAAGCCATGTCATGCGCAAGTGGCCCGCCGTGAGCAGGTAGCGCATGTACTTGTCCATGCGCCGCGCCATCTTGGGGTGCACGTAGCCCTTGTCCTTGAACTCCTTGATCTCGCCTGCAATGCGCTGCAATGGAGGGGGGTGCAGGCGGGGGGAAGTTGGGGTGGATGTACGGGGAAAAAAGGGAGGTGGGATGTGAAAGGAACCAGTGCAAGCCATCTCGGGGTGCACGTAGCCCTTGTCCTTGAACTCCTTGTATCTCGCCCGCGATGCGCTGGGAGAGGGGAAGCAAAAGGGGGAAAGGCTAGGGTTGGGGAGGAGATAAAATTAGAACAAGTCATCTTGGGGTGCATGTACCTCTTGTCCTTGAACTCCTTGATCTCGCCTGCGATGCGCTGGCAGGAGGGATGGGAAGGGAGGAAAGAGGAGGGGGGAAAGGAGGGCTTGCAAGCCATCTTGTGCTGGATGGATGTGAGGGGAAGGGGAAGTAGTGAAAGGCTCTCTCCTATGTGAGTATAAACAGTTTCCATCGGTTTCCTTTCCTCTTGGTTCTTCTGGTTCTTCCTGTAGCGTCTGTTCCATCTCAAGCTGTCGACCAAATCGTTATCTATACCAATCAAACCAGCTCTTACTGTGGGGAACTCAGAGGCATCGAATCCCTCTATAGCGGAGATGCCACTGGTGCCGTCCAGAAGCTTCTGGTAAAACTCGTGCGCGTTCATGCTCAGGCACGACACGATGCCCATGCCCGTCACCACCACCCGCCGCTGCTGCTTCTCTTTTCCCTCACCCTCCGCACTTTCTCCCGCCTTTGCTTCCGCCTCCGCTACTGCTGCAGCCTGCACCACGCGGGAGGCTGGCGGGGGGCAGCGCGGAAGGACATGCGGAAAAGAAAGCCGCGGAAGCAGAAGAGGGGGATACGGGAGAAGGGGGATGTGGGGTGTGGGGATGAGGAGGGGAAGGGCGGAAAAAGGGGATATGCTTCTTGCAGTTCGGAATATGGAACGATGAAGATGGGGAAGAAATGGAAATGAGATTTATGGAGAAGAGGGAAGGACGGGAAGAAGGTAAGCACGATTGACCAATAGATTGGCACCTTGATTGAACTATGGAGGGTTTATTCGTCAGACCGAGATACGCGGGGAAGCTACGCGAATCGCACATAGCAAGGCCCTCCCGTCACTGACATTTGCCCTTTCTTTTGCTGGTAAACGCCTGCTTGAATATCAGCAACTATTGTATCAAGACAGTATGTATAGCCAGTTAGTGCTCGGAATCCGTCTCGGACTGTCCCCCAACAGCTCCAGATGCAGCCGAGCTGCTTTCCACCGGATCTATCTCGCCCGAAACCCGCAGATGTAGCATACCAGCACCTGTTACGTATCACCCGAACGTACCAGCGCATTTAACGTACCAGCAGATGCGGCATCGTACCGACGCAACTTGCAACTAGCCATCAGGAACAACCTGGCGGCTTCTTCAATCAGTCTTACTCTCTACTAGCTGGATTTTCAGTAGTCTTTGCCGCAATTCAGTATTTTCCAGATATTATATCACGACAGCCGGAAGCACCGTAAGCGCCGGGACTTAGCACAAGCGCTAAGTCTCCCGTGGCGGATCACCGTAAACGCCAGCCAGCGGTCGATTCCAGCTGGCGGACAAAATGGTCAGCCCTGGTGGTTTGAGACTCCGTGATGCAATTTCTCGCCATTCCCAAGGAACCATGTGAACGGAATTAAAACATAGAACCTGCAGCGTGCAAACGCTATACAAAGTCTATCGCACACGCACCTGCTGATCGCAGGCGACGGTTTCGCACGGCCGTCAACGGCATCCAGACGACGTCGAGACCTTCGCCGGAGAAAGTCGACGATCCGCTACTCAACGACCCATGGCCGTTGGTCGAGCTGTGACAGCTGCTCGGTCTAACTGCAAGCGATCGCGGCCCCGATGTGCATCGGGATTTTACGCTGTTGATCCCATGAAGGTTCGGTCGACTTGCCGATAAAACCGCTTGTGCTCCGCAGGGATTGCGGTTGCGATGGGAGCTGGATGAGTTGGGTGCGGTGGAAGAGATGGACGTGCTTCCTGCGCTGCTCGTCGCAGCACCGGATTTTCTGCTGGGAGAACTGACTGAGTGGTCTGATGATTCATTCTGACCGGCTCGACCAGTCCAGGCAACGGACGCCGGAACACAAGCCGTGGCGGCAAACGCCATTGGAGAAGCTAAGCTTGAGAGCCTTGGGAGTATACCCGAACTTAAGTCGATTTAGTGGTCACTTGGGGCTAGGGACCCTAACCAGGCACTACGAGCGCTTTGGAGGCAATCGCGGGCTTATGGCGGCCTATGATGGCTTTTACCACTGAATCGCTTATCCTAGCGACACCGGTGCTTGGAAACAAGTTTACCCCGAGCAAGGTTTCTTAGCTCGTGGATTCCGAAAGGCTAGCTAAGCACGGGCTACCAGCATCCGTGAAAACATTTCTGTTGTGAATGCTCGCCCAGTGAAGACTACCTCTCAGAAGACCAGTGGATTTCCTGGATTCAGATGAAAGCCACGGGCACGGAATGATCAGTCATCCCTGCCTTGGCAAAAAACTGTATCACGGAATTGGAAAATGGGTTGAGGATCAGGACAACGGACGCAATAACGAGGGGGGGGGGGAAGAAGGGGGTGATTCAGTTCAGTTCGGATCTCTATATGGTTGAGGTGACATAATCGAGGCTGTCGTCGGTTATCCCAAGGGTGAGTGGAAGTCACTGGTGAGCTTTCCAGGCAAATCAGCTTTGTGGAGGAATCGAGGCAAGGAGTGGAGGGAGGATATCTACGGATGACGGAGGTCGAATCTAGAGCGAAGGAAAAAGAACCGTCAGATGTAGAGTTTTTGGACACGCGGAAACGCGAAGTGGAAAGAATGATAACTGTAAGGCTGTAGGGAGCGGATCTGATGTCAGCGACACGTGTACGATCGCTATCCTTGCCACAGCAGCAATCACGTTCTCGCTGTTCGCTAGCGTTATGATGAATGACTGAAACAGCACGTCCCCTTCATCATTCAGGTTTTTTTAATAAATTTCTTGGTCTCTTCATAACAATATGAAAACATTTTCACCCAATATACGAGTATCCATATTTTCTTATTTGTTATCTAGTAACCAAGAAAAAATATTCTCTACATATTATCTACACCCATTACTTTCAATTCTACAGAGGAGGATAAGTTGAAAGGAAGGTCATGACAACAAGTCTGCCATATCCAACAGCTTCTAGACAGGAGAAAGAATCCTAAAAACTAATTACCAGAATAACATTCAGTCTGCCTTCTATGTTCAGTCCTTTAACAGAAAACTACTTATCTCATCCAGTTGACTGTCAGTCGCGTCTGTTCAGAGGTTGAACACAAAGCTACTGACCGTCAACTGAAGAGAAACATACCTAGCGTCAACTAATGAACTGCTCTTTCAGCCCTAAGATAGCCATCGCATGGCCATGTTGCACTGTAGCGTATCGACACCTCAATCTGCCTCGAATTTCCGGCTCCACACTTCACTGATGTTTACTTGGGCATGGTCGTGCCAGCGGGGATGAGAATCTTATCCACGCCATGCGCGATGAAGTAAGGCCCAGCGTAAAGCCGCGCGATCTTGATGGTCGTCCACGCAGCTGCAGGCGCGTTCGGCCCCCGGGCGAACGACACGGCGTTTCCGTTTTGAGGCGAAACCTTGTAGATCGCTTGCTTCAGTTGTGTAGCCAGCGGCTGCGACTTCTTGAGCGATTTCAGCGGAGGAACGGTGAGTTTCCTGCGAATAATGTGGTAAGCGGTAATGTTGTAGATTGTGGGGAGGTTGCTGCTCTTAGCGGGGAGCTTCTTAGCGAGGGCTTGGGCTTCTGTGTCGCTGGGGAGGAGGATGGTGGCGTCTGCGAGGGCTGAGAAGTCGTATTTGGAGTTGAGCGCGAGGCCGATGTAACGGTTGATGTCCTTGGCGTATTTCGCGTATTGCGGGTAACGCTTCGTGATGTTCGTCGCCAAGTTGTTGAGTTCAGCCTTGATTTGCGCCTTGGTGGGCTTCGGCGGCGGCGTCGCTTGTGCGCTCGCGCCAGCCACGCAGAGGGCGACGCAGATGAGGCCGAGAACGGCGAGGACGCGAGAAGTAGTCATTTATGAAAGTTGGATGTGAACGAAGGAGCTACAAAGAGGATGGAAGTGGAAATTTCTTGTAGCGAAGGTCGAGTTATGCTGAGAGGAGCGAATATGCTGCTCTAGGAAGTGTGGGATGAGTGAAAGGCTGTGATGATGAAACTGGACTTGCTGGGGTGGAATTTATAATGGACGAAGTGATTGGGAGGGGAGGGGAAAAACAGGGTTACTTAGGACGTACACTTGGACGGTGGTCTTCGCAAAGAGGATTGGCGAGACACTTGGACGGTGGTCTTCGCGAAGAGGATTGGCGAGCGCGATACGGTGAAACGCGCATACGAGCGCGGCGCCGCTGTGACGGGGAGTTTTCGGCAAAGGGAGACGAAGCGGACAAAATGGCGGGAAGAGGGGGGCGGCGGCGAAAAAAGTGTGGCGATGGTGGGATCTTCGCTGGGCTTGGTTCCGCAGCGGCTGAAGTTTGACGGAGTCGCGAACGAAATTCGGGGAACGAACGCGGATTGAGATTTGCGACAGTGATGCCATTGTGTTACAGAGGATGTGTTACGAAATTCAACAATCGATTGAGAATTCTTTGGCAGTCGGTGTGACTGTTTGAATCAGACATGCATCAGCTAAAAACGAATTCACACGTGGGGTAACCACGAAGGATAGGTATGCCTGCCGCTTGCTGTGCCGTCGAATGCGGCGGAGATCCTGCCGGACCTTCCCATAACCCATCAAGATCCCAGCAATTGACGACCTGGATTTCGCGTGCCTGAGCGAAATGACGATCTTCTCTTCGTTCGCTCCGGTATTAGCTGACGAATCGTCACGCTGACGCCTGGACGACGTCGGACTAGCGAGCGACTCGGCTCGCGCGGCGGAAGACGAATGCAGTTGAGCGGCGTGGAAACCTACCAAGAGTCTCCATCAATTATTGAACCCGCCTTGACCTACATTCTAATTCTTAGGCGCCGCAGCCATGGCAGGAGTTCATAGGCCTCTCGGATCGCGAGCCGTGACCTGGATTTTCTCTCGACTGGTTACCCGGATGTCGCCGAACGCGATCGTAGCAACAGTATTGCATACCTGTCGCGAACTTGATCCACTTATTGGTTCCCATCCCGCTCATCAAATCCAACTCCTTCGTCCGATCGCCTCTGGGTTGTTCTCCGCCGTCGGATCCACCCCGTCAATCTCCCACGGAACAGCAAACCCTAATCTTAATTCTTCGAGTCCTCTCGTCGCACTGCCTTCGATTGCTTGTCATTCGTTAAACCTCGTTAGTGGGTCCCCTCACATTGTACCCTTCCTTACTAGAGGTGTTGCTTCCCTACCTGTTGGATCAAACCGATCTTTTTCATCCGTGAATGGCGCCGCAGCTGGCGCCGTGAGTGGCGGCAAAGGGCAGCACCACCGCCAGGAGCAGCGGCAGCAGCAGCGACAGGGAGGGCAGCAGCGGCTGGAGGTGCAGCAGCGGCAGGGGAAGACGGAGCGGCAACAGCAGCAGCAGCAGCAGCTGATGCAGCAGCTGCCGGGAAAACAGCAGCGGCAGGGGGAGGGAGAGCAGGGGGCGGGGGAGAGGGAGCAGCGGCAGGGGGAGGGGGAGAGTCACATGGTGGCGGTTCGAGGCGCCTTCCGCCAGCTGGCGGAGCCGCTGCAATGGTCGCTTCGTGGGTCGGCGTTCTTTGTCCCGACGCGCGTTCAGGAGGAGGGCATTCCGCGCCTGCTGAAGGGGGAGAGTGTGAGTATATGGCGAGTTCGGCGTTTGAGTATTGTTGTGTGAGTAGAGCAAGTCAATCGTGAAAGCAACGAGCTGCGGTGAGATGATGCAAAATGGGGTTTTGAGCAATGAGCTGTGAAAAGGTCCCACTTTGCGTATTTCATTCACTAAGCTTTTGAGGTTGCTCTAAAGTCATGAGAATTCTTACAAGTGTCCCATTCTGCATCATCTGCTCATCGTATGAGGCACCGCAAAGGTCATGCTGCCGTTCTTGACGCTGTCTTTTCACTCTCCCTGTTTTCCATGTCCTTTATCCCCCCCTTCCCTCCCTCCCTCCCTCCCCCCCTCCCTCCCAGCTCTTCGTATCCTCCCCTTCAGGCACAGGCAAGACCCTCGCCTACCTCCTCCCCATCCTCCACCTCCTCCACCTCCCCACCCTCTCCTCCTCCCTCTTCTCTCCTCCCCACATCCCCTCCTCTCGCCTGCGCCAACTCCACAAACGCCCCCAAGAAGGGAAACGCTCAGCAGCAGCCAATCGCAGCGCGCCAGCTGGCAGTGGTGCCGCTGCCGCCACCGCTGCCGTTGCTGCCAGTGGCCCGTTTTGTCTTGTTCTGACGCCCACGTTGGAGCTGGCCAATCAGGTGGCGGAGGAGGTTCGGCGATTCACTCGCTTCGTGCCGGAGCTGACGGTTGATGTGGTGACGGCTGCTGCATCACAGCAAGCTGCGTCTCAGGCAAGTGGGGGTCTCTGATTGGTTAGTGTACTGCCATAGAGCCTGGTTTTCTTGGCTCACTCGCTTCGTGCCAGATCTGACGGTTGACGTGGTGACTGCGGCTGCAGCACAGCAAGCTGCGTCTCAGGCAAGTAATGTAACAGTTGGCGCCCTTTTTTTCTATCTTGATTTCGATCTTGGTGGGCTCAGGTGCGCTCTTGGTTTTTCTCTTCAAACGCTGCCCGCCCCATGCGACCGTTGCCATGCGTCTTGCCCCTCCCTCATTCCCTCATTCCCCTCCTGCCTCTCATGCTCCTCATGCCTCCCCCCCACCCCCATAGCCCTTCAGGTGCGCTCTCTGCACTGCCGCCCGCCCCTCGTGCTGGTCGCCACGCCTGGCCGCCTGCTGAGGCTCTTCCAAGAGGTGAGGGTGGGGTGTGCTGCATTGGGTGAGAGAGGCTGGTAAGGGCTGTGGTTTTCGAGGCACGGTTTGAGTTGGCCACTCGTTTCCACCCCACGTTCTGGTCGCCACGCCTGGCCGCCTGCTGAGACTCTTCCGAAAGGTAAGAATGCTGAGGGTGGGCTGTGTTGGATTGGGTAAGCGAGTGGCTGCTCATTGCGTCTGTACAGTGTGCCTTCCTCGCAAACTTTTGTTGTTGTTGTTGTTTTTTTTTTTTTTTTTTTTTTTTTTTTTTTGTTGCCCCCGACTCTAAACATCCGACACACCCATCAATCCAAGCTCAAAGCAACCGCCTCCTTCCCCTCCTACCCTCACCTCGGCTCCTCTCCTCCTCCCATGCATCTATTACAGGCAGCTTCCGAGAAACATCCTCCTCTTGGACCACTGATACCAACCAGAACCGCAGTTGCACCTGAAGGCGTTACAACTGAAACCGCCCTTCCTGAGTCCGGTTCATCTGGAGGTCAACCCGTTTCATCTGGAGATGCGCCCAGTTCATCTATAAAAGCTGAGGAATGGACAGAATCCGAATCGGCTGCGGGGAAAACGACAGCACCGGACTTGGCAGGAGGGTCGGAGCTGAATGTTGGGATTGACAATGGGAAAAGGAAAACTCAGGGTCTTGTTCCAAGCTGCCTGCCAAAAGATTTTCTAGGGCAGGTTCGGCACTGGGTGGTGGAGGAGTGTGACAAGATGGCCGAGATGGGGCTGCTGGAGGACCTGAGGAAAGTTTTTTCGCTGCTGCCCAGACCGCAGAGGGCCAAGGCGGGCAAGAAAAAGGATCTTCGGCCACACATGCAGGTAAATTTCTTTTTCACCAGCCCCTTCTTCCCAGGTCATCCTCATGTCTGCTTCTGTTCTACCCGAATCAGACCTGGTGCTCTCTTTCGCACTCCTCCGCACACCCCTGCACCCCCTCTGTACCTGTTTGTAATCCTGTCCACCCCTCTGCACTCCTCGCAGGTCGTCCTTGTATCCGCCACCATTCTCCCCGAGTCAGAGCTGCTGCTCTCCTCGCCACTCCTCTCCACCCCTCTCCACCCCTCTTCACCACTTTTTACCCCCCCTGCATTCCGCAGGTCATCCTCGTATCTGCCACCATTCTCCCCGAATCGGAGCTCCTGCTGCGCCGCTTTGCTCCCAGAGGCGACATGCTGATCGTTCAACCCTCATCATCTGACAAACCGTTGGGTAACTACCCTCTTCTCCCTCGAGTCTCGCACGTGCATTATCTTCCCACAGAGGGAGTTTCTCCCTTCCCTCGTGCCTCATTGCATTGCGCCAGGAAAGTGGGTGGCTTTTCTACGTGAAGTGAGGGCATTGGTGAATCACTTCTTTTTGAGACGTCTCAAAAACACCCTCATCCCTCGTGCCTCATTGCATTGCGCCAGGAAAGTGGGTGGCTTTTCTTTAGGAGCCTTAAAAAGCCGTGGCCCGTTGCGACAGTGAAGTGGGTTGGGTGCCGCCTTGTGTGTCACCTGAGTATGCTCCCTGTGGCATGGCATATTCAGTTTAGTGAATTCTATTTTTGAGGCGCCTCAAAAATATGCTGCCTGGTGTGTCACCCGCGTATGCTCCCTGTGGCGTGGCGTATTCAGTTTAGAGAATTCTGCGAATTTATGTCATGTCACCCACTCATGCTGCCTAAGCCTTTTCCTCCCACTCGTGACACCCATTGCCAACTATTGCCACCCATTCCCACCCATTGCCACTCATTCCCACCCATTGCCACCCATTGCCACCCATTGCCACCCATTGCCACCCATTGCCACCAGTGAAGCAGCTGGCCTATTGTGTGACCCCTCGCAGGAAGACTGCCCTCTTGCTCTATCTGCTCCGACGGCGAGCATCCCTAAAGGTGAGAGCACTTGAGAATTCCCCCTCCTGTGGCTGACTTGTCACTCGAAACCTTTTCCCCCTCCTTTTTGTGATCAGTGTTTTGAGACGCACTTGAGAATTCCCCCTCCGTCTCAAAACGCTGACTTGTCACTCGAAACCTTTTCCCCCTCCTTTTTGTGATCAGCACATTTTCCTCTCGTATTTTCCACTTCATTTTGTTGCTTTCTCCCCCCTTTACCCCTTTCTCTTGCTCTATGTATGTATGCACCCCCCTTATCACTGGTCAAGTCAAACCCCTTCCAGAACCACCAAGCTCTCGTCACTGTTTGAGTCACTTTTCGAGTATTCGCTAAAGTGACACAAACATAACCAGGTGCTGGTGTTTGTTCACATGGTGCTTCAAGCTAAGAGGATACACCAAACGTGAATGCCACTTTGTTTGAGGTTGATTTTGAGAATTCTCAAAATCAACCTCAAACAAAACGTGCTTCAAGCTAAGAGGATGCACCAAACGTGAATGCCACTTCCCTTATGTGAAGCGCGCTTCTCTCCCCTCCCCCAACTCCCAACTCCCGTTTTTTAGTCGAATAAAGAACAATACCAACCCCTTATGTGTGCTTCTCTCCTCCTCTGCCAACTCATACCCATACCTCTCTCCCGCCCACCCACCCATACCCCTCTCTCATCTCCCCTCAACAGAACCACCAAGTGCTTGTCTTTGTTCGCACGGTGCATCGAGTCGAAAGGCTGCACCAAACGTGAGTGCCACGCCACCCCTCGTATGCCACCCCTCGTATGCCACCTCTCTCTGTCACCTGTGTCGTCTCCTCTCGTCCCCCGCCACTCCTCCTCAGCCCCTTCCCCTCCTCCCTCTTCGTCAGTCTATCCGAGGAAGGAAGTGCAGCAGTGCAGTTGCACGGCGACCTGACAGGGCCGTCGAGAGGAGGCAAGCTCTTTACGCATGAGTCGATGCCAGCCAGCCATTGTCATTCCCCCTCATAGAACCCCCCCTCCCCTCCCCCCCCCCTTTCTTCCCCTCAGTTTGTGTGAAGGGGGCATAACAGCAGTGCGGCTGCATGGGGAATTGACAGGGCCGGTGAGGAGCCAATCTCTGGAGATGTTCAAGCAGGGAAATGCGCAGGTGAGTGGCGGGTGTGTGGAGGGGGGGGAATGTTCCGGGGTAGGTGCGACAAGATTGTTTTTGAGGTGTGTGTGTGGGGGGGGGGGGGGTTCGGTGTATATGGGTAGGGGGGGGTGTGAGCTCGCGGTGGTGACTTTTGAGAATTCTCAAAAGTCATACCAATGTGAGGTCGCGGTGGTGGCTTGGCGTTGCTTGTTCTTGAGAGGGCTGAAACTCGTTCCCTCTGTCTCCCCGCACACCCATCAGGTTTTGGTATCCACCAACGTGGCAGCACGTGGTGTTGACATCTGCTTGCCACAGCCATATATGCTACGAAGTACTCTTCTTCAATCTCCCCTCTCTCTCGTCTCCCTAATCTCCCCTCTCTCTCCTCTCCCTTGTCTATCCACCCTCTCGCCTCACCCACCCATCAGATCCTAGTATCCACCAACGTTGCAGCACGTGGTGTTGACACTCCTCTCTCTGCACGTGGCAACAACACCACGTGCTGCCACTTGGTGGTATCCATCCTCTCTCTGCTTCTTTCTGCAGCTCCACACGCTGCGGACTACTCTCCTTTCTTCTCCTTCTCTCTCATCTCCCTCCCTGCTCGCTCCCCTCTCTCCCCGCACACCCATCAGGTCCTAGTATCCACCAATGGGGCAGCACGCGGCGTTGGAACGTCTGTCTCCCTCTTTCCTCCCAATTCCTTCAGTTTCGTCTCACTTCTCTCTGTCTCCCCGCACACCCATCAGGTCCTAGTATCCACCAACGTGGCAGCACGCGGCGTTGACATTCCCAACCTCCCCTTTGTGGTGAGTCTGCCTGTCTGTTTGCCATTGTCCAACCGAAGACCACTTTTGAGGCGCCTCAAAGAACGCATTCTGAGGCGCCTCAAAAGCTACCAACGTGGCAGCAGCACGCGGCGTTGACATCCCCAACCTCCCCTTCGTGGTGAGTCTGCCCGTCTGTCACATTAACCAGTTGGCCGGTTAGCCGGCTAGCCGGTTGATCGCTTAGTCATTGTCTCCAGCCCAGTGTTCCATCTGTTAACTGTTGACAATTTTCGAAAATATTTCAGGTGCCCCAAAGACCGTGGTTACTCTGGTCTGGAAAACCCCTTGCCCTTTCCCTTTTCCCCTTTGCAAATCTGCTCACTCTCTCCCTCGCATTCTCAATATCTTTCGTTTGTCCCGGGCAGGTGAACTTTGACCCTCCGGGCAGCCCGCAGGAGTACTTGCATCGCATCGGCCGGACGGGGCGGGCAGGGGCGTCCGGAACTGCCATCAGCTTCTTAGAGCCTCTGAATGAGGAGTCATCCATTGGAAAGAGAGCTCTTGCTACGGAATCGCAACTAGGCGGGCGTGTGCAGGAGGAGTCCTCTCAGAAAGCCGATATGCCAGAGTGAGTATTGTGTGGTGGGGGGTGTGTGGAATTGCTATCAGTTTCTTAGAGCCTCTGAATGAGGAGTCATCCAGTAGAACGGTTTGGAGGTTAGGGGCTGGACCGAGGAGCCAGTGGAGGACGACCTCCGCGTGAGGATCTGCTCGATTTCGATTCGGAGTCGAAATGAGGCGGGTGTGTGCAAGAGTCTTCGCCGGAAGCTGATATGCCAGAGTGAGTACGGTATCATGTGGTGGGCTGTATATATTGAACTGTAGTCTGTCAGCCTTGTGACGCTTCTTGGAGCCTCTTGCTCGTGACGTGGCTTCGAGATGCTTACAGATGCCTCGAATACAAGTGACCAACACTGGCACATGCTCCCTCTCTACTCTTCCTCATCACCATCCCCTGTGTTTGCATCCTCTGCAGCTGGATGGCTGCAGCGCAAGAGCTTCTGGGCCAGCGAATAGAGGTAAGAGAGATCGTGCCTGGTTCTGCCGTCCTTCTCCTTTCTCTGTTGTTCTGTTACGCAGCTCCCTCTGTTTGACAGTGTGCTCATATATATATTGTATATATATTATATATATATATATATATATATTTGCAAGAATTCTCAATAGTCCCTCTGTTTGACAGTGTCCCCACAATCTGACGTTCTTTCCTATTTGGCTGTCTGTCCTCCCCTCTCTCGCCGTCTCCCCCAGCAACACCCCATTCCTCCCTACACCCACCCTCCTCTTTCTGTCTGTCCTCCCCTCTCTCGCCCTCTCCCTCAGCAACAACCCTTTCCGTTCCCTCCTCTCTGTCTGCCTGTCAGTTCCGGAAAGTGCCAGGCCCCTGGAGGGACGACCCAGATGACATTGAGGTTTCAGTCATCCCATCTTCAGCCCGCGGGCCGATTTTCGAATCAGCTCAAAAGTCGCCTTCAGCCCGCAGGTCCATTCTTGAGTCGGCTCAGCTAACACCTTCACCTCGCAGGCCCCTGACAAGACAAGGCTTCTCAAGAAAAAACTGAGTTTGGTTTGGGGCGTGGGAGTATGGTACAAGGCAATGTGTGTTTTGAAAAGACTCGGGCCCTGGCAGGAAGGGCCGTGGCACGAAAGGCCTTGAAAAAAATACCGGCTTCCATTTACGGTAATAATGATGCTGTGGTCTGCTTACAGCGCTGCTTTGTTTTGTCCTCATGCAAAGCAATCTCCATGAATGTCCAGCCAGTGAATGTTTTGGCCCTGACCTGGGTCAAGCCAAGCTAGTGTCATCACTCATAGTATTTGGGCGAATTTTCATGCTGAAAACATACATCTCTCAGCATGTCATTTGCCCTGACAGGGCTGTAAAAAAATTGCTTCAATCACCACTGACATAACCAGCCTCCGCACCACGTTCAACCCAGCCCCACCCCCCAGTCCCCGAACCCCTCCCTCTCCTCGGTAGAAAGGCGAAAGAGCACCAGTATTACAATTTTCTAGCAATGGTGCATAGCATGGTGGCCCTCACTACCATTGCAGGCCCTTTCCTCCTCGTGACCCCATCCACCAGCCTTCGCGCCACATTCACTCCCAGTCCCACGCCCAAGTCGCCATACTCCTTCCTCTCCTCTGCTACACAATGGGAGAAACAGCTACACCTTTCGAGCCAGAGTCCGCTGTTTTGTGGCCTTCTCAACAACCTTCTCTTCCACAGGAAGCCCTTTCCTCCTCCTCACCCCATCCACCAGCTTGCGAGCCACGTTCACCCCCAGCCCTACCCCCGAGTCGCCATACTCCTCCCTCTCCTCCTCTGTCCGCGGCACAAAGAACGGATCGTCTGCGACCATCGACCAATGGCTCATCGCCAGCTGTCCGGGGGGGGAAGGTGGGAGGGGGGGAGGAGTGGAGAGAGATGAGAGGGGGGAAAGGGAGGGTGTGAGGGCAAATGCAAAAGAGAGGAAGGAAAGGGAGGGCGTGAGGGCAAAGGTGGAAGTGAGGAGGAAGCGGAAGATGTTAGTGTTAGCCTTCAATCTCACACTTTGTACTTTGTATTTTCTATATCCTAGAGTAGTGTAGTTTGCACATTGTGTTTGGTTGGGTGTACACCTACATCCCAACCAAACCCAAATGTAATCTCCAAGCAATCTCCAACCCACCAATTGGAGATTGCCTTGGGATTACCCCCAATCCCTATGGATTGCCCCCGATTCCCTTCCCCATCCATTCCCTCCCCTTCTTGGATGTACTTAAAGAGCTTCAAGCTCATTACTAATGTATCGCTTCTAAGCCTAAGTTATGAGACGGTATCAGAGCCCTTCAAATCGCACACGCGGATCGTGATCCTCTTATCTCTGCGGATGTTCGTCCCGCAAACCTCGGCGTAACCGCCTTCAATCTCGTCGCCGTTGATTCGCGACATTCGTGGGCGGAAATTCTTCCGCACCACTTTCCCTTCACTCTCGACGGCATCTACTATCTCACTGGTAAGCACATCGTCGGCGCTTTAACCTATCGCTCGTTTTCGTCGAACATCATCGCGTCATTCCTTCTCCTCGTCGGGCTGTCGCCCGTCGCCCTGCAGCTTCTCGTCGGGCCGCCGCCCGTCGCCCTGCAGCTTCACCTTCGGGCTGCCGCCCGACGCTCCGCATCTGCACTCCTACCCCCATCCCCCTCCCTTTCCCGCAGCTGAACAGGTGCAGCAGCGCAGCCGAGCAGCAGCGTAGCCGCGAAGCCGAGCAGCCGTGTAGCCGCGAAGCCGAGCAGCAGCGCAGCCGAGAAGCTGAGGGTGGTGTGTGGGGGGGTGTGTGGGAATAGGATTAGTAGGTAGTTGACACTAAATTGGCGTTTCAGTCGAATTCTCCTTCAGAAACCCTAAACCTCAAAATTCTCTTTCGTAAACCCTAAACCTCCGGTTCTTCAAAATCTCCTTCGAAAACCCCAAACCTCAAGTTCCTATCGTTGACTCAAGAGCGGCGCTCCGCGCGACACCCTAAGGGGTCTCCATCATGGCATTCGCCTCGTCCACCATGGCCAACCCCATCACCCCACTCCGTCTTGACGCCGATGGCTCTAGCTCCAACTTCAAGGCATGGAGCTATGGGGTTGACAAGCACCTGCTGAGCCGTGACGTGCAGGGATTGGACCTCAAGGATGTCCTCCTCAACCGTGGCAAGGGAAAACAGCCCCTTCTCCCTCGCGAGCCGACCGAATCCGCTAGTGAGGCTGACACAAAGGCATATGAGGAAGCCGTTGAGAAGTACCGGAAGTGGGAGAAGGCCGATGCTGCAATTATCAGCGTCTTCATCGCCTCCACCCCTCCAGAACTTGTCAACACGTTCCATAACTACCCTACCTCCAACGCCATCTGGAAGTATCTCCAGGATCGGTTTATGAACAAGACTGCAATCGGAGTTGCCATCCTCATCCCCAGCATGTTCCAGGTCCGCCTTGAGGATTGCTCGGGAATGGCCGACTACATTGCCAAGGTTCAGACCATTCATGGCGAACTCAAGGAGCTGGGTATAGTCTTCCCCGAACAGGCCCCTGCAGCAGCTCTTCCCGTTGGTCTCACCACAACCTATGAAATCACAAGGAAGATGCTCCTCACGCTGACTACGGAAGACCTCACTTTTGCCAAGGTCTCCACCGCACTCCTCTCTGCCGAGAAAGACTCCACGGCTCAGGCCAAGGCTTACGCCATCCGTGCTCCCATGCCTCAAGCCAGTGTCGCATCGGCCCTTGCCTCGGCGCCCCTCCAGCGCAACCGCTTCCCACCGTGCACCTACGTCGTCAAGTATGGCAACCGCAAGGGACAATGCTACGTGCTTCAAGAAGAAGAACGACGAATGGTACGCCATCCACGGCATAGACAAGAGGCCACCGAACTGGATGCGTGTGCGTAAGGCCAACCTGGTTGAGGTCCAAAACCCCGCTTCGGCTAGTGCTAGTGATAGTGCCCCTGCTGATGCCCGTATCAACCTGTTGTTCCCTGACACTGCCATGATTAATGAAGCTTCCTCCCAGTACCTCGGCTCATCACAAGCACCACAATACATAGAGTTCACACTCGACAGCGGCGCCACACACACTGTACTCAAGGAGACACTCTCCTTCAAACCCTACGCAACACCCATCCCTCTCCTAGGAGCTGACTCAAGCTTCACCACTCATGCCAAGGGTTCATCCACAGTCCCGTGCCCCGCCTTCCCTTCCGGCACTGTCACTGGAATGTGCGTGCCTTCACTCCGCCACAATCTCGTGGCCCAAACGGAAATTCAGAAATCTGGACTACGCACCATCTTCTGGGAGAACGAGAACTATGGTGATATCCTCGACCCACTCACCAACAAGGTCTTGACTCGTTTCACCCTCAACAGCAGCGGCCTTTACACGCTGCAAGTACCCATCCCACAGGTGTCAACCACCCAAACAGCGGCGACTACCTCACCATGCTCGTGCCGCAGTTTCTCCAACCCGACCATACTCTACCACCATCGGCTCGGGCACCCAAACTTCCGCACACTTGCTGACATGGCCTCCAAGAAACTTCTACTCGGCCTGCCAGCCTCACTTCCTCCACCACCAGACTCCCCCGCTCCCACGTGCCTTGACTGCACCAAGAGCAAACTGCGTCAACAGCCCCACTCGGCCTCACCCTCTGTCGCAGCAGGACCACTGGACCTGGTACACCTGGACGTCTGGGGCCCTGCCCCTGTTCCCGCACGAGGTGGTTATCGCTACTTCCTTGTTATCGTCGATGACCACTCTCGCTACGTCTCTGTTCACCTCCTCCACACTAAGGCTGCGGTTCCAGAGGTCCTCATGGCGTGGGTTAAACAGGCACAGACCGCCTTTGACCGCAAAGTCAAGCGCCTCCACTCAGATGGTGGTGGTGAGTTTTGCAACGACAAGCTCGAAGCCTTCTGCTCTTCAGAAGGCATCCAGCAAAACTTCACCCTCCCTAACAGCCCGCAGCAGAACGGCATAGCTGAGAGCCGCAGCCACACCCTGGTGCAGATCACTCGGTGCCTCCTCAGCCACTCCAACGCTCCACACTCTCTCTGGGGGTACGCTCTCTACCACGCCGCCCTCCTCTACAACCTTTACCCCCACCCGCATCTTCCCGACACCACTCCAACCACACTCTGGCTCGGGAAAACGCCCACTGCTCGCTCTCTTCGCGTTTGGGGGTGCACCGCCTATGTCCTCCTCAACCCTCAGGCTCGACGGCAGCACGGCGGCAAGCTCGGTCCCAAGACCCAGACATGCATCTACCTCGGACACAACGCCGACTCGCCTGACTACCTCTTCCTCAATCCCTCCACTCAGCAGTTGGTCCGGAGCCGCGACGTTGTCTTTGATGAGACCCGCCCATTCTACTCCACTTCGGGACGGGACCCTCTCCCTGACCCACCCTCCCTCGTGCGGGCAGACTTTGATGCGCCTCCTGACCTCTCGCCTGCTCCGGCCCCTTCACCCCCTACCCCTCCTGCCACCGCACCGTCCCCCTCTGCGGTCTCTGACCCGCCCTCACCGGTGTCTTCGGCAGCTGCTCCTCCATCCCCCTCACTTCCCACTCCGCCGACTGTGCAGCCTCCTCCGAGCGCACCTATCACCTACCATTGGCGGTCCCACCCTCCGGCCCCACCTCCTCCCCCGGTTCCCCCCACCACAGAGGAACCCGCTCTCCCACAGTCGCCCGAGCTGATCACGTACCACCGGCGGCCCATTCCCCCGCCCAAGCCTCCTAAGTCAACCCCTCCGGCACCGCCTGCCCCACCCTCTTCTCCGGTGGCTCATGGCACTCGTTCGCATGGCGCGGCTCTTCCACTAGCACTGGTTCTTCGATACACGGCGATCACACCGCCTCCTCCTGCTGGGGGGATGTGCCCTCTACCCTTCTGGAAGACAGGCATGAGGAGCTGTGTGATCTTCATGCAGTCATTCCTCAGCTCTCGCACATCTTCCCCGACATCACTGACTCACCCTCCCTCAACTTCGCGGAGAACCCAACCATCCCTATCCCTCTCACCGTCCAAGAGGCTCTCTCAGGCCCTCATGCTGCCGAATGGCGTGCTGCCATGGAAGCGGAGATTGCAGCATTCACCCGCAACCACTCCTTCGACGACGAGACACCACCTCCAGAAGTCAACATCGTCGGGGGCAAGTGGTTGTTCCGTGTACAACAGCTCCCAGACGAGGCCCCGGTGTTCAAAGCGCGTTACGTAGCCAAGGGCTTCACCCAGCAGCAGTACCGCGACTTCTTCCTAACCTTCTCCCCCACATCCAAACCTCCCACCATTCGTACGCTCATGGATGTCGCAGCTCGAGAAGACTTTGAGATCAAATCCATGGATGCCTCATCCGCCTTCCTACAAGGACGTCTCAAGGAGACGGTGTTCATGGACAGACCAGAAGGCTTCCCAGGAGAATTCCCTCCCAACACTGTCTGGAAGCTGAATCGCCCCGTCTACGGCCTTAAGCAAGCCCCTCGCGAATGGCACAACAAGGTGAAAGAAGTCCTCCTCTCCCTGGACTTCCACCCTTCAACTGCTGACCCGACTCTCTTCATCCGCCGTCATTCTGAGCCATTCTACATCCTGGTCTACGTGGATGATTTCATCCTCATTGCCAAGGACTCGGCCCAGATGACCTCTGTCCAGGCAGCCCTGAACAAGGCTCTCCAGATGAAAGACCTCGGTGACCTCAAGCACTACCTGGGGATGGAGATCACTCGTGATCGCTAGGCTCGCACCATTTCACTCTCCCAGGAGTTCTACATCGACAATGTGCTCAAGCGGTTTGAGATGGAGCTGTGCACACCTGTTGCCACCCCGCTGCCGCTGCAACACCTCCTCACTGCTCCAGCTGTACCCACACCAGAGGCCAACTCTGAGCCATACCCGGAGCTTGTTGGGTCCCTCATGTACGCCATGATGTGCACCCGACCGGACTTGGCCTATCCTGTCAGTGTCCTCTCTCGCTACGTGGCCCCTGGACGCTTCACTGATCTTCACTGGAAGGCGGCGAAGCGGGTGCTGCGCTATCTTCAGGGCACCAAGTCTCACGTTCTCACACTCGGTGGGCTCTCCCCTCCTCGCCTGGAAGGTTACACCGACTCCTCCTGGGCTGATGACCAGACCGACCGACGCTCCTCTCAGGGGTACTGCTTCACCCTTGGGAGCGGAATTGTCAGTTGGCGCTCCACCAGGTCGTCTGCAGTCTTCCTCTCCTCCTGTGAGGCAGAGCTCTACGCAGGCACCATGGCTGCTCAGGAGGCCCGTTGGCTCACCTTCCTACTCCAGGAGCTTGGTTTCCCACAGTCCGCCCCCACCCTCTGGTGTGACAACCAGAGTACCATCCACATCTCTCAAGACCCTGTGTATCACACCCGCACCAAGCATATTGAACTTCCGCACTTCTTCATCCGTGACCTTGTCCAACAGGAGCAGCTGAAAGTGGAATACGTTGCATCTGACTGCAACCTGGCTGATCTGTTCACCAAGCCCCTTGGGAAAGTTCCCCACCACCGTCTCCTAGGCGCCATGGGGCTCTGTGCACCACCCTCTCTACCATGAGTTCGATTGACGCCTATGGGGGCGTGTTAGTGTTAGCCTTCAATCTCACACTTTGTACTTTGTATTTTCTATATCCTAGAGTAGTGTAGTTTGCACATTGTGTTTGGTTGGGTGTACACTTACATCCCAACCAAACCCAAATGTAATCTCCAAGCAATCTCCAACCCACCAATTGGAGATTGCCTTGGGATTACCCCCAATCCCTATGGATTGCCCCCGATTCCCTTCCCCATCCATTCCCTCCCCTTCTTGGATGTACTTAAAGAGCTTCAAGCTCATTACTAATGTATCGCTTCTAAGCCTAAGTTATGAGAGAAGATACAAGTTAACACTTTGATTGTGGGCAGTAATGAGCATGGCTCATGCCTCCCCTCGTTCAACTTCCTGGCCACCCACATCTAATGACTTCTTTTCTGCTGATGACTCACTGCCGCCCAACTCAAGCACACAGCAAACACAGCTAAAAAAAACTTCTGATCTGAACAACAGTCGCTGCCCAGCAAGTAGCTGACTGACTTTTGAGTCGACTCGAAAGTCAGACACAGCTGGCCAAAACGTCTGATCTAAACAACAGTCGCTGCCCCGCAAGGTCGTGGCACCTGAAAGAGCTCTTTCAAGTCGTCTCACCACAGAATACCCAGATCGTCAAAGGAGTAAGGGGGACCAGGAAAGGGGAATGGGAGAACCGGGAAGGGAAAAAGGGGGAAGGGCTACTGCGGCTTACCTGCGGGCTGGCAGCACCGGACGTCCTGCCTCTCAACTCCTCTGCAAACCCAAACGACTCTGCCATGGGCAAATGCGCATGCACAGTGAACATCCCCGATCCCTCATTCATCTCCTCCCTCACCACGGCTGCTCTCCTCCTCCCCAGCACCGCATACACAGCCCCTAATGCCTCAGTGGTGGTGGTGACCTCGCACAGAAACATGGCTTCTACCAGCCGAGGGGAGTTGGCTGCTACTGCTGCTCTGCACGCGTCCTTCACTGCACTCATCACCTGCCCTGATATAGGCACACTCGATGCAGGCACGTTCTGTGCTGGTGCTGTGTCGTCACTAGCCTGCTGCTCGCTGCTGCTGGTGCCGCTGCTGCTGCTAGTGATACTACTGAAGGCTGCTCCTGGGCGGCCAGCGCCCTTTACAATCACAACCTCTACAGTGAACGCCAGCCCCCACAGGGGCTCCTCGCACAGAGGGCCTGCTGACGTGGCGAGCTGGAAGCCACTCACCACCGACCCGGCCAATCCCTCCGCTTCGTGCTGCAGTGCCACGTCATCATGTTCCTCTTGAGACGTCTCACCAGCGGCTTCGTTCCGCAGCACCACTTCATGCTCTGGCGCACTAGAGGGGCTAACAGGAGCATCACCAACAACAGCACCACTCTCCCTCTCCTCCTTCTCCTCCCGCTCCTCCCCATCTGCTGCACTAACCGCACCATTCGACCCTCCCACCCCTTTCCCCATTCCTTCCGCACCACCTTGCACAGCACCTGCGCTTGCCAGCCCGAGTTTCCAGGAAGCTTCCGGCAGCCCGGGAACAACCACACCGCCAGCTGGCAAGCTCCCAGAAACGCCTGACCTAGAATGACCAGTACTGTTCCCACTAGAATTATCTGTACTATTCCCACTGGGATTCACAGGAATGGGAGCAAGGAGCAAGTTTGGGCCGACGTGTCTCGGCCCTAGCGACCAGATTCTCTCCAGTTTGCTCCTCCATGCCGCCCGGAAATCCGCCACTGCCGCCCGCCTCGCCTCCGCTCCCATTGGCTGGTTCCCTGCAGATGAAGACGAAGAGGCAGCGGCAGAAGCAGAGGCGGCAGATGATCCTCCCCCAGATGCGTCCAAGCCCTCATCTATGTCTGCCTCGTCTATGGCTTCTAGGAGGCGTTGCCTTAGGGATGCTAGAGTGGCTGACTGCCTTGACTGCTGCATTGACTGCATTGACTGAGTTGAATTTTCTGATGGTGCTGACGTTTCTCCTTCTCCTTCCCCTCCTGCTCCTTCTGCCCCTCCTCCTCCTCCTCCTCCTCCCTTGCCTCCGCCCCCCACCCCTCCTCCCTCTTCAACAAGCGCATCCCTCAGAGTCTCCCCTTCTCTCTCCAAAACCGCTGCCAGCTTTCCAGGAAGCTTCTCAACGAGCACCCTCACCCGGCACCGCCCGTTTGCCGCCCAGAGCTCCGTCCAGAAAGCACCTCCCCCGGGTAAACCTGCCCCTGCTGCCGCCCCTCCCCCTCCCGCTCCTGCTGATGAGGGATGAGCAGGGTTACCCATGGAACCAGCACCGCTGCCACTAATGCTATTACCAGCACTGCCACCGGCAGCAAAACCAGTGCTTGTGGTGGTAACCGCAAGCGCGTAACCAAGGCCGAAGCCTAGTGGTATGGCCGCTCCAGAGGCAGCAGACGCAGCAGAATTTGCTGCCAGCGCTGCTAGGTGAGATAACGAAGCTGCTGCTAAGGGGGATGCTGAGTTCCCACTGCTGTTCATCCCATCAACCCCAGCACCACCAGCACCAGGCAGTGATGAGAGGCTAGGAGGGGGTCCCGGAGTGGTGGTAACCGTAAGCACCGTGGTAGGAAACACCAACGCACTCTCAGACCCGGATGCACTCGCACTCGCAGAGCCAGTCGCATATCCCGAGGGGGCGATGGTTTCTCGAAAGGAAACGATGGGCTTGGACACGACGAGCTTGATGCGGGCGAAGCGCTCCTGCAGGTCCTTGATGCACCGCTCCAGATGCACCTCCCCTGCTGCTCCCACCACGTGCTCCCCTGAGCGAGCCAGTACGACTTCTACGAAGGGGTCGGCACGGTTTAATAGACGGAGGCCGCGTGCGAGCAGGGGGAGGTGGCGAGGGTCTTCTGGCTCGATGGCGACACGGACAATAGGGGCAGCCTGGGGTACAAGTGGGAGAGGGATGGAGGCAGGAAAGGGTGGAGAGTGCTTGCTGAGACGAGTGAGTGAGGTGCGCTCCTGCAGGTCCTTGATGCACCGCTCCAGATGCACCTCCCCCGCCGCCCCCACCACATGCTCTCCGGAGCGAGCCAGCACCACTTCCACAAAGGTTCTGCGCGGTTGAGAAGGCGCAGTCTCTGGGCGAGGAGGGGCAGATGGCGAGGGTCCTCTGGCTGTGGAAGGCGTGGGAGAGGGAGGGAGGGAAGAATGGAGTGTGATTGTTGAGAAGAGAGGGTGAAGAGCTCTCCTGCAGGTCCTTGATGCGTCGCTCGACAAGCACCTTACCTGCCCTGCCGCACCCACCTTCCTCACAGGCATCCTCACCTGGAACACTATGGAGGCAAGCGGCTGGCAGTAGGGAGTTGAGGCCACAGTGGCACTCTTCTAAAAGCCATGCCTCCAATCCCTTGTTCGCCACACAGAGTCTCTTTTCCCCCTTTCCACTCTCGCCCTTTGCCCCTCGCCCTCTGAGCTTACAATGCCTCACCTGGAAAACCATGGACGCAAATGGCTGGCAGTAGGGAGTCGAAGACACAGTAGCACTCGTCAAAATTCACGCCTCTAATCCCTTGATCGCCATACAAGCAGCAGATCTTGATAGCCTTACACTTCGCCCCTTCATTTCGCACGTTAACCTTACGACGCCTCACCTGGAACACCATGGAGGCGAATGGCTGGCAGTAGGGCGTGGAAGACACAGTAGCACTCTTGAGAATGCACGCCTCTAACCCCTTGATCGCCACGCAGTTTCCCTCTTTCCCCTCGCTCCCTTCTCGCCCATTGCCCTTGTCAATGCCTCACCTGGAACACCATGGAAGCGAATGGCTGGCAGTAGGGAGTTGAAGACACAGTCGCACTCTTCAGAATGCACGCCTCTAATCCCTTGATCGCCACGCAGCTGCCAGCTGGCACGCTGCTGATTGGCTGCAGCCCCTGCCCCATCATCATGAACAGTGCGCCCACTTGCGCCTCTTGTCTGTGCCGTGCCCACGTCGCCGGGCGGCACGGGTCGTAGAGCGGGGAAAGGACAAAGACGCGCTGCCCCGCCCGCAGCCGCCCGCAGAAGACACGGGCAAACGCGAAAAAGAAGTCGCGATCACGCACTGACACTCCTAAATCGTCCACTGAAGCTAAATCTCCTCCCGACCCCACTCCTCCCCCCACTGCTCCTCCCCCTCCTCCTGCTCCTCCTCCTCCTCCTCCTGCTGCTGCTGCTGCAGCAGCTGCTTCCTCTTCTGCTCTCTGCTCCTCCCTTGGAAGCATTTCATATGGCACAGCAAACATCTTAGACACAAACACCACACACGGGGCCTCTTCGCTCGAATCACACGTCTCCACCGCCCTATCAACCGCCGCCACCTGGCGCAACACCGACTCCTCCCCTCCCTCCTCCTCTCCCGCTCCCGCTTCCCCAGACCTGTCTAACGAAGCTGGTACGGCGGGCCGATTCGGCAGGTAGCACCCGAGCCTGTCTTTCTGGGCGGCAACAGGGTCGGGAAGGCAATCCACCACCATGGATAGAATGCAGGGCGCGAGAGGCAGCCACCTGGCGATCACTGATTGGGCGACGGTGCGAGGATCCTTGTGCTGGAGATCTTTGGGCGGCACAGACAGACCCAGCGAAGATATGATTTTCTCGAGAATCGGATTGGATTTGTCTGCATTGCTACTGTTACTGCCGCTGTTGCCGCTGTTGTTACTGTTGCTTCCCTGGGCGGCAGCTTCATAGATCTGCCACACGGGCTCCAGCACAAACTGGACAAACATCGGCCGCAGCCGGGCGGCGGCAGACGAAGATGCGCCGCCCACTGCCGCCTGCGCTGCTTTCTTTTTCAGAATTTTCTTGGTCTTGGGAATATAGTACCTGAGGAGGAGGGGCAAGAGGAGGATAAAAGCACGATTAGTGTGGCTCGAATGCAGAGAGAAGCAAGCCTTCAAAGGTTTTCACGATTATCCTTCAAAGCATATAAAGAGGCTCTCAACTGCCCCTCAAAACCTTACCATCTCCCATCAAACAAACATGCGGAAGGAACTTTCTTAATGCCCCCCGAATTCTAGCATGCATGGCCAGAAAAAAATCATCCACCCCTCACTTGCGTGTGCATACACACAGAGATATAACAAGTATATAAGCGACTCACCAGTCCCCCCACAAAGCCTTCATGAGGGCATTTTCAGACGCCCCAAGCTTTCTTGCATACATGGCTGCAAAGTCATTCACTCTTAAAGCCCACCCATCCACCGCACTTGCCAATGCCACATTCCCCTTGTCTGGGGAAAACACATCCTCCTCATCCTCCTCCTCCTCCCCCTCCCCCACCCCCCTCCCTTGCCCTTCTCCTGCTCCTCCCCCGCTTGCTTCCCCGTCGGCGTCAGCTGGATGGCCTGCTGACGTAGCGCCAGCTGGCAGGGAGAGGGAGTCCACGTGGGACATGTATTTCTCGGAGCGGAATGCGTGGATGATGTTGTTGACCTCCGTGATTATGCCCTGTCAAGAGGGGTGGGGCGGGAGGGGTTGGGGGGTAGGGGTTAAGGTGGGGGGGAGGGGGGATGTGGGACTCACGTCACAAGATTGAAAACTTCGTGGTTTGCCGTTCGGAGTTTTGGGTTTAATGTTTAAAGAAACATGGGGGTGCTGAAAAGATCGGGGGTTGGCAGAAGCCAGCCAGTGTGAAGAGATGAATGAGAAAAGAGACAACACACGTCACCACAAGGGTTTTAAGAAATCTTGTCAATTCAGGTATAACTACAAACTCACACCTGTGCCTCTAACCCACCTTGAGCCGTTCGTAGGCCTCCGCAGGAGTGAGCATCAGCTCCGTTATAAGCCTGTCCATCTTGTTAATAACGAGTACAGGCTGCAGGCGCTCCAGACAGGCCTGTCTCAGCACAGCGTGCGTCTGTATGTGGACCCCCTCGACTGCATCCACCAACACCACTGCTCCGTCCGACACCCGCGCTGCTGTTGACACCTCACTGTTCAGCAGAAGTGGGAGGGGAATGGTCAATGATAGGGAGAGAGTGAGAGCACTGCATGCGTCTGTATGTGGACCCCCTCGACTGCATCCACCAACACCACTGCTCCGTCCGACACCCGCGCTGCTGTTGACACCTCACTGTTCAGCAGAAGTGGGAGGGGAATGGTCAATGATAGGGAGAGAGTGAGAGCACTGCATGCGTCTGTATGTGGACCCCCTCGACTGCATCCACCAACACCACTGCTCCATCCGACACCCGCGCTGCTGTTGACACCTCACTGTGCTTGCACAGGGCAGCAGAATGTGGGGAGGGGGATGGGAGATGGGAGATAGGAGGGAGAGGAGAGAGTGGGAGCACGGCGTCGTATGTCTCACGGCGTGCGTCTGTATGTGCAGACTTCAAAAGAGCCTCATTGCGTGTGTTTAAATGTGCACCCCCTTCAATGCATCAACCAGCACCACTGCTCCATCCGACACACACGCTGCTGTTGACACCTCACTGCAACAACGGCCAAGCTTGGGAAGCAAAATCGTTACCTGCAGAAGTCAATGTGTCCCGGGGAGTCAATGAGGTTGATCAGATATTTATCATCCAAACCATTCTGCGGCCCTGTCTTTCCGCCTTCCCCCACGCCTCCCCCCTTCCCCCCTTCCACTCCGCCCTCCGCTTGCTGCGCCTTTCCCCCCGCCGTCCCACCCGGCGACGCGGCGTGCCGTTTAAACAGCAGCGCAATCGACGAGCTTTTCATAGTAACCCCGCGCCGCTGCTCATCTTCCCGCCAGTCCAAGAATCTAAGCTTTCCGACGAGCCGCGGGTGGATTAGACCGTTGCTGGCGATTAAGTGGTCTGACAGCGTGGTCTTTCCGTGATCCACGTGCGCGAGGACGCAGATGTTCCGGATGCGCTTCGGATGGTACTGGAGCGCCGCGAGCTCCTCGGGTAAGACCTGGAGCCGCGGATACAGCTGCGACATGGCTGAGTTAATAGCCTTGCAGAATAGGTAGTGGGTAAAGCGGCTCGGGAAAACGACTGACTTATAACGTGTTTCAAAATAATGGCTCTGTTGTTACGCGCCGAAGAGAATGCCCGCTAAGTTCGCTAGGTTACGAATTCCTCTAAAGGAATGGCAGAGCTTGGAGAGCTTCAGTAGAATGGCTGACGAAATAGGCGTTTCCTCGCAGCAGCTACGTGCAACGATACCCGAAAATAGTAGAAGAATCGCGAGATCTTAACCAGGATTCGTGACCTATGGCCGGGATATGAATAACTCGCGAATCGCACCGACGCTAATGTGCTGATTGAAGCGCGTGTATGTTCTCGATACTAACGGACGCGTATGTTCAGGTTGAAGCCTAAGCAACGCTATACATGCTGCGCAATCCCTAGGGATGAGAGCATAACAGCATCACCGGATTGGACTGGACTAATTTCGAAGGACAAGTTATGGCTTCCCTTCGAAATTCAGGAACCTAGATTCCATCGTAAAGCATTTCTCAAAGCAAAGCCAAGCAAAAGCCCATGTAGAACCCTGCTCCGATTTCTTCAAGGCCACGCACCCAGAACCTTCATAAACCCTAGAAACAATGGCTCGATACTGCGTATAGCCCGCCCAATTGATGGAAAGTTTGTGGGCTAGAATTTCAATGTTTTCAGGTCCCAAAGCTGCATTTATCGAAAACCTCGCTATAAAAAGCCGCACCTTCTTCCACCGCATCTAGAATCTAGATTCAAGGTCAAGGACCTACAGAACCTGGAATTCAGAGTTTCTGTAAGGAAAATCTCTTTTTCCTTACTTCGCGTCCCTGCTCAACGCGTACATCACTGTAGCACCACACTCAGCACCGTTACCACTCGCAATCCTCGCATCGACAATCCGCCCGCCACCCTCGCACCCCGACCTCACGGCTCGGCGGGTAACCCGCGCTCCGGGCCTCCGCTTCGACACTTTTCCCAACCTCAGTCCCAGGCCCGTCGCGCGACAACCACAGTCCATTACCGTTACCACTGTAGTTTCGCTATATATTCTTCGCTCATGCCTTCGCTCATTGTACTCTTGCTTCGATAGTGCAATTCTCGTTCGTTCACTCAATTGCACTCGTAACACTTGGTATTCAGAGCCTACGACCTCTTCTCGGACCGCACCCACACCTTCGCTTCCCCACTATCTCAATTTTTGGGGGGGGTAGACGTCTCTCAGCGACACAGCACCGCCGCTCGTAGTGCTCTCTCGTAAGCACGCACGGCCACGACTGAGGCTCTCGCTGAGCTCGTCCGACACCCCCGCCATGGCCGAATTCACGCTCGCCACATTGACGCAGGAGCAGCTCGACCGTCTGGTGCGCCAACTCGAAGATTCGGCGCTCGAAATTGCGATGCTCACAGCGGAACGTGACTCCGCGCGTCAGCAATCAACGGTGAACACTCCAGCAGCACCACACGCACCAACAAATGCACCTGCACAATCGGACGAGCCAATCGTCATCTCGTCCGGGACACCAACACAACACGACAGCGTGGGACAGCGCTCGGGCGCAGCCAGTGATAGCGCCGCCCAACCAATGCCTGGCATGGGAGGAAACAGGGGCGCGCCAAGCCCGCGGGAGCCTCGCGAAGCCCGTCGGCACGTGGAGTTCGCGGCGACAAGTGGCGAACAGGCCATCATGGCACCAATGCCACTCAAGCCGCAACGCCCGCCCTGTTTCGACCCGAGCCAGCGTGGAGGTCCGACGGTTCAATCGTGGGTTTTCACGATGAACGTCTTCTTCGACGCGAATTACGTCGAGTCGGACGCAGCGAAGATTCGGTATGCCGTTTCGCTGTTAAGGGGCCCTGCCATGGACTGGTGGCGAGTCATCGTGACGTCGCCACGCGACTACGGGCCACCGTCGCAAGAGGAAGGGCGCACGGGTCCAGCTGTCACCTGGAGTTCATTCTGCGAGACCGCCCAATACATCACGTGGGATGCGTGGTGCGCAGGGCTTCGGGCGCGCTTCGAGCCGATCGCGGCTTCTATTTCGGCGCGTCAGAGATTGCGCACTTGGCGGCAGCTCGGGTCGGTTCAAGATTACACGAGCGGTTTTCTCGCACTTTGCGAGCAGGTCGGCTACATGCACGAAGCGGAGCGGGTGGACCGTTACGTCGGAAGGCTGAAGCCGGATATCTCGCACGAAATCATGCTGCGCGGACTCTCAAACTTCAACGAGATTCTCGCGCTCGCCGAGAAAATCGACATTGTACGCCGACCGAGACCGGGGTCCTACTACGGACATCGTCCTCGGGGACCGATCGAGCACGCCACTGTAAACGCTGTTGCAACGAATGCAGCTGCCACACCGTTTAAGGGGCGCTGCTTTGCTTGCAACAGGCCGGGCCATCGCAAGAGCGAATGCCCAGAGGAGCTAAGGCGCCGCGGAGCAGAGCAGGGGAGGGAGTCTCAGAGGCAGGGAAACGCCAGCAGTCAGTAGAAGTTGGGCCAACTACTGACGAGACTGCCTGCTCGCCCAACCGCACCGACCCTCACCGAGTCACAGTACCGATTCACGCCATCGATCGGGCTCGGATGAATAAGGAGGGTACAACAACGGATTGCCCAGTACTGATCCACGGGAAAATACAGGGAGCAGCAGTGAAGATTTTTATTGACGGAGGAGCAAGCCACAGTTTAGTTAATACCGCAACTGCGCGAAAATTACAACTGACACTTAGTCGCTGCTTACCTGAGATCGACGCACGCTTAGTTGACGGCACGCCGCTGGCCATACGGGAGAAGGTGGAGAGAGTAAAAGTTCGCTGCGGGGGAAACTTCGGGTTTACACAGGAAATGCTCGAGACGACATTGGATGGACATGATGTTTTACTGGGACGTGATTGGCTACGACGGTACAACCCACGAATCGACTGGACGACGGGTAGCTGCACTGTGCGAAGTAGCGGTAACTGGGTCATGCTACCTCGCTGGCAGTCGCCCGAGTCTTCAACGGTCCACGTCAATGCCATCACGATGAAACGGGTTGTCGCCGCTGGAGCTGACGTGTACGCAGTAGATATAGCATTAGTAGGAGAAGCGGAGCAACCGAGCGATTTTCAGAAACTGTTGGCAGCAGTACCGCCCGAACTACAGGAACTGTTGAAACGGTACCCGGGGATTTTTCCAGACGACTTACCGGAAGGGCTGCCACCTCAGCGGGCGCATGATCATAGGATCGAGTTAGAACCGGGGGCACAGCCAACTGTACAGCGCCAGTTCAGACTGACACAGCCCGAGCTCGACGAACTGAGGAAGCAGTTAGATTATTTGTTCGAGAAGCACTTTATTCGACCAAGTTCGTCACCGTTCGCCGCACCGATACTGTTCACACCGAAAAAAGACGGAGGGTTTCGCATGTGCATCGATTACCGAGCGCTCAACAGGGTAACAGTCAAGTCGCGGTACCCCATTCCCCGCGCCGACGAATTGATCGACCAACTGCGAACAGCACGGGTGTTTTCGAAAATAGACTTACGGGGGGGTTACCATCAGATTCGGGTCGAACCATCGGACTGCGCCAAGACAGCATTTAGGACTAGGTACGGGTCGTTTGAGTACACGGTGATGCCTTTCGGGCTGACCAACGCGCCCGCAACATTTCAGATGACCATGAACGAGGCGTTTAGGCCACTCTTAGATAAATGCGTGATAGTTTACCTCGACGACATCCTCGTCTACAGTCGCGACAAGCAGCAGCATTTAGCGGATCTCGAAGCAGTATTTAAAGTTTTAGAGGAACATCGATTACTAACCAAGTGCTCTAAGTGCGAGTTTTTTCGGGAGAAACTAGAATTTTTTGGGCACGTTATTTCGGAGGCTAGAGTTGAAATCGACCCAAAGAAGCTGGATACGGTAAAAGCGTGGCGTCCCCCGACGAACATCACGGAACTGCAGAGTTTTTTAGGGTTCGTTAATTATGTTCGTCGGTTCGTCCCCGACATGGCACAGTTGACTGCCCCGCTGACGGATTTACTGCGAACGGGGGTCGTTTTTACGTGGGGGGAGAAAGAGCATGCTGCCTTCTCTGCCCTGAAAAATCTTCTCTGTTCACCGCCCGTCCTGCGCATCGCCGACCCACACCGCCCCTTCGAGGTTGTTACAGACGCAAGCGACATCGCCATTGGAGTCGTACTGCTACAGGACTTCGGCAACGGCCTACAGCCCATCGCATACGAGTCACGAAAACTGCATCCGCCCGAGCGAAATTACCCGATACACGACCGCGAAATGCTCGCGATCGTGCATGCGTTCAAAGTGTGGCGCTGCTACTTGACCGGCGCAGACGTGACAGTACGGACAGACCACCGATCACTACAGTACCTCCGCGCACAGCCCCACCTTAACCCACGACAGATTCGGTGGCTCGATTTCCTCGAGTCAAACTTCCACTACACAGTCACCTATAAAAAAGGAGCCTCGAACATCGCCGACGCACTGACCCGCCCCACTGCCCAGATCCACGCGATACTACTCGCCCAGACCAGCCCGCTACTGACAGGACTATTTACCCTCGGATATCAAACGGACCCATTCTTCACAGGAGGAAATTCGCAGCAGTTCGCAGCAGCCAAGGGAGTCTATTACGTAAAAGTCGGGACCGACCGCATCTGGGTACCAGGGTACACACTGCTACGGGAATTACTATTACAGGAGGCACACGACGGGGTTACCTCGGGACATTTCGGGGTAGAGAAAACACGGCAGCAGCTGCAGCGGTATTATTACTGGCCCGAAATGTTGACCGACGTGCAGCGACACGTGGCATCGTGTCCCACTTGCCAGATCATGAAGTCAACACGGAAGCGGCCGGCGGGACAGTTGCAGCCAATCCCACCTCCAGAGCGTGCTTGGCAGCAGGTGACGATGGACTTCGTCACGGGGTTACCGGCCGGGGCGAGGAAATGACGCGATCCTGGTCGTCGTCGATCGACTGACGAAAATGGCACACTTCGCAGCCTGCAAAAAATCAATCACAGCCGAAGAAACAGCCCGCCTCTTCATCTCTACCGTCGTTCGACTACACGGGATACCAGCATCAATCATCAGCGACAGAGACACGAAATTCACCAGCAACTTCTGGCGGAACCTGTGGCAGCAGTTCGGCACGCGACTACAGTTTAGTTCATCGTACCACCCCGAAACAGACGGACAGACAGAACGGACAAATCAGACCATGGAACAGCTCATCCGGGCCACGTGCGACGACCCAAACACGTGGGAACAGCAACTGCCACTCATCGAATTCGCATACAACAACGCCCCATCCGCCACGACCCAACAGTCACCGTTTTACCTGAATTACGGACAAGACCCAACAGTACCCATGACCCCGAATCCCGACAACCCGGTTCCACGCGCGCAACAGTTCGCCGAAATTTTGCAAGCAGTACGAACCAGGGCAGCAGACGCAATTAAAAAAGCTAACATCATCGCTAAACGCAACGCGGACCGCCACCGCAGACCTGTCACTTACCAGCCCGACGACTTAGTTTTGCTCGACACCCAAAACCTCCGACTGCCCATCACCCCGAAACTCCGCCCCCGATACTGCGGGTCATTTCGCATAAGCCACATGCTTACACCTGTCACCGCCCACCTCCTCCTTCCTGCTGACTGGTACGTCAGCCCCTCGTTCCACGTCAGCCTGCTTCGCCCTTACGTCCCGTCCACGAGCCAACTGCCACGCAATCGCCCAGCCAGCATGACAAGACCACCGACTGAACCAATCATCACCCCCGAGAAAATCCTGAGTCACAGAGTTCGCGACCCTCGAGGAGCCCGAAGGATCGAGTTCTTACTCCGCTGGAAGGACCGTACACCCACCGAAGACAATTGGGTTCCCCTGGACAGAATCGAAAACCACCCCGTCCTCACCGAGTATCTGCGCAGCCGAAATTTCAGGGATGTACACGCACTTTCGTAAGGAGGACCTCCTTAAGGGGGGGGGTAGTGTAAGGAAAATTTCTTTTTCCTTACTTCGCGTCCCTACTCAACGCGTACATCACTGTAGCACCACAGTCAGCACCGTTACCACTCGCAATCCTCGCATCGACAATCCGCCCGCCACCCTCGCACCCCGACCTCACGGCTCGGCGGGTAACCCGCGCTCCGGGCCTCCGCTTCGACACTTTTCCCAACCTCAGTCCCAGGCCCGTCGCGCGACAACCACAGTCCATTACCGTTACCACTGTAGTTTCGCTATATATTCTTCGCTCATGCCTTCGCTCATGCCTTCGCTCATTGTACTCTTGCTTAGATAGTGCAATTCTCGTTCGTTCACTCAATTGCACTCGTAACAGTTTCCTGAAAGTGATACGAAATTTAATAACTGTCAGAAAGCTAGAGCGGCATTCCAGGTCTGAGAACCTCCGAAGAGCCTCCTAGAAACGCGCGTGTTTGTTCCAGCTCTTTCAGAAAGTCTTTGGTTTCAAGGCAGCCATGTTCGGTTTCTTCGGGCGGCCGCGGAATGAGGACAAGACGCCGCCCAAAAAGAACGCAAACAATCGACCAGCAGCGGCCACCAAGAAACCGCGAACCGCGGGTGCTGACGTGGCACCGGGAGCAGAAGGCGCTTCGGATGGAACCGATGTCGGGAGCGTCTTAGGCGAGTTAGGTATTGCGGTTGATGACGGAGTCACCGCGGAGACTCTGCGCGCGCAGGCGAAGGATCAGCGCGCCAAAGCTTCCGCGATGCGCGAGGCGGGGCTGTACGCGGGCGCGCAGAAGGCGCTGAAAGCCGCTCGCGAGCTTGAGAAGCGCGCCAAGGACAAGGACGACTCCGCCGCAGTCGCCGCCGCAACCGCCGCCGCAACCGCTGCCGCGCTTGCGGGCGCGTCCCGGGAGGCGGAAGAGATAGCGCAGGAAGCCATGGCGCGCGGAAACGCGCTTGGCGCAGCGGCTGGCGCGCGCGGGGCGGGAGGGAAACGCGTAGCGGCAGCGAGATCTCGCGAGGCGGAAGCGGAGGCTCGATCCGCGGGTGCGGGGAAAGCGGGCGGGGCGGGTAAGTCCGGAGCTGCAAGCGCAAGAGCAGGGGAGCGCAAGGTCGCGGCAGCGGAAGGCGTGAAGGCGGAGCGGAAGGGGCTAGCGCGGTTGAACGCTGGTGGGGACGACGACGGGGAGATTATGGCGCAACTGCGCGATCTGGGTTGGGCGGAACCAGCGGGGGGAGCTGGCGGCGGGGGCCTTTTGGCCGGACTTGATGACGTGGACGGGGCGGCGGCGGAGCAGGACGAGGTGAGCGCGGCGCGCGAAGCAGCAGAAGCGCAGGTATTGGACCTAAAGCGCAAGGCGAGGCAACTTAAGGGGCAGGGGCAGGTTCAAGAGGCGCTGGCGGAACTAAGAAAGGCTAAGAAGCTTGAGAAAGAAATAGAAGACGGTTCGTTCTTATTAAACCTAGCGGACGGCGCGGAGGGAGGGCATGATGACGAGGAGAAACGGCTGCTCGCCAGTCTCGGGCTGACAAGTGTCGATGACGTGGCACTAGTGGAGGAGACGGATTTAAGGATGGGGGGGATGGGGAGAGGTGGCGGAGGTATGGGCGGAAGAGGCGGAGGAGCGGATCTAGACCTGGCGCAGATTATGTCTTTAATCGCTAATATAGGAGACGAGGAGGAGGAGGAGGAGTGGGGAGGAACGGGGATAGATGGTGTTTCTGGAGGGGGTGGAGGGGGGAGGAGGGGAGGGCGGGGAGGGGGTGACTATATGGGAGGTGCTTATGATGATGGGGAGTGTATGGATGAACTGAAGGCACTTGGGTGGGAATCAGATGAGGAAGGGGATGAGGGAGAGGGAGGAGGAGAAGGAGAGAAGGGAGGGGAGGAGGAAGAAGAGGAGGTGGATGTAGCAGCAATGCACGCAGAGGCGTTGGATTGGAAGAGGAAAGCGGTGGGCTTTAAGAGAGAGGGGCGGATGGGAGAGGCGATGGAGGCTTTAAGGCGCGCCAAGGGCCTAGAGGCGTGGATAGAGGCGGCTATCATGCTGGGCGCGGGAGGGGATTCCATGGGCCGTGATTCTTCTATGGGGCGTGGTGGTGCTGCTTCTGCTGCAGCAACGGTAAGAGCAACAGCAGGGGTGGCAGGAGGTGCGGCTTCAGTGGCAGCAGCACAGCCAACGCCTGTGGCAGTGCCAGCAGGAGCACCAGCAGCACCAGCATCAGCAGCAGCAGCTGCAGCAGCAGGAGGAGCAGGAGCAACAGCACCACGGCCACCACCAGCAGCCGTGCCGGCAGCATTGGCAGATATGGATGAGAGAATAAGAGTGATCCTGATGAGCGGTGATGATGATGATGTTGATGGGGATGAGGAGGAGGATGATCCGGACATGCTTGCTGCTCTCGCTGCTGCTGGGTGGGTGAGAGAAGAGTCAAGCAAAGCAGAGGAGGAAGAAGGGAAAGAGGCGGCAGAGGTGGAAGCAAGTCCTGCCGCCCAGGAGCCAGAAACTGCCGAGGAACTTGAGGCGGCGGCGCGGGAGTGCAAGCTGGCTGCTGTGGGGCTGAAGCGGGACGGGAGGCTCGGAGAGGCCTTGGATCAGCTGAAACGATCCAAAGAGCTGCAGGCTCGGGCAGACCAGGCTCGGGAGGAACAGGCTCGGGTGGAACCGGCTGGGGTGGAACAGGCTTGGAATGAAAAGCCTGAGGAACAAAAAGTGGTAGCAGCAGGAGCACCAGCAACAACAAGAGCAGCAGCAGCAGCAGCAGCAGCAGCAGCAGCAGTGCCGGCAGCATTAGCAGATATGGATGAGGGAATACGAGCAATTCTCATGGGTGGTGATGATGATGATGAGGAAGTGGATGTTGGTGGGGATGGTGATGGGGATGAGGACGAGGATGATCCGGACATGCTTGCTGCTCTCGCTGCTGCTGGGTGGGTGGGAGAAGAGGCGCGGGAAGCAGGGAAGGAAAAGGAGGAGGCTGCAGAGGAGGAAGCAGCAGAGTCATTACATGAAGAGAAGGAGGGGGGAGAAGGCAGGGGAGATGGAAGGAGAGGAGGAGATAGGACAGATGAAAAAGGAGAAGGTTTGCAAAATGAACAAGGGGAGGAGAAAGTGGAGACAAGCCCTGCCGCCCAGGAGCCGGAAACTGCCGAGGAACTTGAGGCGGCGGCGCGGGAGTGCAAGCTGGCTGCTGTGGGGCTGAAGCGGGAAGGGAGGCTCGGGGAGGCCTTGGATCAGCTGAAACGAGCCAAAGAACTGCAGGCTCGGGCAGACCAGGCTCGGGTGGAACAGGCTCGGAATGGAAAGTCTGAGGAAGAAAATATCGGAAACTGTGAGAGGACTAGAGAGGTCGTTGGTAGTGGCAGCGGCGTTAGTGGTGGTGGTGGTGCTTCTGCTGCTGCTGATGATGCTGGTGGCAGCGGCGGTGGTGGTGGTGGTGACACGAGTCAGTTGGGTGCAGGAGTGGATAATGGAAAGCCCAGTTTTGATGGTGCTATTGGTGGTACGTTTGGTGGTGCAGATACGAGCCAGTTGGGAGCTGCAGTGATTGCTACTAGCATGGCGCCTGCTGTTGCTGCATTGCTTGCTGCCATGCAACAGCAACAGCAGCAGCAGCAGCAGCAGCAGCAGCAGCAGCAGCAGCAGCAGGGAGAACAGGAGCTGTTGATAGGAACATCAAGAAGCAGGGAAGTATCACAGAGTGCAGTTGACACAGCTGATGCAGTTAATGAAGTTCTTGCACCTGATGCATTCAAGCCCTCTGCAGCAGCAGGATCAATGCGCAGCACAGCAGCAGCAGCTACGGAATCAGCAAGAGAAACAGCCGCAACAGCCGCAACAGCCGCAACAGCAGCAACAGCCGCAACAGCAGCAGCAACAGCAGCAACAGCAGCAACAGCAGCCACAGCAGCAACAGCAGCCACGGGAACTGCACAAAAGGATGGAGAAGGAAGCGAGGGAGGGGAGAGCAGCAGGGAAGAGATGGAGGCTGAATTGCAGGCGTGCAGGAGAAGGGCGGTGGGTTTCAAGAGGGAGGGTAAGCTGGGGGAGGCATTATCTGAGCTCAAGAAGGCAAAGGCACTAGAGAAACAGCTGGCAGAGACAGGTGGTGGCAGCGGTGGTAACAGTGATAACAACAGCAGTAACAGTGGGTTCAGCTGTAACACTGGCCGTAGCACTGCTGCCAGTGCTCCTGCTGCTGCTTCTCCTGCTGCTCCTCCTCCTCCTGCAGCTGCTGCTGCTGCTGCTGCTGCTGCTGCTGCTCCCAAGCCCTTGAAACCTACAGCACCCCAGAGACGACCCGCCCCTCTTCCTCCTCCCTCCTTCATGTCCTTTGGTCTAGAGGATGATGATGATGATGATATGGGTATATTCGACGATGCTCTCATGGCGAACCTCCGTAGCCTCGGACTCGCCGGACCTGCTCCAGGCGGCCGCCAGACCAGCCAGCCTGCTTCGGCCAAACCTGCTCCGGTCAAACCCGCTCCAGCCAAACCTGCGCCTGCTGCCAAGTCAGGTGGTGGGGTGAGTGGGAGTGGGAGTGGGAGTGGGAGTGGGAGTGCGGGTGGGGTTGTGAGTGGGGGAGAATTACAGTCGCTGGAGCAGCAGGTGATGGAGCAGAAGAGGCGGGCCGTTGAGCTGAAGAGAGCTGGAGACACGGCGGGGGCCTTGGCTGCTCTCAAGCTCGCCAAACAGCTGCAGGCACAGATGGGTTGAGTGCGGTGCCGGTTGGTTCAGGGAGTTGCAGCTGGTGTAGCAGCAGGTGATGGAGCAGAAGAGGAGGGCGGTTGAACTGAAGAGAGTTGGAGACACGGTGGGGGCCTTGGCTGCTCTCAAGCTGGCCAAACAGCTGCAGGCGCAGATGGGTTGGGTGCGGTGCCGGCGGGTTTCAGTGAAGGGGGGCATGAGATGGGATGCATGTTGTAGTCTGTTTGGTTCTATTTGAGTGCAAGGAAAGGCAATGATGGCGGAATGGATGGATGACATTGCGACATGCCAGTATGTGATGGGTTTTATGTAACATGGAGAATTAAGATTGACGATGAGAGGTGGAATATGATTGGTTACCATGTTTGGTCCCAATCTACCGTAAGCTCAGTCCATCATTCGGCAATCTGTGCTGTATCTTGTTTGTGCATTTCTATTGTAGTACCGTACCATATCACGTTTGTCCCTCCATCCACTCCATTGATTATAACAGCACACACCTGCCGTCCGTCGTGCTTCCATCCATAATCCATGCTCCCGTGTACCGACCGTACCGTAGATGCGTCTGCTGGTGTGTGCTTTTGGGTTTCCAGCGTGTTTTTGAGCCACTCGAAACTCACCCTAGTCAGCTCAAGTGTGGGCCGTGTTCAAGGCCCAGTAAGTTTGCAGCTTACGGTAGTATTGATTTTTGAGGCGCCTCAAAACAAGGCCCAGTAAGTTTGCAGCTTGGTATTGCAAAGATGCTTGAGTTCCCCACAGCAGCTGCATTGCATTGCACTCCCTTGAGCTGGTGCACACATGTTAGAAGCTGACAGCTGCACTCAGTGCACTGCACCACTTACACTTTTGAGTCGACTCAAAAGTCTGCACTGCATTGCATTGCACTCCCTTGAGCTGGTGCACACATGTTAGAAGCTGACAGCTGCACTCAGTGCACTGCACCACTTACACTTTTGAGTCGACTCAAAAGTCTGCACTGCATTGCATTGCACTCCCTTGAGCTGGTGCACACATGTTAGAAGCTGAGAGCTGCACTCAGTGCACTGCACCACTTACACTTTTGAGTCGACTCAAAAGTCTGCACTGCATTGCATTGCACTCTCTTGAGCTGGTGCACACATGTTAGAAGCTGTCAGCTGCACTGCACCACTGATGAAGCGGGCAGTTTCGTTTTAGTCACTTCCAGGATTCGTCCATAGGTTTCCTATGCTGCTGAAAGGGTCATTGCATGGTTTACAGCCGCACTGCGCAGCTGCTCAGAAACATGCCTGGAAGCTGACTACAAAGCACTTTCGTTATAATCACTGCCATGATTCATCCACACATTTCTTATGCAGCTGGAATGCTGGAGTGACCCACTCCCCACAGCTGCACTGTGCTCCCGACCAGTTGAAATAGCCAAGGCGAGTAGAGCACTGGGCGCATGACAGCTTGCCTTCTACCTGCCCGCTTTGCACTGCATGTGTTCAGGGACACGCCACACAGAGGAAGGGAGTGAGGGATTAGCTGCTGGTGTGGTGGTGGTACGGTATGAGACCCTCTCCCCACTCCCCACGGCTGCACTGCATTCCCGACCAGTTGAAAGTAGCCAAGCGGAGTAGAGCACTGGGCGCATGACAGCTTGCCTTCGATCTGCCCGCTTTGCACTACATGGAAGGAGGGAACAGCTGAGTTGACAATGCATCAACCTCCCAAAATGACCCAGTTCCCCCAGTTGCGCTGAGCTCAAGACCCGACCACTTACAGCAGCCAAGACTGCGCGGAAAACAGAGATTGAAAAAGGTGTGAAAGGAAAGTAGAAGAGCTAAAACTGGTGCATCAATTGTATAGAGGGTATTTTTGAGACGTCTCAAAAATACCCTCTATACACGTGCCTTCAAATCAGAGATTGAAAAAGGTGTGAAAGGAAAGCAGAAGAGCTAAAACTGGTGCATCAATTGTATAGAGGGTATTTTTGAGACGTCTCAAAAATACCCTCTATACATGTGCCCTCAAAACAGAGATTGAAAAAGGTGTGAAAGGAAAGTGGAAGAGCTAATACTGGTGCATCAGTCTCGTTCACCTGAACCCACTGGTGCTCAACCCACCTCACCACTTCCCACCCATGCTCACCGTCGCCCATCCATTTGAGTGGCTCCACAAACACAGACGTGCATCCCCTCTCCGCCCCACTCCCCCAATCCTTGCCCTTCCCACGAAACCTGACACCTCCGCCCCCTCCCCCACCAGTCCCAGCAGCAGCAGCACCGTCACCACCCCCAGCAGCAGCACCGCCAGCAGCAGGGTCAGTGGCGCTGGCAGGTGGTTTGGGGGCATGAGGGAGCACATTGGCTGCTGCTGCCACCACCTGCCGGCACTTTCGGCAGCGATACACCTCTGGAGCCCTTGCTGCTTCCTTCGATGCCCCTGCTGCTCCTGCTGCCCCTGCTGCTCCTGCTGCCCCTGCTGCTCCTGCTGCCCCTGCTGCTCCTGCTGCCCCTGCTGCTCCTGCTGACCCTGCTGCTCCCGCTCCTCCTGCTGCCCCTGCTCCTCCTTCTGCCCCTGCTGCTGCTGCGCCCCCTGCTGCTCCTGCTCCTGCTGTTCCTACCTCCCCCTCTTGCCCCACTCCAGCCCGTAATTGAGCATCCCCGCTAATAGCATCCCCGTTACTAGCAGCTCCGTTGCCAGCCTCGAACGGCACGCCCTGGTGCAGCGAGCCAGTGATTCGACGAGCCATGAGGCGCAGCTTGAAGCGAGAGTAGTCGGAGTGATGGGGGTTGACAGCCCACCCCATGCTGTGGAAAATCCGTAACTGAGGCGAGAAGGGGGGGCAGTGGGAGACGGAGAGAATATGAAAGAGTGAGAAGGGGTACATCAAGGAGCATGAGGAAGCAGTCAGAGAAGGGGCGCGATGACAGTCCTACGGACATGGCCCAATGGGCTCGCCCTGGTGCAATATGCCGGTGATTCGGCAAGCCATGAGGCACAGCTTGAAGTGCGAGTAATCGGAGTGGTGGGGGTTGACTGCCCACCCCATGCCTGGGGTGAGGACGCAGCTGGGGTGAGGACGCAGCTGGGGTGAGGACGGGAGTTTGTTCGGAGAAGCAAGGGAAGGGAAACACTTTAAGGGAGTGGTAGGAAAGGTGGGGGTTCACCGCCCACCCCATGCTGTGGAAGATGCGCAGCTGAGGCGAGAAGGGAAGGGAAAAAGGGGGGCGAGTTTGCTCAAAACGAAGCAAGGAAACGGAGTTGTGGGGGTTTGACTTGACAGCCCACCCCATACGGTCCAAGATCTGGAGCTGACGAGAGAGATGGCAGGAAAATTAGGGGGAGAAACGAGCTTGATGAAGTGCCAGGCAACGAGCTGTCGCTCATTATGTGCCGCTCGTTTTCTGTCACTCAATATGCCGCTCAATACTTGCCGCTCATTATATGCCGCTTATTTCCTGCCTCTCTCTCATCACTTGCCACGCATTCCCTTCTAGAGGCGTCTCATAGAGCGCTTTGCCTGGTGCAGAAAGCCGTTGTTGGGGCATGCGAAAGCCGTTGTTGGGGCATGCGAGAGGATGCTTGGACTGCGGTGGCTTTTGAATCAACTTAAGAGCCACTTTTGAGTCAACGCAAAGGGGCAGAGCTTGTTCACCTGATGCAGAAAGCCGTCGTTGGGGCACGCGAGAGGATGCTTGGACTGCAGTAGACGGAGCGCATCTGAGAGGGCGTGTGATTGGATGGGGGGTGGGTGGGCGGGTGCATAAAATGGGCATGCGAGGGGGTGCTTGGACTGCAACACACGGAGCGCTTCTGTGTAGGGGTGTGACGGGATGGGATGGAATGGGTGGATCGAATCGGACGGGTGTGACGGGATGGGTGTGACGGGATGGGTGTGACGGGATGGGTGTGACGGGATGGGTGTGACGGGATGGGTGTGACGGGATGGGTGTGATGGATAGGTGGGTGGGACTGGTAATGGGTGAGGACGGACTTGCAAACAAAATCTCTCATGTATCAGCGACTAAGATCAATCAACTATGCCTTATCTTGGAATTCACACATGAATCTCAGGTGCGCGTTTAAGCTTACCCTCAGCCGTTGATTTGTGCAGCTTCATGAGATATGCGGTAACCACTGCTGCGCTGAACGAGGGGGGTTGGGGGAGGGGAGGAGGGGGGAAATGGGAGGTGAATGGGGGAAGGTGATGGAGGGGATGCGGGACGGATGTTGGCGGGAATGGGGAAGGAGGTGGGTACATTGGCGGAAGGGTGCGGAGGGCGAAAAGAGTGGGGAGGACGGGAAGGTAGGCAAGGGATTATCAGGGAGGGGCAGATACTGAGCATAGGTTGCCATCAATGGTGAAGCGCCACGTGGCACGTGCGCCACGTACCTTCGCGACACGCCAGCGTGACAGTGCACGAGCACCTTCTCCCCGCAACTCACGCTCTCCTCCACGAACGCCAGGCAGCTCGGCAGCACCGCCAGAAGATCCGAGTCGCCCATGACTAGAAGATCTACGGTCAGGCGTTGCCGTCCGCGCTCGTCACAGCCACGCGTCACACTGTCACATTCTACCCCACCAGCGGTTGCGCTTGTATCGGCGGGAATCTCGGCGGAATTGGCGGTGGATTCCGGATCGGAAGGAGGAGGTGTAACAGTAACGAAAGAGGAGCGAGCCATTGGGCAGAGAGAGACAAGGCGCGTGATATGCGCTCTTTCGAGCATCCGTGCTGACGTGGCGTCGGCCAGGTTGCCGATGAACACACCGTCACAGACCTCCCTCATCGCGGCGTTGTGCGACGCCGTGCGACGAGTAAAAAACTAATGAACTGATCACTTCCCAAAATTTGCATTCGAGGGGGGTTGGTTTGGGGGTACGGAGTTGGTGCTATGTGCCTGGAAATATGCTGGAGGGGGAGTAGGTGTTCCAACCCTATACGCACTACCATGTGTAGGTAGCTTAGTACCAGCCTATACCAACCAATAAGCTCCTGACATAGTGGGACATGCACAGTATCAACACTGATCCCACTTTGCAC